AAGCACAAAGATGCCGAGGACTATCAAAATGATGTCGTTTCTGCCACAGGTCTGAAGATGAAACTTGATAGCTTCATGTTGGATCTTCATCAACGCAGGGAGACTTTTGAGATCCCAGCGACTGCCGACAAAAAGGCAAAGCGAACGACTGCCATGAAGATCAATCAATGTCAACTCGATTTCATCTCGGCTGACATCCGAGCAATTTCTGCATCGATCAAGGGAACGAGTACCACTGAACTCGATCGAGCTGACGAGGCCACTCTGGCTTCCTACCAAACGAGCAACATCACTCAAGTCGATATGTCCAAGTTTACGATTCCCGACAACGACCTGACCTGGATTGATATGGACGATTTTGTCGAGCTCGATTGGATCTTGCCGGCAGAGACCAATCCTGCGACCAAGATCCTGCCGCTCGGATTTGCACCTCGCTTCACGTATTTCAGACAGACTGATCATGGTGATTCGGTTTCGGGCGACACGACACGGTCCAGTATCTTTGGTGATGAGCCAACACATTACTGCGTCATGTCCAAGCGGAATGACCCTCGCAGAGTCCAGGCTGATCTTATTGAGTCTCGCATACATCGGATCGAAGAGCAAATGGCCAACAACGAACGCGCGGTTGGAGAGCAGGAAGTCAAGGTCGTCAGAACGCATGAAGGCCATGAACAGCTTAACGAGCGACTCCGGGCTTTGAAGAATCACACTGAGGCATTACAGAAGAAACATGAGTTTTTGTGTGAACTGCTAAACGTGCTTGTTGAGAAGTTGCAGCAAGAGGATCCGTCCATCGGCGAAGGAATTGATACGGATGAACTGCCTGACCGAGACGCCGAGAAGGACAATACACCAAAGGAAGATAAGAATCCGATTGCAGACTACACGAGCGACTTCAACAACAGGTTCGTCGTGCATAATGCCCAGATCAAGTGGAACAACTCTCTGCGGAATATCATCCTACGCTACATCCACCAAGTCAGTCAAAGACGTGGCTTTGTGTACTATATGTCTAGAAGGGCTGTCAAGTTCATTCTGGATATTCTTGAGGAACAGAAGAAATCAGGTCCTCAAGCTCCGGATAACCGCACCAACAGTGTGGTCAGCAACGATACCTCCTTCCTACCCATGACACCCAATCAAGAAGACGAGATGGCCGTACAAGATAGAATCGATCAGCTTCTCAATGATGGAAGACAGTTCGTCAATGCCGACGATCCTGAAACCCAGGAGTGCACAGAGCCAGCTGACAAAGAGGGCGGTGGAGAAGGCATCTCGACCGAGTATACGCCACAGAACACCTACCATTTCCGTCTCATTGCTCCACAGATTCAGTTGCAGAGCGAGAAGGATCCAAAGTCGGTCATGCTTGTTGCTGCCAAGGGAATGCAACTCAAGGTTGTTCAAATCATGGACAAGGAAAGAGTTCTTGACGAGATCAGCGGTCTGGTACAAACGCGCTTCTCTGCCGCTATGGACAGTATGCAAGTCTTTGTCGCCAGCACCAAGAAGTTCTCGACCGAATATCTTCACATGTACTCTGGCAATCGATATGGCGGCAAAGCTGGAGAGTACTGGCCACCTTGGGTACCATTGGAGGTCATGTTCGAGTTCCAGGTCAATCCCTACGGTTTCTCGAGAGTTGTCCATCGTACTTCTGCAAGCTTGCGCTACGACAAGTACAACAATCTGCGTCTAAAGTACAATGACGATGTCAGTGGAGGAGATGGAAATAAGACGCAGAACCCTGACGCCTCCGACTCTCGTATGGACCACGTCTATATCGAGTTTCCCCACTTCCGAGCCATCTGCGATTCCAATCAGTACTTTGCCATGTATATCATTGTACTGGACTTGCTGTTGTACAGTGAGCCACTGGAAAAGACTCGTAGTGAACGACTCGAAAAGATCATGCTTGCTTCTGACTTTAGCGATCTGACAGGCGCACCCGAGATGGTGGAGATGCTACAAGCTCGCATTCGACAGCTTGAAGACATCAAGATGCACTTCCAGATCAACGAGAAGTACTTGGATCGCCAGGGTTGGAAAGATAGAATTGCGCTCGACGCAGATCTTGCTGCTTGCGAGGATGAGTTGTTCTTCATGATGAAGGCAATCACCACTTCTCAGAGCAGAGTCGAAGATCGCAATCAAGAAGAGTCGCCTGGCCTCCTGAGATGGCTCATCTCGTCCAAAGAGATTGCCTGGCATCTCATCCGCGGAGAGAATGAGTCACTGCTTGAGTTCCAGATCAAGGATGGTCTTTTTGATCGTACAGACAACAACGACGGCTCCAACTACAATTGCGTGGAGATTGGTAGGATCAATGGCTTCAATTTGTTGCCGAACGCCGTGTACCCCGAGATCATCGCACCGTACATTGACCCAACTCGTGGCTTCCACAAGCAAAAGGATATGAAGATGTTGCGTGTGCAGTGGTTGATGCTGGAGGCCATCGCCGGAATCCCTGTGGTCGACTACTTTGAAGTCAACGTTATGCCTTTGCGTGTTCAACTCGAACGAGAGATTGCTAAGCGGCTGTTCGAGTATCTGTTCCCAGGTGTCGGCGGTAATGCATTTGAAGGTGGTGGCTTCTCGCCTTTCATGGTCCGTAATATGGCCGTACCAGAGGACGACGAGGAAGATTCGGACGAGAAGAAAGATAGTACGCCACACGAGGAAAACCCGACCGGAGGTGTTGGCACTGGAGCAGGTGAACTCGAACACAGACTGCAGCCCACGCTCAAACTACCTGAAGGCAAAGTGCCCATCAAGAATGGCAAAGGCAAGGGCCTCGGCAACAATCATTCGACCTCGTCTCTGCACAACCTGCACTGGAACCCCTTCAGCCACTCCGACAAGTCTTCCAGCAACGTCGCCAAGAAGCAGAATGGCAACACAGCATCCAATCTTAGTCTCGTCAGTCGCACACCCTCGCAACGTTCCTCGGAGACAAACTCGCTCGCCGAATCCGAAATGTCCAAGAAAAAGGGCAAGAAGGGCAAGTCGTCGGACAAGGACGACAACAAACAGGCCTCTGACGATTTGTCCCTCATGCTGTCCCGCGCTTCCAACTACATGACCTTGTCCTTTTTCAAGGTGCCCAGCATGGTCCTGTGTCTCAGCTACAAAGGCCAAGGACGAAGAAACCTCGAAGACGTGCACGATCTCGTGTTCCGCATGCCCACACTCGAATATCGCAACAAGACATGGTCGAACCTCGACCTGGCACTTCAAATGAAAAAGGACCTCATCAAAGCGCTCATCTCGCATGCAGGCGCCATCGTGGGCAACAAATTCCACAACCACAGGCCTTCGCGCCAAGCCGCGACCAGCAAACTGCGCGAAATGGCCAACCTGAGTACCATGCACATCCACCGCTCCTCCGCCGAGCACGACCGCGGCAGCGAAGCCAGCACACCCATGAACACCTCATCCATTGTCCAAGAAGAAGACGCAGCCGAAGACCACGACGAAACCCCCGCCCGACCATCATTTACCTCTGGCCGCCCCAGCGTCTTTGACGACCACGACCACACGTCGTCTTCACCAATCAACAGTCTCTTTGTCTCAAGAACCAAAAGCATCACACCCTCCCTCACCAGGTCTCTCGAAACCGAAGGCGGGCCCGTACCCCTCNCCCGCCCTCGCCCGCAAACAAATTCCTCGCACATTTCGCGCCAATACACCAATACCTCGTCCCTGAATACCCCTCCTGCATCCAGAAGATCTGGAGAAAGTAGACACCGAAGTACGAGTATTGGCTCTTCTGCTGCAGAGAAAAAAGGCATTTTCGGACGCTTGAGACCGGGGACTAGTGGCTCTAATGGCGCAGAGCAGAAGAATGGAGCTTTGGGAGGTCAGCAGGGAGATGGTGTTGACGATGAAGGGTTCAAAAGTAAATTGTTGCTTGGAGGGCAAAAGTTGCTTAATAAATTGCCGCATGGTGGGAAAGGGTAAGATCGAAGATGTGTGTGATATAAATACCCATGGAGTTTTGAGGGTGGCAGAGACGAAATGTTATCTTTGCACTGCCTTTTTTCCATTGCTGTAGATATCGTTTTTTTTTTCACTTCTTAGGGCTTGCTACTCTTGCAAAGCTTTTAAATGTATATTGTTTCTTTATCTTTATTGCGTCGGCCATTAAATCGGTTTTTGTGGTACTCTTCTTGACTTTCGAGATGTGGCTTATGAAGCTTGACATCCGTTGGTTGGTATAGCGCCATACAGTTGACGATAGATCGACTGAGCGAGGTTAGACAGTTGGATGAAATGGCTAGCCTGGGACAGACCATGAGCTTTCTGACCAGGCGCCCCGAAGACAGCAATAATCCACCGATATTACTTTTTTTCTCCCCAAACAACTCAGAAAAGGCAAGGCAACAAGATCAATGATCCTTCCTCTAGACTTGGAATATCCTAGAAAAGCCCGATACGTAGAATTTTTGGACTTCAGTCTGGGGATTGTAGTAGGTCAGTGGAGGGGTTTGTAGACCTGCTTGTTCTGTTTGGGTTGCTTGTGTTGTTGGCTAGGAATGGAGAGGAGGGTGTTTTCGGTCTTGAGTGTTGGCGTGGTATTCAACCGGAAGAATCGGCGTCTCGGTGTCGGTGCTCGTAAGATAGTGTAAGAACGGTAAAACAAGAAATATTAGACTTGTTGATATGACGATCCACAGATCAGAAGCGATTCTTGACATTCTATCTATGACATAGACCTTAAGTGGTGGGAAGACGTGCTGTTCGTAAGATCTGACCTTTCTCACATCTTACATGATCTCCCTGCAGCTGTTGCTCACAGTTCATGCTGACCTTAGAGTTCGTTGAAACAGATGGTGTTCCAAATTTGCTGTCTTGAGATTCCAAGCATACCTAGGAGTAGTATCATGAATAAGAGCTGATGTTGATTAGCTCTAAACATCGCGCATTTCCTTTGATTGTGCTGTTCTCGGCTTCCTGATCAGCAGTGCCAGCAGCAGAAGCCTTTTGCTTTCCATGCTTCATGTATCCAAGAATGTGTCTTTGGCCTGAGTAAGTGCCGCCACCACACCTATGTTCCAGATTCCGTAGGTCTTTGTAATGGCGCCGGCTGATGCCATTCTTGCTTCTATCCAAACCAGATGACCGCTGGAACCCTGTTCCCCAAGCCACTTGTTCATCTGCTCCATTCCAGACTCGAGGGTTGTGTATAAAGGATTAACTACCATGTTGCCTGCTTGATCACGCAGATTCTGGAAGAGATGGTGGGCATCTTCTTCGGTGAGATCTTCTCCTTCGCTCAAGTTGATCAGGAGACGATCTAGAGTTGTGCCNTAGAAGATCTTATCAGTACATTAAAGACCATGTGCATCTTCAGCAACACATGACCAACCCTTGTTCCAAGTAACACGGACATCTGCTTCTTCGAGCATATCAACTTTTTCCTGAATCCAGAAAGAGATGGAGAGGTCTTACCCAGTACGCGCGTCAATGACAGCGAAAGCATCATGTGCGATCCAGTCGTCAGAGCTGCTAGATCCAAGACCGCTTTGGCCAAAGTTTGATGAGACAAACTCTTGAAGGGCTTTTACTGAGGCTCCCAGGAAGCCGCTTTCAAACGCGTGGACGGGAGGCTCGGTTGGCTTGTGGAAAGTGACTTGATGGGGGCGCTGAACAAGAACCCATCTGTTGATGAAATCTTTGTCCACTTTGCGCTCTTCTTGACCGTGTTTGAGGACTGTATTGATGATCTGGTGAGATTGTCAACATCCAGGTCTGACGCGCACTTCGCAAGGCTTGAGTGGAGGTGTGCGCCTCTTCGGANNCACTGGTGCCGTCACAAACACTGGAATCCATGTTGCTTCGCTCATGTCAAATGGATTGTATGGGTTTCCAAAAGTAGTGTGTTTGCGCTGGTGTATAAAGAGAAGCTTGCGGGCGACACAAAGCAAGTGAAAGACGAATACTAACAAGTGAAATATCAATGGAGGGGTACACTCAGTGAGTAGTATGGTGATTCAGGCAACCATCGAGAACAACGATACCTGGTAAAGAGCTGAAGGAGTTTGATGATGCTCATGAGACGTGGTCAGCTGTGCTGCACTATAACGCATCACAGATGTGTGAGTGATGGATCTACCACACAGCAGCGTACTTCAAAGTCATTGGGAGGCATCTGGATCATCATATTCCTGTGTCGCGATCTTCATACCTCGACTGTTCACTACAGTATTGTCAATTCACAGGCCTTCGATACAACAAGGTCAGCATAAACGAGTCAATGGAAGACAGAACACTTCTAGAGTAGTTATATGGAGTGAGGTTCGAGAAAAGGATATGAAGCTCTGTCCCTTCGGATAGTAGCCATGCCGGTCTCCCAGCAACTGCGGACAATGTGCGGCCCGATATCCGAAACAGGGGAAGCTATCGCGTGGGGGTTCTTCATACGCCTTTTACTTCCTTCCCTCGCCAGAACCTCTGTTTAATCGAACAATTCTTTATCTGTATCTCTCATCAAAGCGACATGGAACAACAGACCGGTACTATAGTCCTCACCGGAGCCAGTGGTGGTATGAGCCGCGGCTTCATACAGCAACTTTATAATTCAGAACAATGCGCGAATTGCTATGGCCTATATACGACCCGCGATCCTTCGTCCTGTCCAGATCTGGTTCAATTGCTGGAGTCAGCCCCGGCTTCACACCGCTACGAGCTTGAGCAGCTCGACCTAGCTTCGTTGGACAATGTCCGCAAGTTCGCCGCATCGGTCAAAGCTCGTGTTGCTTCAGGCTCCTTGCCTCCAATCCGTGCCATTTTAATCAATGCGACGGTATGGCAAGCTGATGGTCAAAAGTTCACTGTTGACGGTTTCGAGGCGAATTTTGCTGCGAACTACCTAGCCAATTTCCTACTGGTTTTGCTGCTGTTGGACTCTATGGACAAACGATCTGGCCGTGTTGTTTTTACATCTAGTGCTGCTCACGATCCTCATAGCGCTTGGAGCAAGAGTTTTATTACTGAGGAGGAGCACAAGACTGTCTTCAGAAACACCGAAGTACTCGCACATCCAGTGGCAGATAAACCTGGGGATGAGGCGAACGCAGGCGTGAGGCGCTATGGCATGAGCAAGATGCTGTTGCTGATGTTCATGTAAGTCAATTATCATGCACATTACGTCCGCCTACGCAAGCAGCGAAGCAGTCCCTCTAACGTTCCAAATTAGGTTCGAATTGCAACGCAGGTTAGACAAGGACCCAGAGCTCTCTGGCATCTCGGTCTTAGCTTTAGATCCAGGAACGATGGGTGGTACCGGTCTCGTCAGAAGCGGAGGCCTTGCAGTCAAGATTGTTATGGGCTACGTACTGCCACCCATCACTTGGGTTTTGCAGTGGCTCAATCCAAATGGGGCTCTACGCACACCCTACAAATCTGGCGGTGATCTTTTGCACGCAGCTTTTGACGAGGAGAGTCTTGGAAAGCATCCCAAAACGCTCTATGTGGATGGCACTGCTATCAGCGAGCCTGCTGCTGAAGCAAGGGACGAAGACAAACAGCGATCCCTATGGAAGGATAGCGTACGCTTGGTGGGATTGCAGAGAAATGACACGGTCTTAGACGACATCAAATAGGCTTGCCTGAACGTCCATTCGAGCTAGCTACGTGGAACTTTATATCAGAAGAGTAGTTTCGATCAGTCAAATGATCTCCGAGGCGTGCTTGCCCCATCGCTAGATTCAAATCTGTAGACCAAAAGCAGCAGCAGCAATGCCGTAGACATGAAATGGACTATGAACATGGAATGGAAGCACTACTGGCAGTCAACCCCATATTTTACCTCTCTACATGCTCTCTCGACTGCGACGATTCCATACAACTACGAAACCCTGGTTTTCATGGAGGATGATGAGTGTGGGGTCGTGTTCGCACGAAATATGCTCGGTCTTCAAGTTTGTAAGTACATGTCACAAACAATATATCAAGTCAAGACCAACGCTGTTCCATCCGGACTACTAACATCCGCCTGTATTCGTGCATCGAGGCATCTAGCCTTTCGATACTATCTCTCCAAGAATCCCGAGAAAGATGGCTCGGCGAGGCACGCCGGCTAGTTCGTTATCCGGGCGGAGCACAGCAGACCCGATAAACGTTGCGACCATCGCCATCTACAAACATGCTGCCTCTTAGCAAATGACAAATAAAAAAAACCCATCGCTTCATGCCAATCATCCCAGGTGACATAAAAGAGACACATGTCCCTTCACCCATCAAACATGCTAATCACAAACCAAAAACGAAAAAATTAAACCAGTCATGTACGTACACCACGGAGTCGCAAAAAGAGAAGCGATTACCGGACTTACAATGTTAAAAGGGCTTCTCTCCTTGGACGCCTCGGTCTCTCTGCAAATCCGCAGAACCTACCCTTGCCAAACTACACTTCCTACTTTTTGCTCTTGCATTTCTTCATCAGCCACCATGTGACCACGACGCGGATCCATAAAAAGATTCTCGGCGTGGACAACAACATTNCACCTCGCACCGACCTCAACTCTGCGGCAGTAGCGAAGGCATTGGCACCTGCAGATTTGGCTCGGCTGCAGCGTATACAAGCCTGCCACGAAAACTCTATGGAACATTATACAGTGTTTGCAGCTGCTTCGTTGTCGGCGTGGATGGCGGGTTGCGAGAATGGGCTGATGAACAGGTATGCAGTGCTTTATACCGTGGCAAGAGTGGCTTTCTGTTGGCTGTACTGGCGAGGCACTTTGAGAGCTGCATCAGTTAGGAGTGCGGTTTATTGGGTCGGCAATGTGGCATGCATTTGTCTGTTTTGGTCTGCTGGCAAGGCTGCCAATGCGACCATCTGAATTACGTATCGCCATGAACATTGGGCGATTGCAGTCGGCCAGATCTCTCTTATGGCGCGTCTATTTGTACGAAACTCGATGTAGTCCTAAAATCACAAGGCAATGTGCATCGGTTTATTGAAAGATTAGAAGTTCATAACATTCATTCTTATGTCTATCGAGAAATACCATAGATAAGTAACGCCACAGCATTGAAGGCAATCATCAAAGCTTCTCCAAAGCTATATTAATCATGCCATTTCGATTGTCATTCTCCTACGACGAAGAAGCAGCAGAGCCGGTGTACTGCGAACAGCAAGAAGCAACACCGTTGACCTGATCAGCCGAAAGAATACCATTTCTCGCGCAAGTGTACTTGGCCTGCAAACAAGCATCCTGAGCCTGAGCCTGCTGACCAGCCGCACAAGCCGCAGACGCAGCACTCAACTCATTCGTGCAGTACGCAGCATTCTGCTTGCACTCGGGATCCACATTGTCTGCGCCGGTGGAAAGGCCGTACAAAACATTGCTGACGCCGTTGGTGATGCTGCCGACGATGCCGCCCGTGACGCTGTTGATGATGCTCTCGACGTCAGAGGGGAGTTGGGCATTGGAGAGGATGTTGGATGCCGCGGCTAGAACGTTCTCGGTATTGCCTGCTGCATTGCCCGATTGGTAGTCGAGGAAGCCGGCGAGGGGTTGGAGCAGGGTGCCGCAGACGAGGTCGCTGCTTGAGGAGGAGGAGGAGGTTTGGCGGCGCTCGGCGGGAGAGGCAAAGGTCATGCCGGCAAAGGCGACAGTCATGAGAGTAGTGAATTGAACCATGGTGGATACGTGATCGTGTTTGTAGATGTTCTTGAGAAGAAGAAGAAGAGATTGGTATTGAAAAGTTGAAGAAGACTTGAGATCGAATGTAGATGAGAGACGAGTGGAATGCTGGTTGATGATTGATGTTTGATGGGATCTTTGCCCTCTTAATATACCTTTTCATTCTGGCAGATCCAGCAACAGGTTTCCTAATTCCCGTGTTGTGAGCGTACGCTTTACCAAGTTGAGCTCATGCACGATATTTGATGTAGTGGACCACAAGGTCAACGTGAGGGCACGGTGACCAGAAGATCTTGTACATGAATGGAGAAGATCAGTATACGATCAACAGCAAGCCTATTGAGGCAGATCTTCGGTGTTGACTGAGCGACAACAAAATAACCACGTTCCTGGAAGTGATGGACAGGAGAACGTTAAAGGCCAAGAAAAATCAGCCTCATCTGTCATCCCGTTGGAAGCACTTGTCGGGATACTTCCACATTGGGTCAACGCAATGTGGGTCTAAGAGTTGCTCGCCACGTGCTGATCTATACCTCCACAGCATCCAACCCCAAGCTCACGACTCAGTTATCCCTCAACAACTGACACAGTGACATTGAGCCCGTTAGAAGGATTGCAACTCTGTAAAATACCTCTGCCAATCCGTGGCAAAAGTCTAAAGACAGATATGAATAGGACTTCTTTGCAGAAACAGCATGGGCTCAGGCATTATCCTGCTAGCTGCAGAGATGCCAACCAGATTGGAACATCAATCTCACTTGATTCAGTGGAAGAATAGAGAAAAGAGAGAGGAGAGATTGCTTACACCCGCTTCTCGTCACTTGCGACGCTAGCCATCTCTAAACCGACAAGAGATATGTTATGCAGATCTTCCTCCAAGAAAGTACAAGTGACAGATCTACCAAGAAACCAAACGGAGACCCTTGTCTAGAGAGACACAAGTTTTAACACACATGCACTAAGAAAGCCATGAATTCCCAAACACCACTAGATCTTCCTTGCTTTACCCACAAGAGGGCAGCACTTTATCAAGGTTGAATCAAAGAGTTATGTAGATTCGATCACTATTCAATGGAAGTTGTTGCCGCCTGCCCACCGTTCTTTCTGCAGCCTTGTTGTAAGTCATGAGCTTGACGGTGCTTTGTGCCACTTGTGCCACCACTGCCATCATCATTTTCACCGGTGCTGCTTTTGAACGTTAAACGTATCGGAAACCATTATATCCGCTCGGGAGCATGTATTGTGCACAAGTCTTCCATAAACTTAATCATCAGAGTAGTGGAAAAGGCCTTGTCAAGGACAAGATGATAATACTAAGTAGTAGGATTTGTATTCCTGGCGGCTGGAAAGCGATCATGCGTGTTCTATATAGGTAGAAGAGTTGGGATTGATGTCCACAGTCTTTCTAGTCAGCTACATGCTCATGATGGAGGGCAAGAGCATCCAGACTCCTGCTGTGCTCTACTTGCAAGAGCGCGTCTTCATCACGAAAAAGGTCTGATGTTTGATAAGAACATCGGAAGGACTGACATGGCCAAAGCCCTGTGTGTCGATCCTGCAACTTGGTCCCAGTATTGGCATACTTTGGAGCAATTGATTGACCGTATTGCTGAGACTGGGTCTGCAACGGGGAGGGCTGCTAGAAACCCTCTATGTCCATGATCCATGCATCGCGGTGCTGTGGTGCTGTGGTAGCCAAGACGGGATGGGGTTGAGCCATGGTATCCATGCTTGGACACGCGCGAAGAGCCACTCGCCAGAGCCGGCGTCGTGGAGGGGCATGAGAGTGATGAGCATCAAGACAAGATGCAACAGTTCATCAACCATCCAACAACTTCTTCACGCGCTCAATCCTCGTCAACGCGGCTTCAACCATCTCAAGTCGCTTTTGGCCAAGTCTGTCCCTCTCCTCGAGAAGCTTCAACCTCTGTTCCAGCTTTGCCTTTTCCTTTCTCTCGGTCGCAACCATCTCGTTGGCTTGCTCGAACAGCGTCGCCGACAAGTCTTCCAACTCGGTTTCCAGATCCTTGAATTTCTTTTCCGCGGCAATGCGCCGGGACGTCTCGGCAGTGAGTGCGGCTTGAAGTTCAGAGATGGCGGGAGAGGCAGGAGTAGTAGCGGCAGGTGCCATGGGAGAGGTTTTGGAAGGTGTCTTGGGGAGTGGTTTTGTCGTGTTTGTGAGCGAAGACGTGCGAGTCAAGAAGCTGAATTTGCCAGAGGCAATGGAAGAGTTGCGACTCAGCGAGGTCGGCGGCGCAGGGAAAGGGTGTGCAGCAATAAAGTCCAGAGCAGAGTCGTTGCGTGGATTCTGGCTGGTCTTGAGGTTGCGAATCTCTTCTTCGTAGTCGGCGAGGCGGTCGGCTNNGTGTCGAGACGATGGGTTAGTGAAAGTGAACAGAGACAAGATGGATAGAGGGAGGTGAGATGTACATATGCAGATGCACCGAGAGGAGTCGCACAGGCAGGGATAACAGCCAAAATCAAACTCACCAGCTTCGACGCCTTTGCGCGTCAGACTTGCGACTTGGGCTTCGAGTGTCGCGACGCGATGGTCGTTCTCTGCCGACAATTCATATCTCGTCACTTCGGGCGACTCAAAGGGCGGAAAAGGCGTCGTGTCTGTCTCTGGCGTCTTTGTTGTCGTTGTTGTCCTTGCGGGTGTTTCTGGAAGTGGAGACGCTGGTGTTACACTTGGTGCATTCTTTTGTTTTCTTGGTGGGGAGCCAAGATTCATGGCCAGCTTGTCTCGTGTCAGAGTGAAGTTGAAGCCTCGTTCACGTTCTAGAATCATTTTCGAGACGTGTAAGTGACGTGAGACGTGTAGGTATCGAGAGGACGTGTTTTTGTACAAGATATGCTGTGCAATGAGGATGTGTGTGTGAGAGAAAAGAAAGAGGATGCGAACCGAAAGGTACCAGGGGCAGTAAACCAGTTTGTGCCTGCCCGTTTCTTGTCCCTCTTTCCACCAAACCCCCTGCGGCTTTTTTTCCCTCTGACCGCGTGCAGTCTGCTCTCCTGGTTTCGAAAGACTGTTATAACGGCTGCTCAGGAGGTCTAACGGTCTGCTGTCGTCTTGTTCGCGGCAACAAAGGCGGTCAGCGGGCCGCCCCGCGTGGGGGCTGCGAGGATGACCCTGTTGTATCTGACTACCTCCATGCTTCTATTCATACCATTCAGACACGGACTCCAAGTCCTTGACTTTGCAAGTGGTAAGGATGAGAACGATCCAGGATGTATTTCGTAGAAGGACAAAGAACCTGTATTCAGCGTGGTCGTCGCGAAAACAGCTTTGCCAAATACTCCATATACCATTCGTCCTTTGCTTGTCTTTTCAGCTTGTCATCTTCGCCAATTAGATGTGTGAGCATCTCTGCTTGTCGAATCACAAACGATGGTTGTCAATTGTCTTGCAACTTGATGCTTTGGCCCTAGGGTCGTAAATTCGATAATAAATGTGTATGGTAAGCGATGACTATATATACAGCAAATCCACGTCCACATATAGACAAGGAAGTGAACAAGGTCGAAAAAGCAGAAAAGGAAAATCAATGCTAGATGCTTTTGCCTGCATGAGATGCCGAAACAAGTTTCGCTGTAGTTGAAATGAGCGAAGAACAAGAAAGAAAAAAGGAAAGGGGTATCTGAGAGAAGTCATCTAGCAAGTCCCAACATGATAAAAAGATGAAACCCAATACCATAGTTGCGATGGTCCTCTAAATCCATGAACGCCGTAAAACTCCTTTGTAAAGGCCGGCGCAACTCATTACTCAAGTTGGTCGCGGCGTTCCGTGCTCATCATCGTCTCGAGTTCGTGCAACTTCTTCATCAGATGTTGAGCTATTCCTCGTGGCCAGAGCCGTTCCTGCGATAGGGCCCTGCCGAGGTGTCGCATCGTCTTCCGTTCGGCTATTGATAGCATCGTTGACGATGTTGCTATCGCCTTGACTGCCGGCCGTTGTGGAACTGGCCCACGTTACGTGATGTGAGCTGTTCGAATCTCGGACTGTGTTCTGTTGCGAACCCGTCGACGAATCTTTGCTGCTCATATCACTGTTGGTGTGTTTGAGCACATGAGGACTCCATGCTGCCGCTCCTCGAGTGGGTGCTGGAATCACAGTATAAGGCAAGTCAACATCATTTGCCTTTTCTTGCTTTCTCTCGCGGAACTTTTCACCCTGCTCAGCTGCAATGGCACCGAGTCTGCCCTTGATATCCCACTTCGAGTATGAATGAGCGGGTATCCCAGGAGTATCACTGTTGTCTCGGGCGGCTCGAACTTCTGCTGGTGGACTCATCCGTTTTCGCTTGAACGGATTTTGCACCACATTCCGCAGCGCATTGCTCGTTTGTCGTAATCGTGATGAGCTGTTAGCGTCCGCGTGCGGATTGTTTCCCCGTGAGGCAGTTGATGTTTGGGCTTCAAGATCATCAATTGGCGGTCGCTCGGGCAAATCCTCTGTTCGCCTTCGCACGGGTTCTGGTTCTTGCGATTCACCATAGTTGATGACATAGACGGTCGAAGCAGCACTGGTAGTATTTGCCCGATCAGGNGGCGATATTCGAGGAGGTGGAGGTGTTTGGCCAGTGATGGGTGTGAGTGTTGTCTCGGGACGAGGTAATGATCCAAAGGTGATTGTTCTGTTTTCGGAATGAGCTCTGCCCAGAGGCAGATGTGTGCTTCGACGAGGGATGGCTTTCCGTCTCCTGGCAGCTGTGTCTTGTTGCGAGCCGGATTTGTGAGCGGAGCCACCAGAGCTGTCGCTATCAGCTGGGCGATAATTGTCTCGGGGTTTCCGTGTATATGTCATGTTGTCACCAGGAGTCATGTCGATCATCTCATCACCATCGAAAACCTCACGGCCAAGAATGCCGTCCTTCTTCTCGTCTCGTTCCAAGGCTTCTATTCGTTCAACCCATTCCCAAACAACGACACTAGACGCGGCAGCTCCGACCCATCGGAAATAGTCGCCCCAAGCAGCAACATCCGGTTGAGCGACGTCAGTGATGAAGAAGGCGACGGGAGTCAGTATTGCGACATGTGATAAGAGAGCGACTATGAATATGCTCTTCATCTTGAGATGGAAATAGGCGTAGCGACGTTTGGTGAGACCATAGAAGATGACCCAGGCAGCGTAGAGTAGACCAACAGCGAGTTCGAACAGATAGCTGAGAGCTGGAATGGCGTCGACGAAATGACGAGGGCGGACGAAGCTGTCAACCAGGAAACTGTTGAGACAGGAGAAGATTGTGTCCAGAACGATGAGAGCGAAACCGACCCATTTGATGACAACCTTTTCTTTGTGGCGCGGAAACAGTCGAATCAGAGTCTGTACTTGAGCGAGCCAGAGAAAGACGTCGGAGATGACGCGTGTCACGCGAACTTCCATACTGCCTTCGACCTTTCTGTGCATAGCATCTCCATCCATGTATCCAACCGAGTATTGTTCTTGGGCAACTTTGAATGTGTCTGCCGTGGCGATCGTCAGGGCGATGGCGGTGAGAAGAGCTGCGACCTTTTGAAGCCATGGTCGTGAACCCACACCTGGTGCAGCAGTGCCACCGGTAGCGCCACCGATGAGTCCTCGTCCGGAAGCAAAGTTTGTGAGTCCGAATCCTGGAGAGAACGAACGGGAGTTGATCAGGAGCATGACAACCAAGACCCAGGCGAGTGAGGTGGCGCAGGCAACGACAAAGGTCTGCGGAATGGTCGAGGCATAGAAGGGGTTCTCGAGGTCGGCGACGCTAGACGGGTCATTGCTGGTTCCGGGAGTTTCGTAACCTTGAGTGCAGGCGGGCGAGAAGACTACGTTGGCGGTAAGGGTGACGATGTTGTCTGGGGCGAAACTAATGATGCCGTCTGAAGGGAGTGTGTATGGCGTGCAGGTCNNTGGCGGGGATTGTGTCAGTGGGCGCGTGTGTTTGAGGGACAAGGGCAGACGTACGGCAGTGAGACTCGACGACGTGGTGGTCGGCAGCCCCCATAACTGTCGAGCAACATGCCGCGACATGCCCGAGGGCCGTGTGTCGCGTCCAGGGCAACTGGTGTGTGAATCGACTCGTGGGGTGGGGTGAGCGTGGATCGAGAGACACGGGACCCGCGCCCGGGGAAGTTTCGTTGCGACGCGCGACGGGGCGACGAGTGGGCGATGATCAAGTGTTTAAGATGGCCGGGAGTGCGTTCTCTCTCGTCTGAGAAACATGTCGCGGCGCGGACTGGGCGAGTGTGGGTTGGACTGGGTGCTGGGGCAGGGAAAGAGCGATGGCAGACGGTCAAGGCCTCGACAGGCTGGGCAGTGGGCAATAATGGACAGCGGCAGCGGGATGGCGAGTCGCTCCTTCCTCCTCCGCTGTTTGCTGAGCCTCGCTGTGAACGCCCGCTTCTTGGCGGAATCTTGAGTAGCTTCAATCCTCATCCGTTGTACCGCTGCACGAGCCATGTCACGCCAATTCCTCTGCGCGTTCGCTCTTGCCGCATCCTCAGCCTCGGACTTTGACAAGCTCTTGCCCAAGTCAAGAACTATCCGAGGTCGACATTATTACTTTTGTACAAAGTCCAACGATTCCACATCTTCTTTGACTTGTATTGTCTCGCAAAGCAAATATTCCATCCAGTCCTGAACATGTCCAGCGAAATAAAAAGTCTGGAGAGTCTCCCCGGCCTCCGTGTCGAGCGCCATGTCTCCTCCCCAACTTCTTCTGACTCCACTGTGGTAAGCTACACTAGGGACCTGNGGGAGGGTCCTGTCTTGTGGCTCGTTCATGGCTACCCTCAATCTGCATACATGTATGCCTGACAATTTCTATCAGCTGTTGAGTCTCACGTTTGCTGACCTCTTCACATAGTTGGCGTCATGTACGATCCTGGTAGTCGCTCAACTCCGCATTGTCACTAATTCTCTCATCAGGTTATTCCTCAACTGCAGGACAAAATCTCTCTATTCGTTCCTGAGGTGCGTGCAGCTCTTCTCCACTCCCTCCGCATTTACCCGACCACTGCTGATCCTGCCTCCGAAAAAGNNCTGCCGGGCTACGGACTGAGCACGCTCAAAGGAAAGGCCGGAGTCACCGCCGTCGGCGCCGCTCTGCTGCAAGCCTTCCGTGAGCTGTTCCCTAACCGTTCCATCATTCTAGCCGGTCATGATCGTGGTGCTCGAGTCTGTCATCGCCTTGCTGTCTCCAATGCTCATCCACCTCAAGATGACATAGCCGACCTGCACTCGTACAAACTCCTTGGTACCGTACTGCTTGATATCGTGCCTACTCTGGTTCAGTGGCAGTCTTTCCAACATCCCNTGGCTAGCGCTGCTTACTTTCACTGGCCTCTTCTGGCATCCCCCATCGCCGCAGACATGATCGAAGCCTTTGGCGCTGCCAAATGGACACATCTGGGATTGGATCGCATCTGTGGCGACAATGCCGAAGGCCGCAAGGCAATGCAGTCCGACGAAGCCTGGGAAGTATACAAGACTCTACTGTCCAAACGTGAAGCCATCGAAGGTTCTTGCGCCGACTATGCAAACGGCTGCTTTTCTGAACCTCCTCTCCAAGAAGCCGACCAGCGTGAGGGCCGCAAGATCCAGAGTCCCGCCCTTGTCATGTGGAGCAAGTACAGGTTAGGCAAGATGCATGGCGGTGATCTCGGATCCATCTGGAAAGAGTGGGTGAAAGATGCCTCCTTGCTGACTGCCGAAGGTGTAGGTGATGATGTTGGCCATTATCTTCCCGAGGAAGCAAGCACTGTCATTGGCACAGCTATCAAGGAGTTCGTCGACAAGGTCTCAAAGTGAGCATATATGATAATGATCGAGGGTCAGAATCATGACTTGCACGACCCTTTGTTCATCTGCTCGTACTTCTTCTCAGGCTCCCCGTTCTTCGTGTTCCCCTTCATCTGTCACTCGTCTCTCTTAGTAATGATGGCTGACTCCTGATGTATACTATCATCCTCCGATCGATCGTCCTCACCAATGCGAATGAAAACAACGGGCGCTGGATAATCGTCTAAACCTTATATGTGAAGTATTTTGTTGGCAAAACAATCTCTGAACATCAGACCGAGATATGGTTTTGCGCTGCAAAAATCACCGTGCCTATCCCGATGTGGCTTACAGAGGCGCACGACAGCAGGCATTCAGGTCCATGATACCAGGATAAGTCCGCGCATTATCAAATAAGAACAGCAGAGCATGTGAACGCTAAATATGGTATGAGAACAAGGCTCTTAGCATGAGAATCATTGACCTGTTGACCTCTCTTTGACTCGCCACCTCTCGATCTCCTGCAAGCTGTTGAGCTCAAACGTCAACTGTCTAACCGTCTCGGCGTACATTGGAAGAGAACTACTAGCCACTGCATGTTCACTGACCCCATACACCGAGTGATACATCTCGGAGCTTACGATCTTTCGTTGTTATTTCCCTGTACGAGTTGCGTGACATTGGGGCCAACAAAAGACGGACTTGCTCTCAGAGCTTGATGACGACTTTGCCGGTATGAGCACCGGAGTAAAGATATTCAAATGCCTTGGCTGAATGCTCGAACTCGAACACCTTATCCACGAGGGGCTCGAGAGAAACCTTCTTCTCTGCCAGGAATGCGCAAAGGTCTTGTTGATCCTCGCGTGTACCGACGAAGATGCCNCCTGACCTCATTGTTAGCGACAACTATGGACCAGACTGAGACAAATGGACTCACTGTACTCTCGCCGACTTCATCAACACGGGAGTAAAGCAGTCTGGCATCTTTGCGTCTCCAACTCCGCCCAAGAATCCGACCAAGGAGACGGTGCCATATTTTGCCAAAGCGTTGAAGCATTGCTCCATGGAAGTGATGCCGACGTTATTGATGACAACATCAACACCCTTACCTTGCGTCAATCTCTTTGCTTCTTCATCCCAGGCCTCGTGTGTCCTGTAGTTGACACTCTGCACACCTTGGCCCAAATCTTTGCACTTCTTCAATTTCTCATCCGAAGAAGAAGTGATGATGGCAGCCATTCCAGCAGCAACACAGAGCAGCGTAGCAAAGATGCTAACACCACCAGTACCTTGCATCAATGCACTCTCTCCCTGCTTCTTCTTGTCGAAATCCAAAGCCGTCCATGCAGTAACCCCAGCACAAGGAATCGTCGAAGCTTCTTCATGGCTCAAATAGCTCGGGATCTTGGTGATGTCGCACTGATCAAAGATGGCATAATCCCTCAACACTCCATCCACATCTCCACCAAGCGCTTTAATCTCTCCTGAACATGTCTCGCGGAAAGTCGGAGCTACAAAGTCGCCTTCTGCAAAGTCTGTAACCGAAGAGCCGGTTGAGATGATTGTAGCAGAAGCATCTGAGCAAGGAACTCCGTGTGGAATCACTGGGAGTGGATAGCGATTGTGCAGCATGCCCACATCTCGGAAATTTAGAGATACAGCGTGTATCTTGAGGAGAACTTCTGTTGGCTGCAGGCTTTGAGGAATAGACTCAGTAACCAGTTCGATGTTGTTGCCATCGGATGTGCGGCGGAATGCTCGTGTTGTAGTTGGGAATGACATTGTGTTGATATGGGTATCGGGTCTGGATATGATCGCTAGAGAATAGACCTCGATGTTCACACGATATCGAAAAGTGCATGAAGGAGAGGTCGAGTTATTGCTTACTCAGCTGTTATGCTTAGAAATCAGAGCAGTCGAGTTGCCAATCATTGTGACAATTATGTTGGCAACATCTGGAGGCAACGTTTCCCACGGGCACACTGGCTCCTTGACGCCTGCGAGCGTGTTCGAACCTCCTTGAATCCTCTCCAATATCACTCGAAGTCTGCAACACATCATGTCGGCAAGCGCGAATCGCAAGAATGGTAAACAAGCGTCTTGCGAACCTTGCCGTCGAGGAAAAGTGCGATGCGACCATCGCATGCCCATTTGCGATCGTTGCCGTCGCCGCAACATGGACATGGAGTGTTTCTACCATCCTGCTCCTCTGACTCGACCGTCGAAACGCCCCCGCATGTCATCGTCGGAATACCATAGATCCGACTCAGTAGGGACAACTGAACAGATCGCCCCGGTGACTGCAATTACATATCCCCATGATGACCGTGTAAATACTGGTGTGAGCGACAACAGCCCCAGAACTCACTTATTTCCTGTTCATGACCCCGATACGACATCTCCCGGAGACCTTCCGTTACTTTCGCTTCAAAGTCTCGATAACAACAACCCGCAACATGTCATCGACGTTGCATTGTACGACGACCGTGGAGATAGGACACTTGAAGGGGATCTACTTTCAATCATCTACATCCTGGAGCACCTACAGCATTGCGAGATTATCAGAAAACTTGTCTCAGCGTATTATGATCTGGGACAGGTTGCTGTTGTGCCCAGTCAACTTGTGCTGCCTGCCCTGTCTGACCTTGAGCAAATACACAGAGACATTCTACATTTCCGAACAACGACTGATGATGCCACTAGCAGTATTGCCATGCGAGCATTGGCCGGCAGAATTCGGCGTGCGACAGCCTCAAAAGCCGTCATAACTCCAACTACCTCACTGGAGGACTTTCGCAGCTCCTACACTGGTATCAATCTGCGAGTAGAAACGATTGGTCTGATCTTCACTCTCGCTGCTCGTGCAGCTCGTTCAGGAATCTTGCTGGATAATGAGGATCGTCACGATTTTCTCCAAGCCATGTTCCAGTGCAGTGCACGATGCATGCATCTTGCCCGAGAATTAGCGACAGAGATGCATGATGTTATAGTGTGGTTATCGTACGAGAATTTGCGTGTTAGCACGAGCATCCAAGGATATGCCAGTATGTATCAATATTCTGCAATGCCACTCGACCCCATCGTTAGGACGTGGTTGCTCATTCGTGTGTACATAGATCCGTTCGTTTGGCGACGGCTTGGTAACGTGTCCACCGATTTGCTCGCTCTCGAGGCCCACCGAGAAGCAACCACCAAAACTGTCCCGTTCTTCCTTGCCGAGTGTCGTAGAAGGATATTTGCTGCTGCATACCATTGGGACAAATTTCTCGCCACGCTCTTTGACCGTCCACCCCGGATCCTTAGCTGTTTTGCCGACTGTCGTCTGCCGTTCGAAGCCACTGATGATCAGCTCTGTCTCACTGGAATCAGCGACGAAGAGCAGGCTTCGTTTGAACGGACTGGTGGATGGTCCACTGGAAACTCTTTCTGCAGTACCACATGGACACGAGCACTCTATATGCTCGCGCAATTCAAAGAAGAGGCACTCTTGCATCACCTGAAGCCTCTCGATCACGAGACAAGATCAAAACTAGAGTCAGTACATTTCTGTCATTCCGACACTCAACAATCGTCTGAAGCGGAGACANAAGCATGTCGTTCTGATACCAATCACAGGGACTTAGCAAGCCGATGTAAGGCGACATGGGATAATTTCCCAAAACGGCTCCGTTACGAATCTGCATGTTGGAAGTCCGATCTGACGCCCATGACATCTCTGAGGTTGGCCGAGGTCTATCTTACCTATCTACAGACACGATTTCACATCCATCGCTTGCTTGGAAAAGGCGATGAGCGCTGCTCACCGGATCTGGTCAAGATCTGCTCGAGCATCATAGAGACAACGGTTGAGATTGGCAGCTTTCGTAATCAAGATGTATATCGACTACACCGCATGTTCAGGGCAAGCACTGTAGGTCGAAATGAGCTCCTTACGTGTCGCATACCACTAAAATTCGCATCAGNNGTTCTATGCTATGGTTTACCCAGTGCAGTGACCCTCATCAACGCGCTAAAGTCTGCAAGGAGAACCTTGAACCGCGTGCAATTCGCAGACTTGGTTCGTGTAGTATCAATACGACGTCTCTCGGTGTTTGTATCTCTACTGGAAAGTGTTTACAAACCGGAAGACGCGAATTACACGCTGTGTATGAAAGCATCAAAGCTTATTTCGTCTGCATTGGATGAAGTGCTGGAACATCTGCTGTCAGTTTTCGCCAATGACACACAGCAACCGGCGCCTTCACTCGTAACCAACTCTACGGCTGGTTTCCAGGATCCAACCTTGAACAACGATGTGGCAGCGTTCTGGCTTGCGGGAAATACCTTGGGCGATCTGATCGATTGGGATGCAGCCAACCTAACGGACATGAACAACTGGATGGGAGAAATCGACTGGACAAATGCCAGCGGGGCGGTATAATTTGATCGTACTCCGTGAACCATCTACTCCGTGTCCGAACATCTGTTCAAGATCCCCACATTGGCGTTTTTCGTGCCACAAAATCCATTCCGAAGGTGATTCCGCTTATCCCGAGATTTCATTCCGGGAGGCTGAACACTCACCATATATCTAGGACCAGAGCCCTCACATATATTCATTAAATCACCGACAACTCTTCAGCATATCAGTCTCTTCATACCGACTTTACTCTCAAGATTTTGTGTATCCGTTTCTTGCTTTGCACAACAACCACAATGCCGGGATCAGACAAGCACATCCAACTCCGCCAAGCCATCGCATCCATCAAGGAAGCTCTCGTACCAACAACCAAAATGTCGGAATACGAAAAACTACCACTTCTCCATTCCAATTCCTCCACAAAGCAAGATGTAAGTTCTCAAGCATCTAGAGTTTGAAATGGCAACTGATCTCCAACACAGCCCGCACACTACCCAACCGAGAAAAAACCTACCGTCACCATCAGAGAATACCCAAGATACACTGCGACAAGATACCGATCTGGGGTCAACTCTGCACAAAAGATGATCAGCGCCGCCGAATTAGTAGACAAGACGAATAGAGAAGCGATGTTCTACCACATGGCTATGAGGGCATGAAATCATCTAAAGTAGTGGCTTCTAGCAGACAATTGGATGGACATTAGAAGGATGCTCGAAAGACCTTAGACAGCAAGACTCGGAAGAGTGTGATTATACAGTAGTTAATGCGACACCGATGGGCTTATGACAGTGGTTTACACATCACATTTTCAAATGCATCACTTGTTGCGTGTTAGCTCTATTCATCGACATTCTATTACTCCTATCAGAGTCATTTCTCTAGTTACTAACAGTCCTAGCGAAAGACGATTTGGATTGTTCTAGAGATGTTCGCTGATAAGACAAATGAGAGGCTCACGTAATCGCGCTATACCAATGACCCCGCAAGTGGGGTAGCGATGATCTCTTATCTGCCTACCGACATGCCGACCCGTGTGATATCACCTTGACATCTACGACGACTTTCCATATCTTACTTGAACCTCTCTTGCTTTCTTGCACTCATCCCGGAACATCACATACAACATTTTACAATGGCCAAGGACTGGAAGCAAGCCGCTGCGGCGAAACAACAGCGCATCAATGATTCTATACCCGAAGAATGGCGCATTGATACTTCCTCCCTTGATGCGAACGTCATGAATGTTCCCTCAACTTGCGGCCTCCTCAGCAAGTCTGAACTCGACATTACAAACTCTTCCGCTACAGAGCTGGTGGTCAAATTGGCGGACGGTAGTCTTAAAGCCGTGGACGTCACAACAGCCTTCTGCAAACGAGCAGCTATTTCGCACCAAGTCACCAACTGTGCATTGGAGTTCTTCCCCGAGATGGCGATGCAGCAGGCCAAAGAGCTGGATGAGTTCTATGAGAAGCATGGACGGACTGTTGGGCCTCTGCATGGCTTACCTGTTTCGCTCAAGGATCAACTCCGCGTCAAGGGCTTAGAGACTACCATGGGCTATGTGTCTTGGATTGACAAGTACGATACCGGAGACTCTGTACTCACTGCTTTGTTGAGAAAAGCAGGTGCTGTGTTCTACATCAAGACTTCTGTACCACAGAGTCTTATGGTCTGCGAAACTGTGAACAACATCACCGGACGTAGTGTCAATCCTCGCAACAAGAACTGGTCACCTGGCGGCTCTTCAGGAGGAGAAGGCGCGAATGTCGGCATCAGAGGTGGTATCATTGGCGTGGGGACTGATATCGGAGGTTCCATTCGCGTACCCTCTGCCTTCAACTTCTTATATGGGCTCAGACCCAGTCATGGAAGGATGCCTTATGGCAAGATGGCGAACAGTATGGAAGGTCAGGAGACTGTCCACAGTGTTGTTGGTCCCATCGCTCATTCCGTCCCTGACTTGCGTCTGTTCGTAACGTCAGTTTTGGAGCAAGAGCCATGGAAACACGACTCCAAGGTTATTCCCATGCCATGGCGGCAACCCGAACACGACGCTACAGTGCAGAAGATCAAGTCTGGGAAGCTTGCTCTTGGGTTCTTCAACAATGACGGCGTGGTGATGCCGCATCCGCCCATCCTCCGCGGCGTTGATAAAGTCGTCTCTACACTACGAGAAGATGGTCACACGCTCATTGACTGGAAACCCTACAAACACGACTATGCCGTGGACCTCATCCAAGGAATCTACGCCTCCGACGCCGGAAAGGATATCCACACCGTACTCTCAGCATCAGGCGAGCCCGCAATCCCAAACATCAACGATTTGGTAGATCCAACTAGATCTGGTGCAGACATTACCACGCTATGGGATGTTCAACTTCAAAAGTGGAACTTCCAGATGGAGTATATCGAAAAGTGGAACCAGATGGAGGAGAAACTTGGTAAAGAGATGGATGCATTCATCATGCCCATTACGCCTACTGCTGCCATCAGACACAATCAATTCAGGTACTATGGCTATGCCAGTGCGATCAACTTGCTTGACTTTACAAGCGTCGTGATTCCTGTCACTTTTGCGGACAAGGAGCTCGACAAGAAGATTGACAACTTCAAGCCCATGAATGACATGGACAAGCAGGTGCAGNGAAGAATGTGAGTTGGAAAGAAAACGCCAATACCAACAACGACTAACGTGACTACAGACGACGCAGAGGCATACCACGGCGCTCCTATCGCGGTACAAATTGTAGGACGAAGACTCACAGAGGAAAAGACAATGGCTATTGCCGAAGAGGTTGGAAGATTGCTAGGCAATGCCATCACGCCTTGATTCATACATGTTGACAACACTTGCGAGGAGAAGACATTCGGTCGGGAAAGAGAGAGCAATTCTGATGATGTGAGAAGGACCAATACATGGATGGCAGGAGTAAAGTCCCTATAGAATGTATCATGGAGTGCTGCGTGCTCCGGACTCTATTGCGGTCCTCAGAACTCACACACGCTTGATTTGATGCAGCGAATTCACTCAATCATCTTCAGCCAAGTATGATCAAAATGAACCAAGCCATTGCAGTGAAGACCTCAGGTCTGCGGCAAGGAATTGAGGGGTTTGGTCCTCACCCGTATTGACACAGAAGGAAGCATTAAGCACCAGCCAGCAAAGATTGCAGATCTTGGACGGCGGCCCTTTACCATCTACTCTCGTCGACCGGGGTTCTCTGCGGTGCCGTCTGGTGGAATGAAATCGATCTTCAGACTGGTTTCATACTATACGATCAGAAATCATTATTTATTGACGACAGTATCAGCGATGTGGGGTTCAACCTCACTCTTGCTTTGTCTCATGGGACAAAGGTGTGGTTAGTCAATGAACTGATTCGCAGTCTAGCGAACACATCTTTTTGGCTTCAAGTACTCCATAGAATTTGTGTGACGATCTCCGACCGCTTCTGACACTTGATTCCCGATATCTGACTCCTGAAATCCTACCATATTAGCGTGGAGTCTACAGGTTTCTGTTTCAGTACGAGACAGCTTCCCGCTGGATACGTGTGTGATCGAAGGCAGTATCTATGGTCTTGCAAAGAATCACAATATAGTTTCAATCCTCCAGAAGTTATGTTTGGTAGCTTACGCGGCGTTCAATGCAACCTCCTCAGGTCGTTAACCCCTACATAAATTCGTCACCAAGATCCTTCGACCGTCTGAGACCAGCAAATTCCGGCCCCAAGATTGAAGTGATATGACGATCCGCCTTGCTTGACCGACAATCAGGATTGGAGCCACGATGGTGACAAGAGCAATTCAACTGGGAGCAACAGTCACCACTCATTCAATTGGTAGTATGGCACATTCACACGAGTGAAGCAAAGGTGTAAAGAAAAGAAGAATACCATTGCGAAATAGCATTGGAAGCAAAACCTCAAGAAACACTTCTCAGAAGACACCTACTATCTCTTTCGAGATAGATCTAGGGTTCGAACCGTGAAGCATTTACAATAAAAGAAGTTTGAAGATGGGTGAGGATAGCAATACATAAAAAGCTCGACATCTCTTGGATCGATCTGTCATGCTAAGTGAGATCCTGCGCTACCCCGAGCCAGAATTGTCTGCACAAGTCCACGCAGCCGATCCTCCAGACTCCTTGTAACTGTTCATAATACTAACCACCGAGCCGTATGTTCCTGCGACCATCAACATTGTGCCAGATGCTAGAATGAGACCGCACCAAGCCACCATCAAGAGCCAGGTCTTAGTGGGCTTTCTCTTTCCATCTTGCCAGTTATCATATAACCACATGCCAGCATAAGGATGGAATGACAATAATGTGGCAAACAAAGCCCCGACCAGTGAGACAAGACCACCAAACACAGGAACTGCACTGGCCACGATGTAAGAAATCAGTGTGACTCCTGATGTACAACCGAGCCAAGTGATCCAATGTATAGTTGTGTTGGAGGTTAGATGCTTTGAACCGCGGAGAATGCGAATGAAGACGTATTTAGCTGGGAACTGGATTGAGTATAAGCTTTTGCGACTCGTCATACATTGTCATCAGATATACGTNACGTGGCATAGCAAGACTGTTCCTATGCACAAACCAGGCAGAGCGAGGCCGTAGCAGACCTTCTTCATGGTTGCACCAGCGGAGCCAAGCGCGGGTGAGGCGACGTATGATCCACAAAAGTAGTACACCACTATACCAATTACGATATAGACGACTGAGATTGTTGTTTGACAAACGACTAGTGCCTTTGTGTATTGACGTGGATCCTTCATCTCGGCAATGATAGAGAAGAAGGCAGGCGTTCCGGCGTAGGCAAACACGATTGATCCGATGGAAGTTATGGCTTCAATGAACGTGGGATCTCCCACAATCTTATAGTCCGATGACCATGGGCCTTGCTGAGGAGCTGCAGCAGGACGATCCTGGACGCCCACTGCGATAGTGACGACTAAGACTNNAAACCAGATGTGTCAGTCAAGAACATATGCGTTCGTTCGAAATTGATACATACTTGCAATTATGATGGAGCCACATCCAGCCCAAGCAAGCAGAGTAATCTTTCCAAGTGTTCTAATGCTGCTAAACACGAATCCGATGACGGCCCCCACGGCGACAAAAATGGCAGTACAAGCTGCATGCGTGGAGAGAGCGTTCAGCGCAATCGAAATACTAAGGATGCCCGATCCTGCGACGCANAATGTAGTCTAGCAGCATAGCGTCAGTGACACTGGTGGTTGTGTATGGCTGGGTTACTTACAGAGCACATACGCCGCACCTAGTGCTTCACGGCCAACACGACCAAAGAGCATACCACCCACATCGTTAATGGCATATACTTCTGGATGTTTCAGCTTGAAGACTCCGATCATATAGTCTGACCAAGTTGTGATGGCTCCAATGACAATGAGACAGATGATCCCTGGAATCATGCCTAGGGTGTCAAAGACCGATGGAATAGACAACACACCCAGACCTATCTGCGTCTTCATCATCAGGGCGATTGTGCCAAGTAGGCTCACCTGCAGTCGCTTGGTTCAGTAGAGATCGTGTAAGGAAACAGATAGACGAACGTTACGATATTTAGGGCTCTCTTCGTCAAGCTGACCAAAGACTGCGTCGTCCACCAAACCAAGTTCATGAACCTCTCCACTGCGAGTGGTCTGGACGAGCCCAAGCTCATTGTCCGGATTCGATGAGGACTTGGTAGGATAGTCGCCCATGCTGATTATTGCAATGCCACAAAGATCGCGGTGATAGTATGTGAGAATGTCTACCGAATAGATGTCGGACATGTACAGAGTCTAGACAGTGCGGCGGTATATAAGCATTTGTACAAACACAAGATAGCCACGAATTCGAGACCTGAATTGATCCTCCGCAACCTCGTATCTTGCCAGGTACTCTTATCACACAGCTGCCCTACGGTAGCTGGGCTTGATGCGGGGATGACACACTGAACCTTGATAAAAGTCTCTGGACCGACTTGTTGCACAAATCTGGGCCGGTAGGTCGTCGGGATGAGTTTCCGAAAAGGACGATTGTGGCGGCAGGTCGAAGCCGTATGCGCGAGGCGTCAGCAACAAGAATCATCCGTATCTTCGAGACATCCGTTATCTAGAGTCAATCCGCAGGCAATCTACACGACGTGGCAAAAACAACACCACAGCTCATAGTTGTAGTGTTCTCAAGGCATGCACGGTCGACTGTGAACGAAGGATCAATCGGCTTGTACAGTGAAGTTCAGCTTAGGTACTTGGGGTGATTTTTGTATCTACGTAAACACTCTATCATTTCTAGACCTCTTCGAGTTCGCGGGCGAAAGTGATGAATATCTCCTTCTGGAGACTATGTTGCCTACTTTCATAGTCCAGTAGTCTCGTCGCACGACCCGGTGCGCTTCTCGCGTTGGTCCCGAACAAAACACTTCCGTGAGCAAATAGAGTGTCAGCGTCTTTCACACTCAGAGATTCAAGCGGTGCTACGTTGCCTTGCCCCTTTGCGCACTGGTGGATGGTTTCGGAAATCGAGAACCACGTCTACCAAGAATCAGTTCTGGTAGAAACAAGACTTCAGAAGGGAGATTACTGACCATCTCACCAGTCGCAGGCAGATAGAGCCCATTTTGGTTCCACAGATCATCCTTATGCTGAGGACTATCTTGCGCATTGATAAGTCCTGCCACCAATCTAGCCATGTCTGCGATGTGGACGCTGCCCCAACATGCTTGACCCTTACCAACGTACACACTTTGATGACGTGTGATTGCGGTTCTGCACAAGCTCGGGATCTGTATGCTTCTGGTGTTACCCAAGCCTCTTCCTCGACCAAAAACGATGGGAGGGAAAATTAGTGCCGTTCGGATTCGATCGGAATGCGATCTGGCACAGTCCAGTACAAGTCGATCGACTGCGCGAGACGGATTGTTATCGATCAAGGTTCGGATGTCTGCTGCATCGTCCCAATCATTATATATCTTGGACGATGCTTCGCCGAAGCGGCTTTCTTTGATGTCTGGAATAGAGAGAACACTAGCACCCGAAATTTGAAGCCACAAGACTATTGTAGCATCAGTAGCTGTTCTGCAGTCCATGTGATTCAACTTACCAGGGGTAGTTCTGTCGGCTTTGAGGATTCCTTGTTCAATGCTGTACACAGTAGGGACGTATTGGGAATTAGCAGCATCTGGAGAGGACGGTCAGCGATACATCTGCGAAGGTGAGGTTCCGTCTGACTGATGATAATGTCCGCTTGGGATGCTTGATCCACAATGAGCTGATGGCAGTCGAGGTCTCCTTGGACAAGGGTGACTTGCGGGTAACGTTCTGCGATTGCTTTCGCTCGCCCCGCATCGCGGACCAAGGCAGACACTGAAACTGTTTCGAAGGTCGCTAGAACCTCATGCAGGATGTCGCCTCCGATGTAGCCTGTTGCACCTGTGCTGGAGGTTATGAGCTTATGTTCGGAAGTGCTGTAATCATTACATTACATGAATATTTTGGTTGCCATCCTTAGGGCAAAGATGGATGTATGTGAACTCAGTCGAATGAGAGTCGTATTAGTTATCGCAAGCAATTGATGTGAACATTGATCAAGTGCTTCAGGAGTTCCAACAGCCAATGCTCGGTATTCAAAGTGGGGAAAAGTTGGTGTTTGTTGCACCTCCACAGTATTTACTCCACATCTCGATCTGGCAGGTTACAGCGACAGCGACGGGCCAAACATGGCGAGCCGATTACCACCATCCTATCGGGGATATGGCGTATTTCCTGAGCTTCGCCTTCGCTCGAACGAGAGTTGTAGACACAATCGTTGTAATCTTGGAGACTCTGCGAGACTCGCAAACACACCTTGGTTTTCTACCTCACATGCAAGATGGCAAACCGAGCAGAAACTCTGGATGAGAACATCTTTACTATTGCCGACCTCAAGCGAGAGGGTAGCGCAAAGATGATCAAAGCGCACAGAGGCAGGTCGGAAGAAAGTATGCCTGAGACCGCTTCTGACGCTTAGCAGAATACTACAACGAGGGCGCAATGGAAATGGAGTCGTATGGTTCAAGGTTTCCAGTGCTGGGAGTAATCTGCTGACAGAATCGACTAGACTTCTGGATAATGAGCAAGCCTACAGAAGATACAAGATCCGGCCTCGCATCCTGGTTGACGTAGACAGACTCGACATGTCCACAGATATATTCGGAGTCAAGGTATGCAATCACTCGGTTGACAAGGACCGTTCTCTGAAAGAGCTCAAACACAGGTCCCTTTCCCCTTGGCTTCAGCCCGTCGGCTATGCACAAGCTTGCCCACCCTGAAGGAGAAGTCGCCACCTCAAAGGCCGCCGCAAGTCAAGGGATATGCATGGGCCTATCTTCGTACTCGACCACCTCGCTCGAAGACGTCGCTGCTCAAGGAGAGGGAAACCCATACTTTGTTCAGATTTGTGTTCTGAAGGATCGTAGAACAACGCTACAATTGCTCAAGCGTGCAGAAAGTGAGGAAGCATTGTCTGCTTACTCCTCGATGGTGCTGACATCATATCAGAGACAGGATATAAAGCTGTGTTTGTCTCTGTCGACGTCCCCGTCCTGGGACGTCGACTGAACGAGATGCGAAACAACTTCGTTCTGCCCGAGGAGATGGAGTTCCCCAACATACTCTCCAACGGTAAAGCCGAGTTCTCTGGTGATAATGAGGCGACTGCTTACGGTGAGCGACATTCCAAACCGTCTCGAAATTGTATGCTGACTGCCGTAGATGCCAGTCTCAAGTGGGATACCGCTATCCCCTGGCTCAAGGCGAACACAAAGATGCAAATCTGGTTGAAAGGAGGTAAGTACAATCGCTTGTCAAAAGTCACAAAACTGTACTAATCCTGAATGGTATCCAGTAAACACGGCGGAGGATGTGGCTCTGGCGATTCAACATGAACTCGATGGCATTGTCATCTCCAACCATGGCGGTCGACAACTTGATGGAATCCCGGCAACACTAGATACACTACGCGAGTGTGCTCCGATAGCCAGAGGTAGGATCAGCATCGCCGTAGACGGTGGCATCCGACAAGGATCCGATATCTTCAAAGCATTAGCCCTCGGAGCCCAACATTGCTTCGTCGGCAGGGTCCCGATCTGGGGTCTTGCGGTAGGTCAAATAGACTCAGCAGCTTTCCTACAATGACTGACCAATCGGCAGTACAAAGGACAGGAAGGGGTCGAACTTGGGATCAAGATCCTCATGCAAGAACTTGCGATTACGATGCGGCTGGCGGGGTGAGTGTGCATTGGCCCGACGATTGAGAAGTTACACTGACGAAAGACGAACAGATGTGCGCGCATTGAAGATATTACGAGTGCACACCTTGCTGTACTGACAAGAGACGGGATACTTGCGAAACTGTAAGAGACCGGAACAATTGATGGGGTGGGTGTTGAAGAAGTCATGTTTGCAGAGGTTGACCAATACCTCGGAGATGTGGCCGACATTTTCGCCCCTGAAGATTCAGGGACAAGCCGAGTCATCTGTTCCGACCCCACACTAGTTTATTCTTTGTTCGTCCAAACAGATAAGCCCATCTGGGCACATCCTAGTCGTGTCTCTTCCAACCTCCTGTTCCCAAATAATCCAACGTCAAATGCAACAATCGACAAGCGTAAAGAGCAAACGACAGCGAACATTCACAGGCTGTCACACTTGTCGAAGAAGACGTGTGAAATGTGATGAGCGCAAGCCAAGCTGCCGCCATTGCGAACGACTGGAGCTAGAGTGTGAAGGATATGACGCTCTGCTTCAATGGTTGCGCCCCATTGAGTCGACGAGGTCGTGGAGCGACGAAGAGACCGAATCTGGCATGNCCGATCGAAGATCAGAGACAAAGTCGACGTCAGCTATTTTCTGGTCAGCCAGGAGCATTGTCTTATCCAGATTGATTTACTGAGCAGCTACAGATGCGCAAAAGCAGAGCATGTGCCTGATTCTTCGTGATACCGGGTCCAAGATTGACTACAACAAAGATGTTGTAAGTATCGAGGAAGCATGCAAAAGTAGCAGTGAGACGCTCACCTTCGGACCTTTTGGTGCGTTCAGTCTGGATGTTTGCTCGGAAAATAGATCAACAAGCAACGAAGATGATCGTGGGATACTGATCCCGCAAATTTCGCATGCGCCGCAAGTGCCTGAAGCTCATGAACCAGATTTTTACTTGCACGAGCCTTCAACTCAGATGGATCACGCAGCTGGGCCTGATTCCTTACTCGGCCATGATCTACCAGATATAATGGGTGAACAAACTTGCACCGCCTCTTTGAACATCATGACAGTGCCCGAACCGGATGCTGTATGGACCAATCTAGACTGGCTGCAGTCACCAACGACTCTTCTGGATGAATCTGTATCGAGCATCGTTGGGGAGATACAGGCTGCTTTAGAGCCAAGTGTGTCAGACGCAACAAATTTGCAAGACGATTCCGCGGCCCTCAATTCGATGTGTCCGACATTGTCTCAGTCCTGGAACTCTAACGACCCCTTGCCCCAAATCGACACGTTGGCAGATCTTTTCAAGAACTCCTACGCCCGACCTGGGTCTACTTGGCAGGTTCTCCAGATGCCTGAAGTACAGAAAACGTTGGGACAAATCGCACTGAAATTGATACCTAGCCATGCAAGCTACGCCGTGCTGTACGCGGTACTGGCTGTCATGTCATTCCACATGGATAGACTCAACACGACAGAGCCTCGTTCAGGATACTGGTGGGCTTTGGGAGAAAATTACATGTCTCAAGCTGTTGCTCAAGTCCCCTTGTTGCTGGTGAACACACCAGGTTTTCTGAACAAGACTGATTACAAGTCCACTGTTATGGCTCTGCTGACAATGGTTGCGGTTTGTGTATGAGTACATACGTCCACGAAAACATGCCCCATCGGACTAATGTTTGAATAGCTGACGAGCGGAAAGCTCGAAGAAACCCGTATCTACCTTTTGGACACCCAGGAATTCATCAAACAACACGCATCACGCGAGAAGCAAAAGTCTCGTAAGATTCAGATGCTCCATGCTCTGTTCGTATATCTTCGAGTGCTAGAAGAGTCTACATACATCTATCCCATTCTATTTGAGAGGTCGCTTTTCAACAACAGAGCTCACATCTACAGCGTTACCAAATTTCCGTCTCTCGCCATCAAGGACCTATCTAACACGACGCGGACACCTCAAAGACCAAGCCTTGAAGAACTTGTACTACCAGACTTCTGCTTCGAAGCGCCTGACAATGCAATGCAACGTATGTTTGCAAACATGCTCTGCTTGCCCGAGTCTCTCCTTGTTCTCATGTCTCACATCACCCTTGTCGCCTGCGAAGCCCGGCAAGCAAGAAATACATCACAGACAATTGATGCAGGCATTCTGCAAGATTTTGACAACCGTGCCAAAGTCATAGAGGATCTTCTTTGTGCTTGGACATTTCCAGGAGATCGCCTGAATTGGGTGACAGCAGATTCTGTTGAGAGCTCTCCCAGGTCAGACGGTCGCGATGAAGTACTCGAGCATATCGCCATAGCTTTTCACTCAGCTCTGCTGCTTTACTTCTACCGCGAGGTCAAGCAAATCAACCGCCTGGTTCTACAACCTCTGGTCAAGAAGATTACTACGCACCTCGTTGATTGCGAAAACTCCAAACAGCAGAACAACGTTCCCTCCAGTAGCGTGATATGGCCGAGCTTTATGGCGGCGATCGAAGCGATGGACGAAGACGACTTTGCGCGGATCATGGGTTGGATGCGATCGTGTGCGGATCGGTACAGTCTGCGTGCTTTCGACCGGGCCATCACGGCTGCAGTCGAGTTGAGGAACTTGCGTGTACACACCGGCACAGACAGCTGGCCTGACACTATGCTGCAGAAAGGCATCTTTTGGTCCTGTCTTGAACGACAATACATTGAGCTGTTCGCTTCTACTATTTCTAATCATCCCTCGATCATCACTATCCTTTCATTGTCTGATCAAGTCCTCCAGCTTCTCAAGGAGAATATTCGCTACCCAGTTGCAATTAGCATGAGTGTCATGTCAAATACATGAAGAAGTATCTTACCATGGTGTTCCTGAAAGACGAGCATTGGCCGTAAACGAACGGCCCTGTCGCCGCATCCACCTAAATTAACGCCTGATGACTTTGCTCGCTTGATGAGCTCGTCGCGCCTAGGGCTATCAAATGCGATGAACGTCCCGCGATCTTTACCACGAAGATTCAAAATCTCGCCCGGGTACTTTGAGGAAAGCTGTTCAAGTTGATCGAACAGATACTTTCCCGTTTTGGCGGTGTGAGCTACCAAGTCTTTTGTCGTAATCTCTTCGAGGATTGCTCTGAACAAGATTGCCCTCGCCGGGTCACCCATCCACGTATTGAATTGCCTGTATGGCTTGTTTGGACGCAGGGAGGGTTCGCGGAAGTAGTATCCAGCGGCTTGGGCTTTCTTTGAGAATGTGACCATGTCTGGTGGGATAGAGAGGTCCCAATGCTCATGAGCCCAGAATTTTCCGGTAGCGCCAACACCCGTTTGAACCTCATCTACAATCAGCAGGACGTTGTTGCGCAATGTCAGCTCGCGAAGCGCTTGGAAAAAGGCGGGTGAAGCGTGATTGTCGCCACCTTCTGACTGAATCGGCTCTACTATGACTGCAGCAACAGGATTATGGAACTCCTGGATCAGTTTCTCAGTCTCCTGCAAGCAGCGTCGCTCCTCGGCAGTATTCTCTGCCTCAAACTCGTGTAAAGGGTATCGCAGCTTTGGGAACGGTGCGGCGGGCCAATCGAAGGCGGGAATGTCAAGCTTGTGAATCGGTTTGCTTCTTGTCGTTGAGAGACTGCCAAAGGTTCGTCCGTGGAACCCTCCGTGGAATGAGAGAATCGAGTGATTCGGTGCACCAGGTGCTTTGTTCAGCATACTGGATGACATCTCCTCGGGCGTGAACTCCACCTCTGGTCCACCTCGATTCTGCTGGGCTTTCCACATGATCGCCGCTTTATATGCTGTCTCGTTTGCGTCTGAACCAGTCGAAGCCGTGAAGACTTGGTTCATACCTGGCGGTGCAGCTTGGAGGATACCAGTCCGCAATATTTCAGCATATTCTGCATCTGGAAAGTTGCCCAATGCCGGACGATTAATCAGAGATCTAACCATCGCGGGGTCCTTTGAAGCTTGTTCAAGATGAGGATTGTTGTAGCCAACAGCAATAGACGCTATCTGTGCAAACCTGTTCGCCTGTCAACATCCTTGTTCCACTAGGGGCCATTAGAGTACGTACACATCCAAGAGAATGTTGCCATCAGGATCAGCGAGACTANNTCTGAGGTCAACAACTCGAACACTTCGGTCTGGGACGACCCTTGCTTACTAGTTGCCGTGACTCTTCTTGTAGTCTACGAGCATGTTCAAGCTTCGTGTATCAAAAACGTCATTCAAGTCGGTTCTCATCTGCAAAGCAATGGGTCCAGGAAGTTCCGTCTTGATGGATGGCTGAGAAGGTTCATGCTGGAAAAACGTACTCAGAGTGGCATATCGACGCGAGCTTGGTAGAAGCTTGTGAGGTTTTCCAGCTCTAGCCACTCTTTGCAGCGCAGAGTACGAGAAACGAGAGTTTAGCATCTTGTGTGTGGTTTTGCAATACTCGCTGCGATCTGGTTGTCATATATCTAGGATCACAAAAGAGTAGCTATTGAGTGCCCCGGATATCAAAAGAAGCTCGCCGTGGCTTTCCAAATCTGTGCTCGGTTGCTTGAAGCTCGCAGTGGGGCAAGCTTCGCTCTCCACGAGCATCGCTATCGGCATTCCCAAATTGTGAACCCCGACCGAAGAGCACAGCTAGAGTTTGAGCTTCCACGCATTGGTCTCGGCGGTGCAGCAGCCGGTGCTGCGTCTCTTGCAGACTTTGACACATCGTTCGTGGCCATTGATAACGCTACGCAGTATCCTGGGCTCACGTACCGTCCTGGAGCAATTTGAGTGTTTTACACGGCCAACAATATTTGAACATTTATCGATCTGTGCGATTGACTTAATATTCGTGACCCAAGGCTATCTTGGTTGATAATATTGCCAAGTACATTAGGTCATATCTAACATTAACCTACAATTCTCACTCAATTGTGAGTGGGCATATTGACACTTGCTCTGTTCTCGTTGGCAACAGCAGAGCTCCATAGCGAGGTGACTGTCTTGGTCTGGGTGTAGAAGTTCAACCCGGCCTTACCATAGAATGTGCTCACACCTCCGCCAGCAACACTTCTCTTATTGCCTGTGAAACTGAACATGGGAAGAGGCACCTTATAGGGTCAGCGTTATGTAGTCGGGCTCTTGGATATCAAAACTTACAGGAATCGGAACATTGATGCCGACTTGACCAGCTTCGATATTCTGCTGGAAATAAGAAGCGGTGCTTCCGGAAGACGTGAAGACAGCCACGCCATTACCATATTCATTCTTGTTGACAAGCGCAATTGCATCATCCAAGCTCTCAGACTCGAGACATAATAGGACAGGTCCGAAGATCTCTTCTTCGTAACATCTCATGTGTGGCTTGACATTTGCGATGACTGTGGGCCCAACCTGCTCGCAAGTCAGTAGTTGAATTGCAATCTTTCTGCATGATACTGACAAAGTTGCCGTTGGGATAGTCCTTAGGTGCTGAATTCCGGCCGTCCAGAAGAATGGTCGCACCTTCTTCTTCGGCGCTTGCGATGAGCTTCTCGATTCGAGCTTTGCTTTCTGGACTCACGACTGGTCCAAGATCAGCTTCTTGCTCGAAACCACCGTTCACGTTCAAGTTTCTAGCGCGCTCAATCAATTCGGGTAGCCAGGTCTTGGTGTCTCCGACGGTGACCAGAGTACTTAGTGCCATGCATCTCTGACCTGCTGCTCCAAAAGCAGCCCCAGATATCGCGTTCAAAGCTTGGTTCTTGTTCGAGTCTGGCATGAGGACAGCGTGGTTCTTAGCACCAAGGTTTGCCTGGCAACGCTTGCCGTTCGCCGAAGCACGAGCATAGATGTATTCTCCGGCTGCTGTACCACCAACAAAACTGACAGCCTTGACAGCTGGTTCGTCAAGGATAAAGTTGACTGCACGTCTGCTTCCGTGGATGATATTGACAACGCCTTCGGGGAATCCTGCTTCCTTCACGAGTTCGGCAAGTATCAGTGCCGCTCCGGGGTCTCGTTCCGACGGTTTGAGGAGTAAGCAATTTCCGGTCACGGTTGCTATTGGGATAGACCACAAGGGTATCATTGCGGGAAAGTCTAGCATTAGTTAGCGATGGTACATCCCACAGTAGGGAGCCGTAGACTCACTGAACGGGCAGATTGCGGCTACGACACCTAGGGGCTCCCTATAACTCCGAGTCTCCATATATTTAGCAACAGGGAGCACTTCGCCAGTCATCTGAGTCGTGATACCGCAAGCTGTTTCAGCGACCTAGGACTTGTGTCAATAGAAGCTACATGCCGGATCGTCGCCAGGCATACCTGAAGACCTCTAAGCACGTCACCTCTGGCATCCTGGAACGTCTTGCCTTGCTCCAACGTGATGCTGGCTGCAAGCCTGTCCCAGTTCTTCCTGATCAGTGCAGTGAAGTCGAACAAGATTTGCTGACGTCTCAGGATGCTCGTGGCTTTCCATTGTGGGAAAGCTGCTTCCGCACTGGCAACGGCAGCTCGAAGCTCGCTGTCGGTACTCTGGGGCACACGAGTCAGGAGATAGTTGGTGGCAGGATCATGAAGATCAATCCATTCGTCCGCCTCGGAGACGACAAACTTGTTGTCGATGAAGTTGGCTGTAGGATATGGTTGGTCAAGCTTTGCATGAGATGTTATATGCGGCGGCACGAAGCGGAGGCTCGATTGACTGAACAGGCGCTGACCAGAGTACGGGATTCTAAAGGAAGAGAATCTTGGAGCTGAAGTCGCACTGGCGTCACGACTCAGCATCAAGAGAGATCTTGAAATAGCGGGCATGACGAACGAGACTTGCAGAATAACAGTGTGACTGAGGGACTCGATAAGCTCATTAGGTGAGAGACATTGCGCTTTACATAGAACATCATCGCTGGGTTCGGTCGCGATCACTCACTGCACCTATCCACGAGCCAACACCATCGGAAGCTGAAGTAGGTGGGAGACTTGGTGGAGATCTGCTTCCCCACACTTGGTGGACTTGAATCTCCGATGTCGCAGTCGCTGAAGCCTGCCTGTTCTGTAAACAAATCACCACATTGATCTCTCCTGCGGGGACTCACACGAGACTGCGATGCGTCGCTTCCACTGTCCGACAAGAGGTGCTTACGTTGATCATGTGAAATGCTGGCATGGATGATCCTCGCAGGTAAAAGCCTTTCTTCGCGCTCTTGCCGTGACAACTACTTCATATCTCACATCAAGCCTGTTCGTTCTTTCCCGCTCCAGCCAAACCATCGTCTCTCCTATCCAACAATATCAACATCAACAGTATGTTACCTCAACAGCTCAGAGGAATCTTGGTGGCTTTGTACACCCCTTGGACCTCGGATCAGTTGGCCATCGATGCCAAAGCTCTCGATGCCCACATTCAGCATCTGATCAAAGCTGGAGTTCATGGCTTTGTACCTGGCGGCAGCACTGGAGAGTTCTCCGCCATGACTCTTGCTGAACGCAAGCAATTGGTCGAGATCTGTGTCAAGTCGGCTGATGGACGGGTTCCCGTTGTGGCAGGCATCGGCTCTCTCACTACCAAGGATGGAGTTGAGCTGGCCGAGCATGCAGCCAAAGCTGGCGCATCTGCTTTGATGGTCGTTCCCCCATTCTACGATGCTGTCTCGGTCGAACAGCTACATGAATACCTTTTGGAGCTGCATCAAGCTTCCAACCTGCCAATCATGTATTACAACATCCCCTCCGCAAGCGGCTTGACCCTCTCACCAACACAAATTGCTGCTTTGTCAAAGGTCGGTGTCAAATACATGAAAGACACCTCAGGTAATGCTCCAGCCCTGACCGATCTCCTCCTCACTCATCACAACGATATCACCACTTTCAATGGCTGGGACACACTCACCTTCTATGGCCTCGCTGCAGGAGCAAAGGGTTCTGTTTGGGGCACCACCAACTTGATTCCGGAGCTATCTGTCCAGCTGTGGGACGCGCTTGCAGTCAAGGGTGATCTCGTGCGTGGACGTGAGCTCTGGGCAAAGATTTTCCCAATCTGCAAGTTCTTGGAAAGCTACAACTACGCAGCTGCAATCAAAACTGGTATGGAGATCTTGGGTGTGTCTACTGGTGGTAGTCGCAAACCGTTTGCGTTGCTTCGCCCTAATGAGCGTGCCGAACTTGCTGAGCTCCTCAAAGATGCGGGTTTGAAGACTGTTGAATAGTTGTCAAGAAAAGCACGACGTTTGAGAATAGAATCACCAAGAAATACTTGTTGAGCCAACGCCAGAATGATGAAGTACTCTTTCACCCTTTGCAATGTTGAGATATCACTCGTGATTGAGTATATCACAATGAACTATGAGTTCGAAAAAGATGGCTTCTTCAGTGATGACACAAAAGATCACTTAGTGGCTCTACCCAACGTGAGCTCACGAGGGAAGGTATCCAGGCTGACACCCAGTATTGACCGGGGCCAGCCATCCCGTCGACTTTGAGCCTGCATGATGGAGGCCAGGAATGGATGCAGTGTACTCGGCTGGTTCCAAAGAACAAAGAACAGGGGTTTCCCAACGACAAGGAAATACAACGCCTTATCTGTGTCCAATCGGTCAGCTCGTACTAGTGCAGGAGAAATGGACATGTCTCTCCTGATTTCCGTTGGAAATGACGACTCCATTGATTGAGCTGTGACAGTCGAAGAGCACGGCCCCTTGGGCGAGTCGTTCAGACGAAAGAAGCCTGAGTCGGTCTCGAGAAAAGTGGGGCCAACACGAATGGAAAGCGTCCGCGACGGCGTCTATCTCGGCTTCCGTCATATAGATAACAAGACCAGCTCTAATTCTCAGCGGTTCCCAAATTAACACCTCCCCAGGACACATCGCAAGAAATCACCATGACTGAATTGAGTATCGATTTGACTGCTCCCAATGGCAGAACATACAAGCAACCCTTGGGTTTGTTCATCAACAATGAGTTTGTGCGAGCAAAATCTGGCGCCACCATCACAAGCATTTATGCAGCGTAAGATTTGCTTTCACAGGAGGTTGATATAGCAACTAACACAAGTACCAGCGACGAGACAGAGATTGCGACAGTGCAAGCAGCAGGCTCAGAGGACGTCAACATTGCAGTCAAAGCTGCCAAATATGCCCTCAAGAGTCCGGAATGGAAGCTCTTGCCTGCAACAGACCGTGGCATTATGATGAACAAACTTGCAGACCTCATGGAGACAAACATTGAGTTACTTGCTACTATCGATGCGTGGGACAATGGTAAGGCTTCTATCTCTCATCTCAATCGAGATCATCACTCACCCAAGAGCCCTANNGGCAAACCATATACAGAGGCTTTGACAGGAGATCTTCCCGAGGCCATCGGTACCATCAGGTACTATGCTGGTTTCGCCGACAAGTCGTTCGGTCAGACGATCAGTACCACGCCACAGAAGTTTGCGTATACCATTCGACAGCCCATTGGAGTTGTTGGACAAATCATTCCTGTGAGTAACGCTTCAGTTGTTAGATGTTGGTTTGTCATGCTAATCTCGTCCAGTNGGAACTATCCTCTGTCTATGGCCTGCTGGAAGCTCGGACCCGCTTTGGCATGCGGCAACACTGTCGTCCTCAAAGCCGCTGAGCAAACCCCTCTGAGCATATTGGTCTTTGCAAGCTTAGTCAAAGAGGCAGGCTTTCCGCCCGGCGTGGTAAATCTGATCAATGGATACGGCAGAGAGGCTGGTGCAGCCCTTGTTAGTCATCCAGATGTGGACAAGATCGCTTTTACTGGATCAACAGCGACTGCTCGCATAATCATGAAGCTTGCGGCTAGCACTCTCAAAAACATTACTCTCGAGACCGGAGGCAAGTCTCCGCTCCTGGTGTTTGATGATGCTGATCTGGAGCAAGCTGTGAAATGGTCCCACTTCGGCATCATGTCTAATCAAGGTCAAATTTGCACGGCCACATCGAGAATCTTGGTGCAGAGGAATATTTACGCATCGTTCGTCCAGGCCTTCAAGGATAGAGTCATGTCGACTAGTGTGGTTGGCGATCCTTTCGAGGAGAAGACCTATCAAGGTCCGCAGGTCACAAAGCAGCAATACGACAGCGTTCTCTCTTTCATAGAACGCGGAAAGTCTGAGAATGCAACTTTGGTCTGCGGTGGAGGTCCCGTGGAAGGAACTAAGGGCTACTACGTTGCCCCTACCGTTTTTTCCGACGTCACCGACGATATGACAATATACCAAGAGGAAATCTTTGGTCCAGTGGTCGTCATCTCTAGTTTTGAAACCGAGGACGAAGTAGTCACCCGAGCGAATAACACAACATATGGTCTGGGTGCCGCTGTCTTTACANAAGACCTCCAGCGCGCCCATAGAGTCAGCGCCGAGATAGAAGCAGGCATGGTGTGGGTGAACAGTAGCCAAGACTGTGACCCACGCGTACCATTTGGCGGTGTCAAGCAAAGTGGTATAGGGCGCGAGCTCGGCGAAGCAGGTCTGGAGGCATACTCGCAGATCAAAGCAGTGCATATCAACATGGGAAATAACCTCTAGATGCCGCAAGGCTGTTAATGCTTTTATGTTCATTGAAAGATCTACAACACTAGAGGGTTCATAACGTCATTCCACAACCGAGGATATGCAATTGGTCAAAGCTTCCAAGAGAACTCCTGGTCTGGAGTTGCCCCGTCCCCTTAGATCCATCAACCTCACCTCATGGATCAATCACTCAAGACTGATACTGATCGGATAGACGTAAGAGCGCGACCGTCACGCAACCGGATCACACCGACTTCTCTACTTTTTGCGCAAGTCGGAGTGGCATTCATACTCATCCGCCTTGTCCTTTACACCTATACTGCCTTCGACCCTATAGATCGCGAGTCATCGACGTGGTTCATCACAAAATTCTTGCTAGCGTTGGCATTTCTGTTTTGTCTTGCTTTGCAGTCTCTGTCATGACTGTCAGCGCTATACCAATCACGACCCGAACAGCTCAGCCAGTCCGATCATGTGTGGAGATCCTCCTGCTATAATCTGGCTCCATTTGAATAGCAACTCAGTTGTACAGCAACTACGACGTGTATCAACATCTTCAAGAATCAAGTCTACGAAGACCTGCCCAAGAACCGAAGGACTCGGCAATACTACCACTGAGCCTCTGGTCGTGCTGAACCAGGCGAAGGGTCTCATCCAGAGGGTGTGATTGACATTCAGATATACAGCAAACAAAGGGAAGTGTGGCTGTTCTATCCAAGCAATGGTAAATGAGGTGGAAACAAGCTGGGAATTCATCATCACGAGTGTAAGGAGATTTCTTTGCGACGGGAATGAAGTTGTACTTAGGTCAACTAGCTACTATACGAAATCTGCAACGAAGTTAAGCCTATGATGAGTTCCAAAAAGCTGCCAAGCACAATCGATTCTATTGCCCCAACCTGCAGCGGAAATGCCATAAGTCGTCACGGCAACCCTGTTGTCTATCTCATTGATCACAGACTTCTTTGCGGATTCCCACAGAATCTGTGAGAAGAGAAACGAGATGGTCAATTCATCGAATTGATTACGGGGGACCAACGGTGCCCCGGAGTCTCGTGAGCTTGTGTGATTACCGATATGCTCATGCACACCTTACCATTCACATGCAAGATTCAGGACCTCGGGACAAACCCAAGCCATATGGGTGGAGAAACTAGACCCTTGTACCCATGTCAGTACCAGATATGAAGAAAGCTGGAGCTCGGCCGAGCGAAAATTAAGATCTTCATGCTTGACGACTGCTCCTGTCACAAAGATGGAAACAGAAAGTCTGGCATTTTGGTACATTTCCAAATATAGAAAAAGGTAAAGACTACGATGGCTTGCTACTGTCAGCAAAAAGAACAACTCGTTTGTGTGGGGTATCGTTCCTGCCTATCAAACCATGAGCTTGATTGAACTTCTGGTATGCCAAGGAGCTGAATAGGTACTACCGATATACGTACCCAGTCGCAACCTTATCTGAAGTGCCTCGCCTGTCGTCGCTGTATCGCGTACCGATAGGCCTTGGACCCCACTCTTTGCGACTGATATGGATTTAGAGTGTGGGGTGGAATCTGCGCGAGATTCGTCACAGTTACTGATCAGCATCATCGTTTTGACTTTGTGGTCACCCCTGCTTACATACGCTGCTACAGAACGCTGGGCCCTGGTTACCATTTGCTTTGTACCAAATACCCTCTTTCAGCTGCCTTGTGGCCGTGTCTCAACAGAGTTCACAGCCACGCTAGGTCAGTCTGCCTTCACCGTGGAGTCGCATAGGGCCCTGCAGCACAGAACGCTTTTTTCAGCTCGGTCGAAATCGACCTACGACCTGAGTGATTGTGAATTAGAGGAATCAGAGCCTCACTCACTTCATATCTGCACATTTTCTGTTTGTGACACAGATCCAACAACCCAAGTTAAATGATATACGGCTTTCTGACAACTAGCCACACGACTATGAGCTATCATGATGACTCCAGGTCATCCTCATCCCAGGACGGCGTCCACAAAGAGAATATAGTTCTGCTCCAAGAGTGTGAGCTGGATTCTGTGATCGATCTGGAGAACCAGAACAAGGAGAAGACATGCAGCAAGTCACCCCTGGGGCTTGCGATCTGGATAGCCGTGAACATCTTCGCCACTATCGGTATTGTACGTTGATGAAGGATGTCGATTATCGATTCTCAGTGGATGCTTACTCACAATCAGGTCTTTTCCAACAAGTCCATCTTCTCGAATCCAGCACTACGAGGCGCGCAACTAACGTTCGCCTGTTTCCACTTACTTGTCACTTTCACAACGCTCCACATCGCTTCCACCGCTCGATTGGGATACTTCGAACGTCAGAGGACGAGCTTTCGATGCATACTCCCTCTGAGTGCCGCCATGTGTCTCAACATCGTTCTACTCAATATCTCTTTGGCCTTTTCTTCTATCGTGTTCTATCAGACCTGCCGGATCTTGCTCACACCGGTCACTGCGACATTGAATTATGCGATTTACAGAAAGAAGATTCCTATACAGGCAGCCTGCGCCTTGATACCCGTGTGCATCGGAGTCGGGGCTGTATCATACTACAGCGTCAGGCCAGACGCTGACGCCCAAGGTACTAACGTGTTAGGAGCAATTCTCGCATTTTCAGGAGTGCTCACAAGTGCCGTCTTCACGATCTGGGTCAGTGAGTATCATTCCAGACTGCAAATGACCAGCCACCAATTGCTCTACAACCAAAGTCTGTGCGGCGCTCTATTACTGTTCTACTTCATTCCATACTCCGACACCTTTCCCAGGTGGAGCCAGGTCTCGTCAATACATTGGACCCTTATAGCATTCGTAAGTATCTGTTTGAGATGATTCAAGAGTCATTCACTTATCTTTTACAGANGTGGTCTCTGTGCTGCAGCCATCAACTTGTCTCAATTCAATATCATAAATCAAGCTGGTCCAGTCGGCAGTACTGTAGTGGGCCATGCGAAAACCCTCTCGATCGTTGCTCTAGGCTGGATTACTCTTGGAGGCGATATGAATGACAAAAGCATACTAGGAGCTGTCATTGCTTTTGGTGGTATTGTTCTGTAAGTTGCCACGCGTGAAAATACGAAGCTTCTTCCTGATTCGTCCTCTAGTTACTCAATAGCGACCTCTCACTACAAGTGAGCCCCTCGATGGCAGGATAGATGATTTGCAGCGCATGAGCGACCTAAATATTGGTGTCAAGATACCGAAAGTTGTTTATGTTGTTGGCCATTATCGTTGTTCTCGGCTTTCTCGTGTGGTATCCTGAACCCCTGAATAACCATTTTCCATACTTTGCTCATACCAATTTCCGAGATGAGTGACTTCTGGAGCACTGCGTAAAAGTTTGTGTCGCGCGCCAACTCCGTCACGGAATTTATCGTAGCGGCGCCACCAAACCCAAGTATGTCTTTACCCCTTATTCGAGCGCCTGGTTTCCTGCGCGGTCTGCAAATATCTCCTTCATTTCTGCTTCTCAAAAGGACGTCGAAGTATCATGAAGCGATCAAGAGTCCTGGTGCAGTCCTGGTGCAGCGGATGTTAGTATTCGTGCATTCCGCGTTCACGGTAGTCATTACACGCGACTCTTCCCTCTCGAACGGGGTGCTTGGAAACAGGAGATGACGCACATGGTCGGCGTCACACTTTCCCAGAATCTTGTCTCTCTTTCTCCATCTACCCCTTTCTCTCCCTGAATAGCCTACCACACACAACACAGGAGGTCGGCTGCCAGCAGTTGCGACCAAAGTCCTTAACGCAGACGCCTCTTGTCTGTTCGGATCGTTTCCCCTATATGATTCAGGGGAATCACAATGCCACAGCCTCCAAAGTCTAGTCAAACATCCGACAATGCAGAATCCTATAAGAGGCGAGCCCATCTCTTCCGGAACATCCCACTTATACTACTTGCATGTTGCTATCATCGCGTGTCTGCCATAATACAACTTCTATACCCTCATCGTTTGACCATACCGCCGCAAGTCCATCGAATCATTGTCATTGCCAGCTTGATGATGATGTTCATCGTACTCTTGACTGTGGTTATTGTCCCGGTTGTCATCGCGTGGCCATCTATGGGGAAGAAGGCGATCAAATTGCCCGACAGCGACACATTCATTCGCCAAAATGGTACCAAATGGCAGATTCAGTATGTTGGAAACATCAAATTCACTGGGTCGATCGGGGAACTGGGTCTTGGGGGCGACAAATGTCGTTCCAGCTTTCTTGGCGGCCGACACATCTGGAACTGTGGTGATATGGAATGTGCTTCGGACCCATTCAAATGCGGCTTCTCCATGGGTCCTGCCTTCTACGGAACGAAGAGTGTATCAGTGATCAACACAACAGCCCACGCAAATGTTGGCGACTTCCAATTTGCTCCACCATGGCATGGAGACCCGAAGCCCGTCCCACCACAATCGCAGTATGGAATGGACACGTCGAATGTGGTCCCAATCAATGCCACCACTGGGCTTGCTTATGTCTGGGAAATCACCCGTGGAGCACCAGATGGTTCTCATCTTGATCAAGGCGCCGGCGTCGTTTTCGTGACACTAGGCGAGACTCAGCCTATTGCTAAGAGGGTCGGTCCACTTCTGACAGGCTCCGATTCAGTCGCAGTTGGTATCTTCGCCATTGCCCGAGTTCAACAATACATTTACAACTACAATCTGCAAGGCCCCTTTGGGAACATACTCGTCGGGCGAGTCGAAGCGAGCGATGCTGCGTTGAGCGCAAGCAAGTACGAATATCTCCTGTATCCTCCGGACAACAAGACTGCTCCCATCTGGACGCGTGGCATACCAGCTGCAAAGGATGCCGCGAATTACGGTATGCGAACCACTGAATCTTCGGGGCGCTTTGCCTGTAGCCAATATGGCAGTGTGACATGGAGTAGATACTTCCACAAGTATATGCTGATGTGTAATCTCTTCCTCGACTTCACGTTTTTCTACCTGGCTGAAAATCCTTGGGGACCGTGGACTGGCGGATACAAACTTCTGGGTGACGACTCGGGCTGGCTCGGTTATGGAGTTTCCGCGCATCCGCGATGGTCAACAAAGGACAACGAGCTATACTTCTCCCAGGGCCCGAGCGGACCGCTCAATATGTTCAAGTTGACATTCCACTACTAGTCACTCAGCTCTCGGATGCGTAGAAGTCGCGAGTCCTTCCAGCCGAGATTCCGTAGAGCTCTGTCTGACATCGTTGCCAAAGACTGTCTGGCGCAGACTTCTCAGCTGGAACATGGAGGTTGAAGAAGTTACACGGCACAGTCGCAAATGGCGTCCACTGTCTACCAGGATCATGAGTGCTCTGACCTTTGGAACTTTATGGACCGGATCTGTGGATAACTGCGTTTGCAACTTTGATAGCATATATGACGAAGGCAAAACCTTAACCCCGCATAGAACTATCATACTTGTTTGGCCATCTTGAGCCGAGTGCAAAGTGACAAGCTCATGTGAACTGAATTCAAAACGGGCGCCACTTAAGACGGCACGGGATGTCAGATTTAGAGCGGCTCGACTCTCGAGGCATTGGACTGCGTGGTTGTGTGGACCCTGCATCCTGTCGGCAAGCAGCCAGACCTCAAAACCTGGCGCTTGCATCCTTGGACACATGGTTCGACTCGTCCTGTATATTGTTGTACTTGTATCTTGTACTATGTAGACCGATCAAGCTGGTTGCTTTATACTCGTACCTGCCTCGGAATGCTTGTGATTATGTACTATTGACTGCATGACTTAGCTCCGCGCGACTGATGGTCGTACGCCAATTCGATCTGGACGTTGGGCTTCGAATTGGTAGTTGTCTGTAAGATAGAGAGATGGAAGAAACACGGGGTCAAGATCTCCCCAGACTCCAATTCAAGGTCAATTTTTGTTGTGAAGTCGTGATCAAATTTCCCTTGACTATTCTCTCTTCACACGGTCCAGTCTTCGATGTTCTCGAGACGTAGCAAAAGTCGCGATATCTTTCGCGTGACTGCCATAGTCGCCGGCAGTCTGTTACTTCTTTATATCACTCTTCACTCGCTTTACGATGCAAAACATCAACTCGGACTACAAACAAGCAAAGGCGACGGCTCTTTGAGAACGCTCAAAGAAGACCAAGACCACGATGCACAAGATCTCATTGATCTCGACGCTGTGTATAGTCAAGACTTCCAAGAAGACGAGGCCGAGGCCTCAGCTACCAGTGCCGATCCGAGCAAGACAGCTGTCAACGACACTGGTATCCCCATTGATCAGAGCAACGACATGGACGACGATTATGATACTCTCCCTGAACGTATCGATTACCACGAGATATTCTCTTTGACAACGACCAATCGCAAATTCATTCCGGTATTCACTGGTGGTGTTGGGATATATAATCCTAATATCATTCCTCATCCGACCGACCACACCCTGTGGATCATGATTGCCCAGCACGAACAGAGTGGTGTAGAGATATTCGTCTCGGAAGAAATGACTTGCAACGTGGGGCTACTGAACGATGTCATGGTTTGCACAGCGGAGCCGACTGTCATACCTATCGAGCCATCCATCACTGGCAATTGCTCTGCAGAACTTGCATACTTCAACGCTCGAGGGGGACCCCGCGATGCGCGTATGTACCATGGTCCAGATGCTCCATATATCATGTATGGATCGCAATCGGCATACTCATGTATTGGCATCTGGATCGAGGATGCGCGCATGCTGCTTGACGATTTCCATGCCGAAAGGTTTGTCGTACCCAAGCTCTTTACACATGCGACAGAAGTGCAGAGACCTCCACCAATAGGTGGCATGGAGAAGAACTTTTTCCTCTTCTGGGACAGCGCCAACAAAGCCTACGTACACCATGAGATTCATCCTCATCGAGTATTTGCTCAGTTATCCTTCGACGGCTCCGTAGGGCCAAATCTCGCTACATATTCTGCTGCGAAAGACGATGTGTGTATAGCCATGTACATGCCCCACTTGGCACCAGATATGGAGTCAATTCACCAGGCTTCCAATTCCCTCTCTATAACCCTTTGTAAAAGGGCGGATCCTGGTTGTATTCCCAACGACTCGAATACATTCATATTCACCATGTTTCATCACAAATCGTACCACGATTGGCATGGAGTCTATGAACCATACGTCATGGTTTTCCAACGAGACGCGCCCTTCGCCATACATGCTATATCTCAACGTCCTATCTGGATACATGGACGAGCTGAGTTGACCCGTGACACGCATTCCCTGCTCTATGAGAATGGAAAAGATATTCCCGCAGGACATACCGAGATGTTCTATATCACGAGCATCAGCTGGAAACTTCATGGTCAGAAGTACCACGGCTATCTGGACGATCCACTGTTCTTGGCATTCGGGATAGAAGACACCAGGGCAGGACTTATTGATGTCATGGCTGAAGATTTGTTTTCGGATCTGGGGTACTGTCCAGGGTTCATGACTAGATAGTCCATTCGGTCTAGCCACGATGATTGGTATGAATCACGGGAGATGCAAATTGAATTATTTGGTTGAAGTTCCATGAATTTGAGCAGTAATTAAAAGCGCTTTGAGTCGTAGCAGCTTCGTGGCTGAATGGCTCTCATAACATGATTGGCTATAGAACATGCTTCATTGAACTTCGAGCTCGATACTTAAATCAGCCGGTGATGATCGCTACATGTCACCCTCGCTCCATCTACTGTCCACGGTGATCTTACTGGCTTGCCCTCAATCACAACATCATCACGACAGATCCAGACCTGGAGTCAATCCTGGCGTCAACTCTGAGTCGCTGTATTCTATTTGTCTCGTGTCCAGAACTCTTATCTCAAGGTGATTCTGGTTTGGCGCTGGCGCCACAACCTCCGCTGGTAACACGGAGTCCTCCATGGGCAAATGCTCGACTTGAGATCCCTGAAGCGATGGATCCAACAGCTTTAGATCGACCGGAGGATTTGTATCAGACGATACTTGGAGAGGTGTCGAGTCTTCAGCGGTATCCGGATGTGCGATGAGATCCTCTGGAGAAGACTCTCCCGACGACGTGTCTGCAAGTGAGTCTGCTGGAGACACTTTTTCTTCGGCTCTCGCTACTTCATTGACAGACACATCTTGCGCTACTGGTTGTNNGGAACAGATGGTCCCATGGCTCTTGNNCTCTTTGATCTTGATGATCTTCAGACGCTCCTCTTCGGGAAGGCCATCGAAGAATGCCGTATTGGCATCCCACAGCTTCACACATTCCATATCCCAATTGCATCTCTCTACCTCGCCATACACGGGATGCTTGAAGCGAGGATGGTTCGATGGCCAGGATGAAGCGTGGAAATGATGTTTCACCATTGCGCCTCTACCTTTGTGGTTGCCCGAATCCGAATGGCCTGTCCCAGCAGCAAATGCTTCCACAGGCAGGACCAAGATACCCCCGACGAGCTTTGCCTCTGTAAGATCGGTAAACCTGCTCCAGGATACGGTCTTGCCAACGGTCTTTGACATCTCTGCGAGTATTGCTTTTGTGAAAGCTGAAGGACCGGTTCCAGTCAGAACTTCGTTGAAATCAAGGTGAAGCTCTGAGATCGGCTTGCCCTGTTTCCGTGACAGTTCGTGGAGCCACTTCATGATGTTCTCGATCAAGCGCATCATGACGGATAGTCTTGGTTTACACATGAAGGTCCATTGGCAAAACGATTGCGCTTTGGAACCTAGGACTGGGTGAGAGGCGAAACTCGGCTCGTCAACCTCAATCCCGATGACCATATCAACCTCGGCTTCGTCGTATATTACAGGAATGAACTTTCTGATAGGCCTGATAGCTTCCACGTCGATATCGGCGTACAAACCGCCTTCGACGTACATGATAAGATACCGCAGCAGATCTTGCTTGATGATCTTGGCGTTCAGCGATTTGTATACGCTGATTATGTCGGGTCTGTTCAGTCCCAGTGGTCCATAATGATGTTCCACATAGTGATCGGCGTTGTCGTCTGTCAAGACTTCGTATCGATGACCCGGATTCTTGACCGTCCAAGTCCTGGCTCGTTCAACATCTCTGGTCTCGAATCGTGTTGGGTCGACCTTCCAGGATTGCCAGATCTTTCGTGGAAACTTGTTCGATTCCAGAAGAAGCTCAGGTGACACATTTGTAAGTTTGTTGAGCGAAACATATAGTGCAACGCACACGATACAGAGAACAAGAAGTTGTTGGATTTGCTTCGCCACGAAGGCTCGGAATGACAGACGGTGTCTAGTAGAGGTTCCCATCATACTGCAATCTTAGACGCGAAGAAAGGAGCAGGAGGTTGAGGTCAACGTTCTGGGAAGCCCATATTGTTGCTAGAAGAGATCTCTGTGTGACATGTGAACTACGAAGCTCAAAATAGACGAACTTGATGTATTGCGTGGCAGGATTCGACCGAGGAATAGGCAATCAGCTCGAGGTACAAGGGTCGAGAGTCTAGTGGGGTAGTGGGGGCTACAAAGCTTGTCTTGAGATACTTTATCGTACTCTAGGTGCAGATCGTCATGCAAAAGTTTATCCACGAAGCTTAGATTTCTTGTACTTGTACTGAAGTACCACAATACCAGACGAATTCATATCAACAAACTGTGTTTCATAAGAGCTTTTGAATGTAACCAGAATTAGCAAAAGGTAACAGAGTCCCTCCACGCTTCAGCTACCATCAGACAAAGTTTGATGGCTAAAACTTGACAAGCGTGACAGACGGAACGTGCAAACCTTCGCTTATCGTCGAACGTGACTCTACACGCCTTTCCTCTGATGTCGCACAAGAAACTTGAGAGCGGGACAGTCGTCACAATACGGTAAGCTCAATCAAACAATATACGTACCATGTCGAGCCCAATGGCTCTCGAGGCACTAGCCCGCTTCTCTGACCTCGTCTGGAATGATTCATAGTCTCTGACCTACAGTACCTATCATCAACGTGATACATGCCGCGCTTCTAAGCGACTATCTCCTGCACTGGCCTTGTTCCGCAATACCGGATAGATTGAGTCGCACCAAGCGGGCCGTGCTGGGAGGGTCAGCTCGAATCATACAAGATACCCTGTGCAGACAAGGTCAGCTTGGGCCGTTCTGGCTGACTCTTGTCTAGGTCAGGCTCAGCTCATTCGTTCGAGTCCAGAAAATACGTGCGGACCCACGGGATGTTCGATGTTTGCGTTGTCGTAGTCCGAACTATCGACGCATGCATATAATCGCATGTTGAGGGTGAGACCTTTTTCTGACATCCTCAGATGACTGAGCAGAGCATTGAATTTATACAGTGCCCACTTTCCATACATCTGTCCTTGAATCAACTTCTACACAGGTGGTCCTGTCATTCGTTACGATGTCCGGGTTTTCGCGCAACAACAAGTCAGTCGAACAAGATCTGGTTGACATAGAAGCCATGCTTGACAATCATGATCGTCAACCGCAAGTCAAAAGATCATGGTCGATGCCCTTCGCTTCGGCAACCATACCAGCACTTCATTCCGAAAAGGAGAAGAAGCTCCCGAAGAGCGAACTTCATCGCACGGCCTATCTCGATGGTCTTCGCGGCTTTGCAGCACTTCTAGTTTTCAGTCTGCACCACCAAGTTTGGGGTCACTCTGGAACGGGTGGAGAGTTTGTCCTCGAGAATGCTTTCGGCTGGAACGGCATATATCAGCTTGTCTGCTTTCCAGGACTGCGCATACTGTTCTCTGGAGGACATCTCGCAGTGGCCGTGTTCTTTGTCATCTCTGGCTATGTCCTGTCCGTAAAACCGTTGACCCTGTTACAAGCAGGAGACATGGCAAAGATGTCCGAGAACTTGGCCTCTGCTCTATTTCGAAGATGGCTTCGACTATACATCCCCGTCGCTGGCACGACTTTTGCGTGGCTGACGTGCTGGCACATGTTCGACATCAGGTCCAGTAATCCTATCTCACAGTTGCCAGAGCCGACGTATCTGGGCGAGGTCTGGAAGTGGTATTGCGACTTCAAGAACTATAGCTTCGTCTTCCAAGGAGAGGCTTGGAACGCATACAACGATCATACATGGTCAATTCCAATGGAATTTCGAGGCTCTATTGTGGTATACACTGCTTTGTTAGCGATGTCGGGTTGCCGCAGGAACTCTCGACTTCTTTGCGAGTTGGCACTTTTATACTACTTTCTATACATCGTGGACGGTTGGTATTGCGCTCTCTTTGTTGCCGGCATGATCTTGTGCGATCTTGATCTTCTCGCAAGCAGAGGGCAGCTACCGCGAAGAATCTACGCATTGAAGAAGCACAAAACCGAGATCGCCTACCTCGCTCTTCTGATCGGTCTTTATCTCGGCGGAGTTCCCTCTATCTCGAATAATATTCAGCATCTTAGAAACTCTCCAGGATGGTACCTTCTATCATTCCTCAAACCTCAAGCGTTTTGGGACTTTAGATGGTTCTTCCGCTTTTGGGCTGCAGTCTGCGTAATCGCCTCGGTTCCACACATACATTGGCTCAAAAAGTTCTTCGAAACTCGGTTCTGTCAGTATCTTGGACGAGTGTCTTTTGGCTTCTACCTCGTTCATGGTCCAGTGCTCTGGACACTGGGTGATAGATTATATGCAGCCAGCGGTAGAATTCGCGAGGGACACATTGGCGTAGTTCCCGAATGGATCAATCTGCTACCTTTACCGGGAGTTGGGCCATTTGGCCTCGAAATCAGCTTTCTGGTCCCTCAACTCATATCTTTGGCATTCACGTTGTGGCTCGCCGAGATCGTCACCCAGTGTCTTGACGGACCCAGTCTCTACTTGACGCAGCGACTTTATCAAAAAACGATGTTCAATAGTGGGAGCGTGGGCTCACATCACAATTGCAAGCGCGAGATTAAGGATTGAGAGTGGTGGATTTCGTGAGATGTTAGAGCCAGATCTTGTATACCAAGTCTTAATTCTCAATTTGTCAAATTGTTCATACTCTCTGATGAGTCTGAATTGGTCGAGGAGGCTTGTCTCGCGCCTAACATGCGGCACCTGTGACCACGTGGATATCCAATACCGCCCAGAACTCAGATGCATGATGACATATGCTAATGATAGCAGCATGATCTAGAGTCTAATGAGGCGGCAGAACAGAAAATAATGGCTTCGACACGAGAATGCACAAGCGGCACAAGCGACGAGAACACGGGAGCTTCGCTCATATACAAGATGAGTGTACGCCACAAGTCCTGCTTCATCGGGAAACGATAGTGTCTCAATAGCTCATGCATAACCTTTGATACAAGCTGTGGGTGACATCCAGCCAAGAATAGCTCTCTGATCGTCAGGTGAGAGCTAAGGAAAAAGGTTTGATCTTCAGGTGAGAGTTTCGATAGCAAAAGACTTGAGTAAGCAGTACCTGTGCCTTCTTGATGAGATGTCCGGTTTGGAGAAACGCTAGTGGTGAAGTTCCCTCGTAGGTTTCTTGTGATATATGTAAGTGCCAAGGGTTGATTACTTGCAACTCCCAAGACATGGTATGATCAAGAGCTGAGATATGACTTTGCTTGAGTTCGATTGGCTTCCGCCAGAGGTCCGTCGTCATGGTCTGCTGTATGACGACTGATAACGACCCGCTATGTTTGACCTGATGGCACTACCACACTCACGATAAGCTGGGTTCAATATACACCCCAGCCTTGGACTGGCTGCGGTGGCTGCAGCATGATGAGATTTGATTGAGCGAGAAGTTGGTACGCAAGGTCGAGGGCGGTTGAGGGAATGTCATCGAAGATGGTTGAATTATCGTCTGTACGACTTTTGCAGATATATAGCTTGAACAAGTACCACTGAGGAAAATCGCTCACACTGACAGAATTTTGCAGAATGAAAACGTCGACTCTTTTATTGTGCGCTTGGGTAGTATACTCATCAGCGGCCACAATACCTGCCAGTTGTGGGGTAAGAGCGAACCCGCCCAGCTACCATCATGGATCACTGACACGTCGTCAGAATACTTGTGTAGCCCGCGCTATCAAGAAGACAGGCTGTGCGCCTAGTGATAGCAAGTGCATCTGCACTTCTGAACATTACCTGGGCTATCTACAATACTGCTTTACTAAGAAGTGTAGTCCTTCAGACAAAGATGGTATGCGGATGTTTGCCAATGCCAATTCGGATTCTTGATCAACGCTAATACTGTCAAGTTGCCATTACAATTGCCACAAGCGTCTGCGATATCGTGCTCGAGAATGGTGATCAGGAGGTGGATCCAGGCTTGAAAGTCCAGAAGCGCAACGCAGCTGCAGACCGTAAGGACAAAGGGCACCACAATGACAATCATCCTCCGGCGCCGCCACCTGCCACCGGCGGTTCACCCAAAAGCCCACAAAAGGCTCCAGCTGGGAACCACCCATCCCCTCCCCCTCCCCCTCCACCTCCACCTCCGCCTGCTCCACCACACAAGGGTCCTCCTGGTATACCACCATCACCACCACCAATCACATGGTTCACGCCAACTCCCATCCATACGGTGGTTCCATGGTGATGGGTCCGATACTTTTCGAACTTTGCACCCTATCTATTGTTCTCCGAAGGGCATCTTGGACTTCAACTTTGGTCTTCTCCTGTAGATCTTCCAGTATAGCTTTGGCTGAGGTTTCCTCCACTTGCTCTACGTTAATCACTGTGCTTTCTTCTATATCATCACAAGCCCTTCATCCACGATCTGTCGAGTTATCTGATGTCAGCCTCTGCACGTTGTCGTCGAAGAATGGAAAGATCAAATCATGAGGTCGAAAGTGCAACGCTCATCCATGTATAAAGTGACTCACTTGAGATGATGACACCGCGGTGTTTGTATATTTGCAGAGGCTAGCTTTAACTTGAACCAATCCTGTCCGCTGTTCTCATACAGCGCGGTTCTCACGTGTGAACAGACTTCTTGTCGTGAGTGCCCTGTACAGGCTGGGAGTGACCCTGTGCAGATCGAGCGCAACCAATTCAGGACCAACCGCCGAGACAAGCTACAGGACACTGATACGGCACAGAAAAGCTACAGATCAAGGGATGCACAGCTTGTCTGACTGCCGTTCGCTGATCAGGGCCTAGAGATCGAAACAACGGTTCCCCGCAACGCAAAAGCAGCCCGCTAGACTGTACGCTAGGTCGGTTCGTACTGATACAGCCGTCAGCAATCCCCGCACCCCAGACTAGCGACCTCGACTGCGAACCTTATAACCTATCCAGACGGGAGATGAAAGGAAGGCAAAAGGAGATGCATTATTGGCGTTGGCCATCTGGATGCGTCCATATGGAGGACGCAGTCAGCGGTGACCAGTATTGACGGGGAGAGTCCCTACACACCACATGGTGCAATTTCGACTGGGTAGGAATATCAACTTTCTGGACGCCCAAGTTTGACCGGCAGCAGCTCGCATTCTCGATAGTCACCCCAGAATAACGCCCCTGACTTTGGAGGATTGCAGTACGATCTGGGTCCTACGCGCAGCTCATATGGCTACGTTCCGAGTGTACGGAAGGCACAAGTGGATGCTCGTTGCAACTCTCATGCTGCTCCTCTGGTTCTCTCTGTGGTTCACAGATCCAGGTCTCGCTATACCGGTTCGTTTGGATCCCGATCATGAGAAACCCACGCAGAATTCTTCACACGATAATACAACTATTCCAGACACGAATTTGTACCATATCCCAGATCACCTGAAGACTCAAAGGCTCAACCTACAGGACTTCGATCCGCAGGAATTACACTTGGACAGTGACCTGCATCATCTGAGGACTAACGATGAATTCCTTCCGTTCATCGCCGCCATACCAGATCTCAAGAATCTTAGTGTCATCGATGCGTACGGTACTTGCGAATATAGTGAGCAGGAGTTATTCTCTTTCCGCTATCATGCAGATTCTAGTTGGGTCAAGGAGCCTCTCAGCTTTGAGGCCATACAGCCGATCCGAGAGGCATGGCAGCGATTTGTCAAACACGGATTGATTTCCTGGCAAGCTGTCAAACAAAAATTCGACGGTCGAGGTATTGTCATCGTCGGCGGCGGTACTGAGAGTTCAAAGCGCATTCAGGTCATCTTACGCGCATTGAAAGGATATGACACGTCACTGCCAGTCGAGATCAGCTATTTTGGAGATGAGATGGACGATTCCACCATGCAGCAACTGACAGCTATTTACGGTCACGAGAGGCTATTCTTCAATGATCTCTCTCAGGCTGACCAGACATGGAGAACATACAAGAGTTTGATGGAGAACTATCAGCTCAAGACAGCCGGCATCATCAACGCGCGCTTCTCCGAGATATTACTGCTCGACTCGGATAACATTCCCACCTCTGACCCAGCGACTCTATTCGAAAGCAACACATACAAAGAATACGGCAGCGTCTTTTGGCCGGATCATCCACGTACACGAAGAGAACATCCCGCATGGGCTATCTTCAATACGCCATGTCGTCGCGACGAGTACGAGTTCGAGACCGGGCAGCTTCTCGTCGACAAGCGTAGATACTTTTATCATCTTCAGCTCGCCGCCTGGATGAACACACAAGATTACTGGCGCGAGAGACTGTTGGGGGATAAAGATCTATTCCGCTATGCGTGGCACGGCCTTAAGACAAGATACGGCACACCAACCAAGTGGCTGACCAGTATTGGATTCGTCGTCGAGCAGACAGATGATGTGGAAGGAAGCAAACTAGTCTACTGTGGTCACACATTCGGCCAAGCGTATCCCGATCATGAAGATGGTGACCATGGCAGCGGCGTTGCGTTTTCTCCATGGAGGCTCGCTGAAAACATTCAGCGCGCCTTTGCTTGCTCGCTTGCGCAAGCTCAATGGAGGAATCTTCACGCACTTCAAACGCGTGGCCGCATCGACCTTGGAAGATTGGAACAAAGTTGCGTACGATGTTGGGACAAACCACTGGCACACGGCTCCTTATTACAACATTACGCATAATCTGGAACCTCAAGATCTAGTTCTTGAGGACGATGATCTCGATATGGATGGAATCAGTATCGGCAAAGATATGGTGGCAGCACTCGCCTTGACGGAGGAGATTGCGAACAAGGCCGTGCTCTGTATGGACTTTGCGCATGTGGAGGCTCGAGCCATTAGTGAGCTAGGTAAGGACGCCGAACGATTCGAGAAGCTGTTCAGGGAAGTAGGAGGATATTGGATGATTGAGGATAACTATCGAGGATGGTGAATCGAAAAAGACAGGTGGTCAATCGATTGACATAGCCACCAGCTACCAGCCTGCCTATTGTCCATATTTTTCTAGGCTCGTACCTATCTTCTTACACAACCTTCCACATGGCTCATCTACGTATCTCGTAGCCCAATGCGCGACCACGAGTACCATTGCCAGAATGCTGTTGTAGATGACAAATGCTCTGAGAGTCAAAGCCTTGGGCCCCCATTCCGGAATCCGGATGAGGTCATCGTAGAAAGTTGGCTGTGCCATGTATGGCACCGCACCCAAAACGCGTCTCCAACGATCTCCTATGCAGAGAAAGAACGGGAAGTGGATGGCATAGGCCATGAAGCTAACATATCCGAGATACTGGACCGGTGGAATACACAAGAGCCGTTGTACAGTCAAATTGTGTTGCAAGCAGCGTACAAGAATGAAAGCGCCATAAGTGTGCCAGTATCGGTAATAGTTGTACGAGTTGTAGGCGGAGGGAATGTAGTCAGTGAGCAATTCCCAACCTCGTATGCTTCTAGCTAGCTCGGGCTGACCATCGTAAGAAGGAGCCGAAAGCAGATAGAGGCTTATAAGAACGGCAGCCCAGCTCAGCGCTAGATCTTTCAACGACCCAAGCTTCCTGGTAGGATTCGTGATACACCCAATGTTGCTGTCAAGTACGGCAATGACGATTCCAGCCATGAAACAAGCTTGCCACCAATAAGCTCTGTGTAACAATATGACTGCTACGCCACCCAGGGCGCCTGTGATGTAGGGTTTGGACAACGGTATGGTCGTAAGAAACGTCAAGACTGTGTACACAAGTAGAGACCCTTTCAGTGTTAATGGTATTGTCCACAGTACCGGATCGTAAGGATAGTGATCCGCCGGTGTAATTGTCCGCGTCGGATCGAAGAACTTCCAAGAGAGGCGTACAAATGAACATAGCTCAAGATAGAGATTGTCTCGACGTGTGTACCAGAATGCATCCGGGAATATGTTGTATGGCAATTGCATGAGCAATGCACAGAAGAACGCTATTATGAGAACAGGAAGATATAGTCTCACTGGTCTTCGCAGTAAGCTTACAAATAGCTTCACCCTGCATTGTCTGCGGCGATCCTTTGCCAAAGCGTTGAGAGGCGATAGTGAGAGTACGTAGCCAGTAAGTATGAAGAAGAAGCACACAGCCGGATTGCCTCCCAGGTCAGCGAGTCGGATCAAAGATGCATAAGCTAGTCCGTAGGGGCCAGTCGAAGCCCAGGAAGCATTATCGTGGATAGAATGTGCCGACCCAAACAGATGGGAGTTGAAGACACTGAGCATTGCTATACCACGAAGACCATTCAGGTATGCTCCTACTGGACGAACCTGGCTCTTACTCTGCTGATCTCGAGTCCGCAACTGTCCCTCCAGGTCTATTGGTAGCATTGAACGCTGGGTATGATGGAATGGAATCATCGCGCGCATAATCTGCGTGGAGCTCATCTTGACGGATTTCCCGACTGACATGTGATTAGCGCAAGTAAATCGTCGTTCTGTGTGTATCTCACTCCCGAAGCAACGCTAATGCGACCTCGCAAGAGGATAGTCGTTGAGAAATTCGCGATAGTGGCTCACTCACGCTGCTGCTGCTGGTGCCGTCGACGGCAAGACAAGGGTTTGAAACAATGAAATGCCTTTGACACGTCAGTGAGAAGCAAAGTTCTCGACTGGGAGGACTGTTGTACCCCGCTCCAGTGGTGATCCATATTGATGCAGATGGACCATCTTCGCCGATATACTTCTTGTCTCAGCTGCATCCACACCAGCTGTGACCATGCTCGAGCTGCAGGAGCTGTGAAGAGTCGCGAGTGACTTGCCGACGCCAGAGGGAGTGACATATCCAGAGTGTTGCCGCGCGCTTTGGGCGGCTTTAGCATGCCGCGAGATCGAGAGCCAATCAAGACTAGCTTGTCATTGCATGCACACGAACCAGGTTCCATGCTGACGTGACAAGCGCGAAGTACCTCAGCTAGTTCCTGGGATGCAGTGTGGGGTAGGTACGAGCAGCAGAGTATTTCTCGAGCTGTCGCACGTGGAATGGGGTACACCCACGAATCCGCTATTTCCATCGCAGTCGTACGTCCCGAGATTCCCGCATTAGATCACACTTTCGGTAGAGTCAAAGCTGCCTTCGAGGTCTTGTCAGTTCTGCCCGTGACACAAATAGATAGTCTAGCGTGGTTCCTTTGTGCTGTGCACGACGTACTGTACTTAATGCTTGGAAAGCTAGCAAACGCCACTTTTTGATTTCTCTTGGATCCGTGATGTGGCACGATATCGACGGCTGATGTAGGACATGGGCGGGAAGCTACCTTACCGCACTTGACGTGGGGAGATGAAATATTGACAGCGCTCAAAGTGCGCAAATTGACCTTTGGCTTGCCCATTGTGCCTTCACCTGCACCCTTGAATCCCCGCGAAAGAACTCGTCTACAATGCATGGCTCCAGAGTGCTGAGAAATGACAACCGCTGGGTTTGCCTGAGACGATGGTCAACACTCGTCTTCCTGCTTTTGATCGGCTATGTCATTGTGAGCCATCGCCCTTCGATAATTGATACGCACCTGAGCAACAAAGATCTCGGCGAACCGTCCACGGTGTCTGCACTGCATCCAATCCAGCCAAGTAAGGCGATTATAGCAACGACTCTGCAAAAGAACGTCGATAGCGCAGACTGGATCGTCGATTTGCTTCCAGAATGGCAACCATACATCTTCATGGCCGATGCAGCCGTCGACGATGCTCCTGTGTTGTCAAGCCAGCATGCAAGGAAGATTCCCTTAGCTTTTAACAGGGGAAGAGAAGCAGCATCGTATCTTAGTTACATCATTACGCACTACTACTCTCTGCCGGAATATATGGTTTTTGTGCATGGAGACAGGTACCAAACGCACAATGGTCAGACAATTCTGGAAGAGTTACAATCGAGCCGCTGCTGACTCCCGTATAGATGACCCAGTATGCATTTGTTCGCATACAATACGCGCCCAGAGCTAACGCTACGTAGANTGTACGATACTTTACCATTGATTCAAAAGCTCGACCTTGATTACGTCGACCTAGAAGGCTTTGTCAATCTACGATGCAACTGGAAACATTGCCCAGAGCCCTACATTGTTCCTCAGCGCGACCACGAGGATAGCATCTGGGAAGCACATGGAGAGTATGCCAAAGCCTGGGAATTCATCTTTCCTAACGAGACACTTCCAGAGAAGGTGGCAGCACCATGTTGTGCCCAGTTCGCCGTAAACCGTCGGACGATACACCAATGGCCGGTAGCACAGTACGAACGCATCCGAGCTTGGATATGGTCAAGAGAAGGAGATCTCGCAAGCATGAAGTCGGGTATCATCTTGGAATACATGTGGCATATTCTGTTTGGAAAGCCAGCATACTGGTGCGCGCCTGTCAAGGCATGCTATTGTGGGACCTGGAATATGTGTCACTTGGATTGTGATGAAGAGAAAGGGTGGTGTAACGGAAGGATCTGGACAGCCAACCCACCAGCCAGTATGCCGGTATGTACATCCATGATGTTGAGACAGGGAGAGTCACTGAAGTCGAGCAGAGCAACTGGCCGAAAGAAGGTCAAGNATGGCAAGATATGGCCAATCGAGGGCTGGGAGAAGGGTCTCTAGACTCAATGGGTGTACTGAGGTGGGAAAATGTTACGAACCTTCTTCATTTCACCCATTTTCTGGCACTTCTGGTTTTCAAGATCTCTCACCTTATATGATAATGAGGACGATGCTCAAGAGACCCCAGCTTAGGGTGCATCAAGGATTTCAATTGGAAAATTTTGATAGTCTCCACAACTCTTGTACCGATCGAAAATCACGGCCAAGGTCTTTCGATCAACGTAGAGAAAACATATGGTCGTCAACCAGAACCTTCATACCACTCCGACTTCAATCATGCTTCGCAAGACATTTTTGCTCCAGCCACCTGGCAAATCTCAGCGATGGTGTGTCTACCAATCGCGTGAATACATCAGCCGCCCAGATGAGAACGGCCAAGAGAAATATCGTAGCCAAAACAAATCCTGTCTCCTTTTTCATATGAGTATCATCGCCAATGACGTTCCAGAAAAATGCCAGCAAGAGATATCCCGCCGTGTGGGTGATGTAACCATGAACGAGGTATAGACCAAAAGAGATCTTGCCTAAATACTGCGACACTTTGTTGTTGAACAAGCGTTGGAGTGTCGGGGAGTTTGATGTTGACCAGACAACTAGGAGAGCGCCCCAGCTTGTCCACCATCTTACCCCGAACGACTCAGGGATCCATACAAGGAGCGTATTCCAACCAGGCGCGTTCTCCAAGTTCATCTCTGGTTGACCACCAAGGTATAGTCCGCAGAGAAAGACAACGATGTAAATCGTGGACCAGAAGAGATCAATACGCGTTCTTGTTCTGGGTTGAGATGTCGCAGGCTGACGACTGATGTCTAACTCGGCAAATATGAAACCTGCATAGAACAAGATAATAGACCAGTGAGCGATTTGATATGCAAAGACAATCAAGCAGATCAAGGAGAGCAGCCGAAACCATGGTCTTAAGCGGCAAAGGCCGAGCTGCGTGACGAAGAGAATGATGGAATTCGTCTAGTAGAATGTGTAAGCATGCTTTCCTTGGTGCGAATCGTTAAACTCACATATTCCGTCGAGATAGTCCAGAGATGCACATCGTAATGCGTAACATCGTAGTTTGTGAATGGATTCACAAAAAGGATACTTCATACAGCCAGGGTTTAATCTGTTCAATTACCGTCGCTGTACGTTCAGGATGGGGTTCCGAGAAGCCAGAGAATCGTGTGTGGTTGTCTGCGATCGGTCTTGTCCACTCGTATAGCCCAAATCGAATGGCCAAGACGATGAAGAACGTTGATGCGATACAAGGCAAGAAAATTCGAAAAGCTCGGCGAAAAACCGAAGACGAGAACGATGAACAAAGGGCCTCGAGATCTCCTTGTCGCATCTGTTTGACAGCTTTGTAGGAGAGAGCATAACCTGAGACGGCGAAGAAGATGCCCACCATAAAGGGGCCGTGGTAGAAGAAGCGAATCAATGGTAGGCGTAAGGGCGAGCTAAAGCGTTCAGGATCCCAGGGCGCCCATATGTTGTGTGATAACATTGAGAGGTGGTGGAAAAAGACAAAGACAGATGCTAAACCTCGCAGACCATCGAGCCATGCTGTTGCGTGGACTTTCTTGCTTGACGTAGGGTCGGCATGATGTCCTAGTCTGCTCTGAATGAAAGATGGCAGCATGAATATCAGCACGCTTCTCATGATCCGTACTGCGAGAGCTCGCGACGGTAGAATCCATGTTTCATCCAGTTTGAAGAATTTTGAAGGCGTTCTGATCGTCCATTTTCCAGCCCGAGACGTATCCGGTATACTCTCGAGCTCTGGGTCCACGTAACGCCCCATGTGCAGAAGGCCCTTCTCTTCTTCCATCTCGCTACGATGAAGAAGGATGTCAAGTACTGTATGAGGCAAGATGGACGAAAGTTGGTAGTTGGGAGCGATGGATGTTTTTTGGTACAGGCGAGCGAGGGCTGGAGCCTCATATAGACTCGGTCTCACCAAAGGCGGAGGTCCATCAAGAGCTGATACTACCTTCGTGAGGCCTGATTCTAGGATACTAGCAAGCTGCAATGATGTGCTTCCGTGCTCGGGTCTGCGTTCAGCCTGTGGAAGGTCATCATGTATCTACCATTGATCCCAGTCTCGGTCGACTAGTTTAGGCCAGAAATACACTATCAGCAATCATTCGACTCTCGACAAGCTTGCTAGAGCTGAGATGAGCTGTGTGGCGAACCTAGAGCAACACACACACGAATCAGGGTCTTGATGACGATCACTTCGGGGCAGGAAACCATCACAAATACTATCCAGCCGTCGACAGGCAACACTACCGCGGAGTGCTCGACCAGTACTATCACCTCGATACAGCGCCAGTGTATCGATGGCTGGAAGCTACGCCAGTACGATTGGGTAGTCATCAAGTCCCTTGCGCCAGTTTGATGGAAAGTTCAATGTGAAGGTCGGATACAATTCAGCCAGACCTCCAAAGTCAGATGGTATGAAGACTTGGTAAATAAAAGTATGACTGAGGACTTTGGTACTTGATACAATGCGAGATACATCCAGACATAGACTCTGGGGTACATGCAGAAGTTCCGCTAATGACGGCGGTACGGTACATACACGTGGGGGCTTATCCCCCGTCAAACTTTACAGACTTTCCGTCTTCCAAACGCTGTTCTATGGCGCATCTGGACTCTGGACAAATGATAAAGTTGTATCTGTACACTACTTGCACTGATCTACAGTACCTGCGTGCTGACTTCCCAATCATGCAGGCTCTTGATAGCATGCCGGCTGCTTTGCACATCAGCTCTGATCACGCAAAGCCAGTCAATGTCGCGCATACAATACCAGACGAGGGCTCGATGTCTCACGGCACGAGACGTTCGTCCAGGTCTAGAAAATGATACGGCAAAGTCTATCGGGTCTGGTGCGATTGCAGCTGACCTTACAAGTTGCGTTTTGCACATCCGCACGTCCTTGACGCAAAAGCGGCCGGAAAGAAAGAGCGACCAATTTCGCCCAGTCCTCTGATCTTGCCCAAGGCCATAATTGTTATCTTAAGACAAGGCAGATCAGCTGCCCTGGGATCTTACAGTCGCTTCGTTCGATTCCCATGAGTTATCAGCACAAACCCCACAATCTCTGGTCATCCATCGAAAGAGGATCGATGTCTCCTCGATTGGAGTCATCGCAACGCCAGATGCATTTCCCAACACCAAAAATGAAGAAGACGAACCTATGCACCATAGGCGCTAGCGGACTAATCGTAGTTTGTGTGCTTCTACTTGTCTTTCATGGAAGCTCGTCAATCAAAGACGATTCATACCTGGATTTCCCTTCGTTCTCCGCAACCACCCGGTCGAGACCTTCTACAGGTGATATCCAGGATGTCTACAACGAGACGCTCGGTGTATGTACAATTACCGCGCAACCATTCGATACCCGTTTACTTACGTTGTGAAGTNTTCAGAAAATCTTTTTGGTTTCGTTGCCTGAACGTACTGACAGGAGGGATTCTTTCACTCTACAAGCAAGGTTATCTAACATGAGCTTCGAGGTAATCGATGGCGTGGATGGTGCAACGGTACCAGAGAAGGCGCTACCATATGTCAGTCTGCCTGCATATATGACATGATTGAAACTTCTGACATCATGCCAGACGATGGTAATGTCACCTCCTGAGATCGGATGTTGGCGTGCTCACTTGAACATTATGCAGGAGTAAGTACAGCAGCTGTGTTCTTGACATGTCTGTATTTGAACTGACGTCTAACATCNNAGCATGGTCGCAAACAATATCGCAACTGCTCTTGTTTTCGAGGATGATGCAGACTGGGACGTCGGTATCAGAGCACAGATGAGGGAACTTGCACGAGGATCTCGATGGCTAGGCAATACGACTGGAGAGACCGCAAAACCAATTTCGCCTTATGGAGACGATTGGGACATCCTCTGGGTGGGTCACTGCTCTACGAAGTCTGGCTCTGATCCTCGAAGATGGGTAGTCCCGCATGATCCGACTGTTGCTCCCCCGAACTATCGCATGTACCAAGACCAACCGGATATGAGAACCTGGGAGTCTGGTCCTGATGCGGATAACCAGACTCGCATCATCTTTGTGGCAAGCTGGGGCTTCTGCACTACGGGGTATGCAGTCTCACTCCGTGGCGCGATGAAGATGTTATATCACCAGAGCTTGTCAAAGTTCAACAACGCTGTCGACACAGGCTTAGCCCTTATGTGTGCGAATCCTCCGGCCGCGTCTAACTTTCGATGCATAGCACCATATCCAGCGATGATTGGTGTTTCAAGGCCTGCCGGTAATGTCGACAAATTCAGTGATATCAACTACGAGAAGTTTGGCAATGTCCAGCCACTCGAAGAGGCTCGCTCGGACGGTCTTGTGTTTTCAGTCCACCAGAATATCGACCGCCTGGTAGCTGGTCAGGCAGAACTCAAGAGTCAGTATCCTGAGAATACTGGTGAGACTATGTATCTTGACGACATCTTGGCTGCAGTCGGTCATGGCGAGATACCCGACCCGTGGGTGGAGACAACGTAGTAGGCTTGGCCGATATCGAGTGTTTAGAAGATGGGTCAATGATTCTCAGTTACGATCTAGTCAAGGTAGAACAAAGAAAGATAGAGAACTTCATCACGACATAAGTGTCGTTGACGTGCAGATAAAAGTATCATAATTCAGAACGTTGGACAGTGTCGCAACCGACCACATTCAAAGACCAGATAGATTTCCAGGAGAACATACTCATTTCGACTACACAAGCAGAAAGATAGCACGGTTGAGAGGGTCAATGAGTTTTAGAGGAACAGAAAATCATGATTAAATGACAATCTTAGCATAAAACCCTCAAAACACTTTTCAGCTTGATACTACAGATCAAGGACTGTGATTGTAGAACCTTCTAAGCTCATAACAATCAGCATAGACCAGATTTCCAGTCGTCTCAAGGCAAAGGCGACAAAGCCAAATGGTATTGTAGTAGTACATGCGAGCAGTGCAGACAGGGCAAGAGTACCAACGTCCTCCAGTGAGAGGCTGAGCAGTTGTACGTCTACCGAGAATCATCTCGATGTCGTCGATGGTGAGGTCATCCTCGGGCTCGTCATAAGAATCACAGACTGTGTCGATGATGTCGCAAGGCATTGTTTACAGAAGTTAGTCTTAGTGGGGCGATATGTGTAGGGTCGCTGGGTGTGAGATGATGGTAGAAAAGATCTCATGGTTCTCATATAGGACTTGAGGATCGTTAAGATAGCTATGATCAGATACAATAAACCAAAGAGACAAAGAGCTGAGACAAAGGCTTGAAGTTATGATCAAAGACCTCTCAGCGATGTCGATGAATACGAACAAAGGGACAATGCTAGCTCTCACTTCAAGGAACGAGATTCTGTGAGGAAGCCTAAATCATTGCAGTCATCTTCTCCTTTCTCGATCTCTGCCATAGAAAGCAATACCAAAGACATGTCAGGTTACCAGCAGAAGGTTTGCGGAGGAAACTCAATCCCATAAGGTTTTGCTCATATTCTGAGCGCAAAAGGCCTTCTGCGGAACCGGCACGATCCTGGCTATCTACCACATTCGACATAGAAAAGAATTTGACTTGGACGGAAGAGTCGAGAAGATAGCATTGTTATCGGATACTGATAAAAATCACAAGTCAAAGGCTTTCACAACAAAAGAGGATGGAAGACAGAAAGTAAAGGGGAAAAAGATTGATTCGATATGACACACCCCAACAAACACATGATAAAACCAACATACGGAAAAATGCAGATCTGAGAATGGAAAGTCTCAGTCAACGGCGGCAGTAAGGGCACTGCCACTTACCACTCCAAAACATATAATTGGAGCATGTGGGGCATCTAGGTGCAGAAGGGCAACAAGCGACAACGACAGTCGAAGAAGAGTTGCTAGTGTAGCTACACATTGTGATCTTGTGTCGAAGTGGGTAGGTTTTGGGGTGTTGGAATGTGATAAAAAAAAGGTGAGTGTGCTAACTCGTAGATTACTATATGTATGCTCTGGTTTACCAAAGTCAAGATGTTGCTTGCACAATGCTCTTGACTAAATGGACGAACACACAAAGAAGATCTGACGTGATGGACAAAGATCGAACGCTTATGAAAGAAGAGGTATCAAGCTTGATCGAACTGCTGAGTTTGCCGCTTTGTCCTTGTCATCAGTCGTCTTCCTTTTTCAGTTCTTGAACCTTCAACGATAACGATGAAAGCTCCTGCGATCTTTCCTTTGTCGTACCTTGAACAAGACTACTGTTCTTGCGTATAGAGCAGGACTCACTTTCCAGGCCTGCGATGATATAACGTTATCCAACGAACCCCTCAAGTGTCTTCCTGATCATCCCATAGAACTCAACTTGAACAGCGAATCTTCACGATGTATATTCCTGACCCTCCCACACCTACCACGCCTACAGCCGAGGGTAAACTCATGACCTATATCTGTACCACTACACAAATGACAACTTCCAACAGTTTCATTATGACTATGATACAAACCGTCACAGTTAGTATCTTTCTTAATTTCTCAAACCCTACCACTCTCAAGGTTCGTACAACTACTGTCAGCACCATGACGAATGTGGACGTTACCGTTATGTCTACAAGGCCTCGCTGCAAAGTTCGTTATCGTTTTGCTTGGTTTGACGACATCCACAAGTTTCTATGTGTGAACTATAGGCATGGTTGGTAAAGTATTGGAAATTGGGTTGAGGTTTAGCAGTATCCTAATATCATTGTCTGAGTATGCAAATACACTTGCCTTCTTGTCTTGTGTGATCCCATTCAGGCCCATGCTCTGTTCCAGTAATCTACACAGTCGTGTTCTCCTAACGCGTGCTAGGTCTGCAAAATGCACAGCAAACATCCGTCCTTTCTACTTTTCCCTCGGCGTCTTTAGCGGGCGACCAGAGACACTCAAGAGGATCCAGAATTATCCGCACATGACCAAGCTGATGTACCGCCGTCCACGGTGTAGCTGTCAATAATCGAGACAATAGAACCATACGTGCCGGCGATCATGAGAAACATTCCCGAGACGATGACGAAGACACACCAGCCGACCATCAGGTACCAAATCCGCGTACGTTCACCACGCCAGTTGTCGTACAGCCACATACATCCATAAGGTTGGAAAGAAAGCAACGTACCGAGGAGTGCACCGACAAGAGACACAAGGCCGCCGAAGACCGGAATGGCACTAGCAATGATGTACGAGATGATGATGGTGCCGGCAGTACAACAGAACCAAGTCACCCAATGGATCAGGGTGTTTTGAGTGACGTGCTTCGTGCCACGCAGTATACGAAGGAAAACGTACTTGGCCGGCAGCNNTGTTCACAATTCAGTGCGTGATATAGATACTGCGTAGCTTTGACTTACGTGTGAAAGTAGGATGGTGCTAACACAGAGGCCTGGTAGAGCTAGACCATAGCAGACCTTTTTCATAGTCACTCCCGCAGAGCCAAGTGCGGGTGACGCAACGTACGACCCGCAGAAGTAGTAGACCACGATACCGATTGCGATGTAGATCGCCGTGACGAGGGATTGACAGATGATGAGTGAACGAGTAAACAGGCGAGGGTCACGCATCTCGGAAGCAATGGGGAAGAATCCAGGTGTGCCGGCGTAGGCAAAGACCAAAGAAGACACCGCTGAGATAGCATCCACGAATGAAGGATCACCGAAAAGCTTGTAGTCCGACTTCCAAGGGCCATCCTGGGGTGCTGAAGCCGGACGACCTCCGACTCCGACCGCTACAGTAAGGGTCAAGACTTGGGATCGGTCAGTCGTAGATAACGGGATAGGAGCGAGCAGCTTACTTGAGGCAATTATGGCAATGACACCGACCCATGCCAGCCATGTGATACGTCCTAGAGTCTGGATGCTACAGAAGATGAATCCGATGATGGCGGCGACAGCAACGAAGACAGCGGTGCATGCTCCATGAGTCGAAAGAGCATTGAGAGCAATCGAGATGCTCAGCATACCAGACCCTGCAACAAAGATCCAATCCACATGGATGTCAGACCATGACTAGATGTCCGATACACGTTGTCGCTTACAGAGAACGTAGGCGACGCCCATCACTCCACGACCGATTTTGCCGAACAACAATCTCCCAACATCGTCAATTCCGTAGACTTCGGGATGGTTCAGCTTGAAAGCTCCAACCATATAGTCTGACCAAGTGGTGATGGCGGCGATCACCAGGAGACAAATGATGCCGGGTATCATTCCAAGACTGTTGAATACTGCTGGAATCGAAAGAACACCGAGACCGATCTGAGTTTTCATCATGAGGGCTACCGTTCCGAGCCATCCTACCTGCAATTTGTCAATAGTTGCGAATGTGCAGATCCTGAGTTACGCACATTGCGATAATTTGGACCGTCCCCTCCGATGTCTCCAAAGACAGCATCATGATATGGCTCGAGAGTGACGACTTGTCCAACATTATGGGAGTAGGTCTGGGCAAGGGTGTTTCCGGACTTCTCTTCGGGGTCTGACTTCTGTTCATGCATCGTGACTCAAAAAAGAAAAGCGAGTCCTGAGTACTGTATGGTAACAATAGAGGTGGATAGTGTGGGGAAGGAGTCCGAAATATAGTCGTTCAGGGCTCGTATACGTAAAGCTTATCATGCCAGATGATACTCCTCGAAGGCTAGTGCGAATCTTCAGAGTCACCCGCGCCGTCTGCTATCTCTGCTACGACCAGGGTTGTCTTCAAAGATATCACTTCTACGCCATTGACATAATCGAGTCTCAGTTTCTCGGAATAGCCGTCCAAGCTGATTCACCCCGGATCGGCAAGGCGTCCGAGGCGAAGATACACATCGAAAAGTCACTCTGTATTTCAGCAATCATGTAGCCCATCATAATAATACACGTCCGGAAGGCTCATCCTAACCGTGAATTCGGATCAAGGCCGACCTGTACAGATACGGCAATCATCACGCGTTTATGTCGTCTCACTGACTGGCTCAATCCTTGAGGTCTGCGTAGTGCCAATGTACTCGTCGGATCCATCATCAGACACTTCATCGACAGAAGTGAAGGCAAAAACGTATCTATATGCACTTATTGTCATGGTATAGAGGCTGCTGGCAAGTCAAAACAGTATAGCGCATGGTGGAGTGGAACGTGAGATGTTTTGATTCTTGAATTTGTTCCGTATATGCGACAAGTGCCTGATCAGACGAGCTCAGTAATTGCTAGGGTACAAGACCTCATCCAACTTGTGGTATTCCTCTTTGAGTGTACGAGGAGCTGTGAAACGAACAAGCATGCCCGAGCTGCCAGCTTTATCATTGGTGCCACTTCCACGCGCTCCACCAAAAGATTGCTGCCCAATAACGGCGCCAGTGGTCTTGCAATTAGTGTAAAAGTTTCCGGCTGCGTAGCGCAGGCGATCCTCGGTCTTACGGATGACTTTTTGGTCAGTAGCGAAGATTGCTCCGGTCAGTGCAAAGCCACCGCCTTGCTTGTCAATAGCCGTGAGCAAGGAGTCATACTCAGCATCAGGATAGACGTTAGCCACCAAGACTGGACCAAACAGTTCTTGGTCAAACATCTCATGATCAAGAGTTTTGGCGGCGTAGATGGTAGGCTCTATGTACAGACCTTTGCTACCGTCGTAGGTACCACCAGCAATTGTCTCTAGTCGGTCATCCTTGTTTGCACTATCAATGGCAGCAGTGATCTTGCTGAAAGCCGCTTCATTGATTACCGGCCCAGTAAAGCTGCTGAAATCCTCAGGAGCGCCGACCTTCACATGGCTGAGATTTTCCTTCATCTCCTTCCAGAACTCGGATGCACGGCTCTCGGGAATGTAAATGCGCGAGCATGCAGAACATTTCTGACCAGCGTACTCAAAAGTGGCCCGGATGGTGTGTTTGACTGAGTTCGGTATGTCCGCCGAGTTGTGAATCAAGTGGAAATTCTTGCCCGAAGTCTCGGCAACCATACGAGGGTAGTCTCGGTACTTCTTAGTACGTACGCCATCGGCCGCTCTGGCGTAGAGCTCGCGGAACACATCAGAAGATCCAGTAAAATTGAGAGCGGCAAATTCGGGATGGTCGTAGACGACGTCAGTGACGAGCTCGGCGTCACCGTTCACGAGCTGGATCACCCCTGGTGGAAGCCCAGCCTCTAGCAGAATCTTGTGGACAAGATAGCTAGCATAAACATTGCCAGCAGATGGTTTCCACAAGACGACATTGCCCATCAAGGCAGGACCAGAGATCAGATTGCCGCCAATAGCTGTAAAGTTGAAGGGAGACACAGCGTAGACAAAGCCCTCTAGTGGCCGCCAGTCTGTGTGCCCAGCCTGACCAGAGGCATTGAGGGTTGGCTGACGTGAGTAGATCTCCTCAGCAAACCCGACGTTGAATCTGTAGAAGTCGGCCAGCTCTGCCGCAGCATCAATCTCCGCTTGCCAGGCATTTTTGCCTTGACCTAGCATGGTTGCAGCCATGAGTTCGAAGCGGTACTTGGTAGAGACCAACTCGGCTGCACGTAAGAAAATGGCCGCTCGATCATGGAAAGTCGTTTCTTGCCAAGTCTTCTTCGCTTGCAGAGCTGCTCCGATAGCCGCAGCGACATCCTCTTTGGTGGCTGGGGAGTATCGTGCAAATACAGAAGCGGTCTCCGATGGCATGACTGTCTGCATTTCACCTTTGCTGGCTGCCTCAACGCCATTCTTAACTGTAGGCACAGACACTGGTAATTCATTTCTCAACTTTGACAAAGCTGACAATAATTTTTCCCTCTCGGGAGATGATTGCTCGTAGTGAAGCTATGCAGACATCAGCGTGGTCTCTTCACGTCGTTTTGGAAGGAGTTTCCATACATTAGGCTCATTGTAGGGCTTGGGAATCTTGAAAGCCGTTGATACCAATCGTACCGACGCGACTCCTGCTCTGTTAACTCGCAACAGGTTGCGCTTGATTGATGCTCTGGGGAGCATGGATTGCATGTTGTTGTATGGAGGGGAGGAGAGAATGATTGTTGAATGAACGACCAAGTATTACACTGTTGTTCTCAGAATATATCAATGCTTGAGAGGACAGACGACAACTCGGTCTGTCAGCCGCGTGGTGCATGTCCGCCGTCCTCGTATCTTTGCTGTCAGGTGAAAGTTGGCCGAGGGTGTGGGCCACAGGATCGGGATCCCATCCGTAGCGTTGTTCAAGCGACCGGACACAGTCAATCGATGCTTGTTGGAGGACTTCTGAGCATTGTGAGTTTGCGCAAGAGGCAATTTGATACTCAACAAGGAATTCAGTTCCAGGCGCGCATCGGAGTAGATATTCCATCACGGGATGTTCAAACAGAACTCGACTTGAAACCTTTCGCCAGCAGAAGCTGTGACGACGCGTGAGCTCATTGGCATAAGATGACACGAGAATTATTGTTTGGAAACCCGCCTTTCCGAAGTCGCGAACAACATCGCGTATATATCACCTCTGCTGTCGCTGTCGCTGTCGCCATGTACATCTTGAAACAGGGTGACGGTGTCAGCGATTCGAACGTAGTATTGGGCGGCTAGCGCCAAGCGCCCGCGGCTCAGCCGCCGCGGGCAGACTGGCACGTATCCGGAGCCAAGCATAACAGCAACAACATACCAATCGCGTAGTGATGAATGGTTTGGCGCGACAAAACACGTTGGCCCTCGGTCTTGGGGTTGTATGTCACGAATAGGGAACGGCGAGTACGAGTTTGATCGCATGCTTGACTTGAATTGATGCATCACTACAAACACTTCTCAAACTTTGCCGCCTTTTCCATAGCCGCCTGAACACCACGCTTCACATCCTCGCCGACCGGCCCATAGGGGTGTCGGGGCGCCAGCTTTGCTTCTGCTCCATCGATTTCTGCCGCTACAGCAGAGTAACATGAGACAGCATACTTAGTCGATGCGATACCGCTCTTACACGGACTCTCCGCCAGTGCCGCGATTCCTTGAAGCTTCTTGGCCTCTTCAACTTGACCAGCCTTGTACAGCTCGTAGATCTTCGCCGTGAGTTTGGGGAACACGTTGGCGAACGCAGCGATACAACCAGATGATCCAGCAGCCAGACCGCCAATCAAGAAATCAGACTGACCGCCAAAGATTGCGAAATTTGAAGGACTGAAAGTGGCCGAGAGACGTGTAATCTTGCCGACAGACGCGCAGGTCAACTTGACACCCACGACGTTAGACGTTCCACTGACGGCTTTAGACTCGTGGACTATGTCCGTCATGGTTTCCGAGTCGATATCCACACCGTTGGTCACACCGGGAAAGTTGTATATCACGACTGGAAGAGGCGACCGAGCCGTAAAAGAGGCGAAGAAACGCTTCACCACAGCCATGCTGGTTGCTTTGCCGAAATAGGCGGGCGGAAGCACAAGGACATAGTCTGCGCCCGCCGCTGCGGCATCCCGAGCCAACTCAAGAGACTGCTTGGTCGAATGGGCTCCTACACCAATCATGAGGGGAAAGTCTGGACCGACAGCAGCGCGAGCGGTCGAGACGAGCTGAGCTCGCTCTTCGCGGGTGAGCAGAAAAGCTTCAGAATTGGTGCCCAGAATGACAAGACCTGCAAGACCAGTGGTGGAGAGGTACGAAAAGTACTTGGACTGGGCATTGAAATCGATAGAATCCGTTTCGTGATCGAAGAAAGTGATTGCTGGGCACCAAACGCCAGAGGCTGGGATATGAGGTTTCGAAACGGTCTGAGGTGCTTGAGCTGGCATGTTGTTCTGAGAGAAAATTGATGTATCGATGAGTCGATGATGTTGAAGCAATTTACTTGAAAATACCAACTAGTGAAAGCAAGTTAGACCGGGATATATCACTTGTAAAGCATGTACACAAGAACTTAGCGTCCAGCAATCGCCGAAGCATCATTCCGGTCATCAGCCGCAGGCATGCGGTAACAACCTCCGAGTATCGGGGTGACTCGTGATGTGATGGCTGTCTCATCGGGAACCATCCCGAGACCGTCTGGTCACCGGAATCGTGTAAGGGTTGGCGTATAGATGTTGGAAGATGCGGTCTCATCTCCTACAATACCCTATATTGTAGCCGGGCACTTCGGGAAAGACGTATAACTCCCACGATAATTCGGTAACCTTAGTCAGGGACCATGTATCATTCTAGATAAGCCTCGTCTTGATAACGACTGATCAACCGCGTTGCTCCAATCCCGATAACTGGCTGAACCACCCTTGCCGATACAAAGGCCGAGTCACCGAAGCCACTGCCGAGTCTGAAAACATAACTAATTGCGAAGGCCAGGTCACTCGACTTGTACCAACAATCGTCGGTTGGTTTTCCTGGTCATCAATATGGCTTTTTCAACCACGAGTGCAGTCACATGCAATGTTCCCACCATCGAGAAAAGAACCTGGTTCGCAGGTGCCGGTTTCGTTCCTCCAGACGCGATCTTTGCATTGACAGCGCAGTACAACGAAGACCCGTCTCCTCGCAAGGTCAATCTCGGCCAGGGTACTTACCGGGATGATGATGGCAAGCCGTGGATTCTTCCATCAATTCGGCGCGCGCGAGAGCAGCTTCTTTCAGAGAGGTTGGATCACGAATACCTGCCTATACTTGGTCTGCGTGAATTTTGTGAAAGTGCTGCCGAGCTTGCTCTTGGTTCGAAGATCTATGCTGCTCGCGACAGAGTAAGCATTCATCCTTGTCCTAAATTTGTGTTATCCAGGCACTGATGTTTGATGTTGTGGCCACAGCTTGCCATCTGCCAAAGTTTGTCCGGTACAGGCGCATTGCATTTGATCGGCTTGCTGCTCAAGAGAACCCAAAGTCCACTACCCAAGATATATATTCCGGACCCTACATGGTCCAACCATTACCAGGTATTCAAGTCTCTAGGCTTCCATTGCGAAACAATGCCCTACTACGATTACAAGCACAAGGCACTGGACTGGTCCTCCTACCTGACTGCCTTGGAGGACGCCGAACTGGGATCAGTCATCATCATTCATGCTTGTGCACACAACCCCACGGGTTGCGATCCTAGCCAAGCACAATGGCGAGATATTGGTAACATCATGAAACAGAAGAATCTGTTTCCGTTGTTCGATGCAGCATACCTTGGGTTCAATTCCGGAGATGTGGATGAGGATGCATTTGCAATTCGTCACTTCATCGATGAGCTCAAGTTGGAAACCGCCGTCTGCGTGTCATTCGCANAAAACATGGGCCTTTATGGTAAGCTTTTAACGTCTAACAGTGTTAGTAGAAGGCTGCTGACCACAATTCTGTCGCAGNGAGAACGTGTCGGATGTGCCATCGTGGCTTCGAATAGTCAGTCTGTAGCCAGAAACGTGCAATCTACGCTCGAGAATATCCAAAGATCGGAGGTAAGTGAATTAGCAAGCGTGTGCGGTATGGAGACATACAGTGCCAGTGACGAAACCTTGGAGAGGCTTAAGCGAGAGACTGCCATCTTCCGCCTGAATATATGCTGATATCGTCTTCCTATCAAGGTGTCCAATCCACCTGCCTTTGGTGCCAAGCTTGCGAGCGCTGTACTAGGGTCCGAAGAGCTGCGAAGTACATGGTATGCGGACCTGAAAACCATGAGTGGCCGGATCCGAGAAATGCGAGGAAGTCTCCATGACGAATTGATCGCTTGTGGTAAGCAAGATCCGCCTCACTCGATGAATGATGAAGTCTGTTGACAGCGACTAGGTGCTCCAGGACCCTGGGGCCACTTGGTGAAGCAGAGCGGAATGTTCGGATTTCTCGGATTGCCTGAAGGTGTTGTTACAGTCCTCAAGGGTAGGTCGATCAGCAGCCATAATCCTCAAGCACGGCTCTGACACCTTGTCACAGAACAATTCCACATTTATATGCCGAGCAACTCCCGGATCTCGCTCGCGGGACTGAATTCGAGGAACGTCGGATATGTTGCTCTATCCATTGGGAAATGTATGAAGGAGGTCGCGATTGACACAAACGGAGATCGGGAACACAGCCGAAACTGGCTCAAACGTAGTGGGACCGCGGGAATAGTGGACAGCAGAGGTATCTAGATGTTGTCAGACAGACTTCTCAGGTATAAAATGGTAGACACGGAGCCAAGATACAACCACGTCCTTACTCAATCATTCCCATCAGCCCATTGAATATGGAGCAGAAGCAGCTGCTGCAAAACGAGAGAACTCCGCTCGCTCATCGTCTGTGGCGGCGGTTCGCAGGGGACGTTGCTGCTGCAACAGCTTCTGCCGTGATGATAACACCACTAGTGGTAATCATCGACAGGTTAGTTCTCAACGCTCGCGTACACCGGACCTGATGTTGACAATTTTTGANNAGGGCAATCGTAGAGCAATCGTCCTCAAAGCGACCAATGCTACAATGCCTTCGCCTGCATTTTTCCAATGCGATGAAGCGTCCCAGCCGCTTTGTCCTCTCTCGGCCGTTCGGCATTGTATGGACGCTATACGCGGCGACTTACATAGTTGCCAACACTTCAGAAACCTTTGCGTCTACCAGAGATAACGTACCCATTGGGAGTGTCGTGCTTGCGTCGACCTGCTTGGTCAACGTTCCACTTGGTGTTTGGAAAGATGTCAGGTTTGCGCAGCTATTTGGCGTCGGGAAAGCTTCCGTGATTGCCGGTGCCGCTGCCTCTACACACACTGCCAAGGTCGGAAGAACCCCGATCTCGGCTGCAGCCACCTTTCTCGCTAGGGACACGCTCACCCTCTTTGGCTCGTTCACACTGGCACCATGGTTATCTGCATCTCTGCCGGAAGTCTCGCTTTTGAGCTCACAGGCGCAAGCGGTTCTTACGCAGTTGACTGTACCAGCTTTGACACAGATTGGCGCAACGCCGCTGCACCTTCTCGGGCTGGATCTGTGCAACAGGCCTTACCGTATGTCTTGGCGTGAAAGAATGATTCAGATCAGGTATTATTTGCTCTCGACGACAATGGTGAGGTGTGTTCGGATACTGCCTGCTTTCGGCTTTGGATGTCTCACAAACACGGCATTACGAGAGTATCTGCATGGAGACAGCGGACTGTTGACTGGACCGAACGGCGACATTGATCGTTCTCACTCATGAATCTGCTATTTAGAGGGAGATCTAGGCAATGTGGCAATGGAAAAGCCTGAACATGTGTTGAGTCGTGTTCTGTTAGTGTCGTGTATCGTTAACATGCGGGTCGCTGTCCATGCGACGAGCAATGGTGACTGCTTCACGGAGGGCTCTTCCGATATGGCCACGTACACCAGCTTCCTCCATAACCATCAGGCCTCCAATGGTACACCCTTCTGGAGACGTTCCTTGATCCTTGAGAAGCGCCGGGTGAACGCCACTCTGCAGAAGCGAGGCAGTTCCTTGCATGGCTTGAAAGGTCATAACATGAGCAGTCGCTCTTGGAACGCCAACTGCCACTGCGGCATCAATCAGGGCGTCGCAGATGACAGCAAAGAATGCTGGCGTCGAACCTCCCAAAGCAGTCGTTGCATCCATCAGTCTTGGTTCGATCTGCACGGTCTTTCCTATCTTTTGGAAGATGGCTTCAGCGATGGCCAGATATGGAGCCGGTATCGAAGGTTTCGAGATCTCAATGGCGGTGAGGGATTGAGAAACCTGTGCTGCAATGTTTGGTAGGGTACGAAGCACCCAAGCGCGATCCTTTGCGTTGTCAGGGGCGGATTTGTCACCGTAGAGTACTTCTTCCAGTTTCTCGCGAGTCCAACCAGCGGCGACACTAATGACAAGCTTGTTTCCCAAGGCTTCTCGAAGTCCAGCCTCGGTCAGAGTATCTCGAACAGCAGAAGGGTCGACTGCCAAGATTATGATGTCTGACTCCCTGACCGCTTGAACGTTATTGTGCCTGTAGACGGTGACATTGTGATCCTGAGAGAATTGACCCTTCAGTCGTCGCTCCGAGTCCTCACTTCGTGTGCAAGCTATAAAACGAATGATTCGTATTTCATCGTTCTGCACCGGATCTACCTGAACCAAGCTGCTGATGATAGGCGTCCCAAGGTTGCCTTTCCAAGGGAGATTGATTAGCAGTGCAAGCNNACCGTGTGGAAGGGATATTTGCGTACCACAGCCTAGAAGACAGAGTGTGGCGTCTCGCAACATAGTTCACTTGAATGTAGAAGAAATTCGGTTCGGGATAAGTTTGTCTTTGTGTCTGGAAAGGAAATTTAGAAGACGTGGAGTATAACAACGCCGATGTCCGGGATACAAGTATATCGGGTACCTTTCCGATATGCTAGTGGGATTGGGATCACACCGGCACGATTCACTGATAACGAGAGCCACAAATGGCACCATGACAACACACCTGCGGGTCCAAGACTTCCCATCTACGGACCATGCTATCCTACACTAGAACACTGTTGACACTGTTGAGGCCAACAAAGACTTCGGTGTGGTGCTTTTACTACAAGCTCTCACAGGATTACAAAACTCGTCAATCATATTGTGCTTGTAACTAACAATGAATGATATAATCAATATTTGGTGGTGGGAAAAACAAAGATAGCCTTCATCCTTTTCCATGACTCTGCTCTCAAAGCTTGCAGCTCGTCCCCAGTTCTCGACACCGCATCCTGGTTCTCAACCGCTCTTCGAAGCAGATAAGCCAAACACTCGCTCATGGTTCCCCAAGTTGAGCATTTGAATACCTCGGGTGGGGAGCCATCGTTGTCCCTCAAGTTGAGCAGTCCGAAGCTGACTTGGTCAGACATTCCCTGCAACTGTGCATAACCGACAGGCACGGTTGGCATGGCAGCTTTCAAGCGTCTCTGGTGCATCTCATGGGCAGAGAAGACACTTTGCTTGTTGTGGCTGGCCAAGAACAGATTGACAGATGGGAATGATCGATTACTTTTGGAGCCAAACGATCCCAGCTGCTGGCTCAGTGCTCCTTGAGCGATGCTGTTGTATGCGTTGTCCGTGTCTTGTTTGGTGTCGTGAATAAGCGATCGCTCATCCGAGTTGATGTAAGCACCCCTCACAAGCTTGAGACCAAGTGTGAAGCCTTCGTTGCTGGCCAAAGTGAGGTGCTTCTCCAAGGTTGCAGGGGTACTCTTCAGGTAGGCTTGATACGTGTTGTACACGAGCGCCCGTCCATCTCGATTGAACTTTCGCATCAGGTCGATTGTTGCGTCCATTATGCCCCACTGGAATCGTTGAGATTCTGCATCCACGAGTATACGTATGTTGCGGCGCTGGCATTTAGTTGCGATGTCATCGAGAGCATCGAGCATCTGCTTCGGTAAAGTACTCCGGTCTGCGAAAGCTTTTGTGACGGCTGGCCCAGCACCGGTCAANTCTATAAGCAGTCATTAAACGTGAACCAGAGGACAGCTCTAACACACTTACTTGACAGCGAGGTAGTCCGTCTCACCGAGCAGGTCGATAGTCTCGAGCGTGCCTCGATGCCACGTCTCGATGTCAGCGTTCTGGGCCACCTTAGGGTCCAGAGGAACAAATTTCTCTTGGGCATCGAGCGCTGCTTCACCGACACTGTGTTCCGTGCAGGTGCGGTGGTCGAAAACAGTTTCTTTGGCAAAGGTGAGTAAGACTCCCTTGAATCCGAGGTGTTTGATTTGTTGACAAGTGGCGACGGTCTCCGCTCGCGATTCTCCCGCACAGAACTGATCGTAGAATGTCTTCTTCAAGAATGCATGGATAAGAGGATTCTTGTCCACATTCAGCAGATACCCTCTACCAGGCTTTGACAAGAAAGAGAGAGTCCGCAAGGCAGGGACAAGTAAATATCTCTTCGACGAGATGGTCGCAATCAAGAGTGATCTGAGTATCATCCGGGTTGATAGTGATGCCAAGCCATCATGATTTGTCCTGGTAACAATATGTGGCTTGGGTCCAGCATCATGGTGCAAGGATGACACAGATCGCCGCCCCCGTCCAGGCAGTCTAGAGAAGTTTTCGTAGATAAATGATGAGCGAAGTGTCCTTGTTGGAAAAGGCGCCATTATTCAGTGGTTCAAAGGCAGCCCAAACACTGTCAGTCCAACACCTTGGGACTACATAAATCATATCCTTGACGAGACACCAGCTTGTTTGGGCTTCAGCTGTGGACACCTCGTCGGGTAGAGACCCGATGGTCGATACCTAGATCGATGTACAGTAGCTTTACCCCGCACGCGAAGAGATAGCTACTGTATTCACTACCACCAGTGATAATGCGGACGAACGGTAGATAGTTGATCATGTGGTTCGACCCGAGTTAATCTGCTACGTAAAGGGCGGACGTTGATCCCGGACAGCTATCTTGTCACGTACTCATGACACTTGCCTTTGATGTGTGCTGTGGATCGTATATCTGTAATAGGCATTTAATTGCACGCTCTGATGTAACGATTGTAATCTCGTTTGTTCTGATATCAGCCACGAGATCATGTTTGCACATCATATTGCGTGAGGTGGACGATTGGAAGCTGGATTTGTACTGATTTGTAACACCGAACAAGACAAAACGCGTGGAAACAAATTCATCGTAGCTAGACGGTAACGGCAGTCAATCTGTGGAGAGTGGTATCTGTTTATGCACTTGCCCAATCAATGCCCTCAAAATCTATAGAATCCGCAACCTGAAGCATTTGTTCCGTTGTCATTGTATATTGCCAATTGGTGTCACTGATAGCGAAGTCCATGAAGGGGGGTGGTATGCCTCCAGAGCTCCCACGAGCATCCGCACTGCCATGGGCTGAGAGACAAGAGTCTGTGATGCTGACCCTGCGATTGTTAATGGGAGTGGCTTGATTCAGAATAATTTCAAGCTGTTGCAGTTCTGCTTTCACAAAACCAGCCACTCGATTTCCACGATTCGTCATCTCGTCCAGAATCCGATGAGAAACATCTGGGAGTTGACTCCCATCATTCAGAAGAGATGGATCAACCGATGCAGCCATCAGAATTACTGTTGCTGAGCTGAAGACCGCGTCAAGATCAAAAGAAAGAAAGCATTCNTGTAGGAATATTAGCTTACTCGACACGGCGACCAAAGATTACTGATATAATATACCAAGCAGGCTTTCCTCTTGCAACTGGNNAGTCAAGATATGGAGATTTTGAAAGGCCGATTCGATGCACATTGTGACCAGAGACTTGACACCATCGTAACGGCGTTGATCAGGATACCTCGATTGCAGACGAGCTTCCAAGAAGGTATAGAGCAATGGCCGGGTAGCAAGAATGATACACTGATGATGGAGAATATGTAGGTAAGCAGAGAGTCTAGAGATGCCGAATTCGGAACCAGTAGGAGAGAGCTCGAAGGAGCAGTTCAGTTGATCGGCGATGTGTGCAATGTCCTTGAGCGCTTCCTTAGTATGCGCCATGTATTGTTTATCCACACGTCCTTCTCGGCCGTAGATATCTTGAGATGTAAGTCAGACTTCATCCGAGACGCCTGGGATTTGAGGTTGGACCTTACTGTTTGACATCTTGGCAATGGCACGAGAGAGCTTCACTTGGATGTCGAGAGCAATCACCCGGCATGGCGAATTGACATATGATGGTAGTTCTGCGCCGATGTCTTCATCTCGAATCGATGCCGGAACTCCCATGAGAGATGACAGTTGCCGATCCAACACGTATACTGTCCACCAGATCTTGCGACATCGTTGGACAAGCAACTCTGGAACGTGCTGACTTTGCATGCTAGTATGCATGCCATGTTCAAGAGCTATACGTAGCGCCTGACCAATCTAGAGATTCATGTTAGCCATAGCATACGACTGATTCGCTGAGGGACAGACAAGCTGATATGCTGGACTACGGAAGTCCAGCGAGTGTAGATAAAGTGTCGCGCAGCATAAGATCTCAATGGTCTCAATAGGATGCAGGCAAAGGAAAGTGGTATCGGGAAGAATCATCATGGCTTGGACAAAGAATTCGGCGCCGGGTGGGCGCCTCCCTTTGCATGTCCGGGCCAGGAACGCTTTGCCAAATGCAAGGATGAGCAGGTAGTGAGCATACCAGAGCGGCATGAGCTCGGACTTGTCTGCAGAAGGATTGTGAAAGGTCGCAAACGAGTGCATGAAGCTCTCTTCGTCGAAGAGGTGAAACATCTGACCAACGTGAAATTTGGTTGCGTTGATAAGGTATATTGCATGATCAACTGTAGGTAGAATGGTTGTGTCCGCGTTGACCGAAACTTGACAAGTCCTCAAGCCATCCCATCCGAGATCGTACGCCTCGGATTGGAAGAGGAGATTCTGAGGCGATAATGGTGAGCCCAAAATCTGCTCGTGAGACATAGCAAGAACGCGGCGGCCAAATGACCAGTTCGAGGATGTCCCAAGATAGACTAAGTTCTCCGGTCAACTACAATCTTGCAGATATATCGCTACTACATTGGACTCACTAGGCATGCGGCTTGCGTGAGGAGTGTATGTAGCGACACCTAACGCTAGCGGATTCATGAGTCCAGGCTCGAAAGATGATGAACGTGTTTCAGAAAATACTTGTGTTCCTGTAGTCGCAATAGGTCTGGCTGGGACACTGGCTGGGACTTGCGTAGCGACATCGTTCGGTGGAATGTCTGTGGATTCGTCCGGGTCTAAGGTTGTCTGGATAATGCTGTGAGGAGCACCTGGAAGATCAGAATCCTCGATTGTGGAAAACTCAAACTCTTCTTGCTGGGGAATTGCTGGTGAATTGGCTTGCTGGTCTGCTGAGTTCACAACAAGACATGACGACTCGGATTGGCCTGGGTCTCCTTCGTAGAAAGCAAGCCTTGATTCTAGCTCAGTGATACGGCTGAGAGTGATTAGTGCCCAGCATGAGTGTGTTTGTCCAAGCCACTGTACCCCTGGGTGACAAGAATCTTGCGCAATCTGTCATCAATAACACAATTCAAATTTCTCTTAGTGCATTGGTCGCACGGGAAGCCCCCTCGACAACGGATCTTTTGCTGGCGACAGCGTGTGCATCTGGGGTTCGCTTAGCCGGGATCAGAGAGACGATCGAGCACAAGTCCACTGACGCGTTCGGGGCCCTTTTCCTTGCTGAACTTTGGCCCTCCTGGTTCTGCATTCTGGTTACTGTGCAAAACAGAGGCTTTGACGCTGTCGGCAAGGCATCCGGTCTTTTTGAGTATTTGTACCAGGCAGGATCGGCCGCGATGGCCTGATACCCCGCTGTCATAGGCGATAGGCGCGATACCAGTCCTTGGCACATGATCCTTCCTGCTTTGCCCCGCCTATGACTTATCACTCCGGATAACGCGTCCAGAATCGATTTGAGTCTGGGATCGTGGCTTGTCGCTCTCCGGATGCGCTCCCGTAAGTCGACATGAGTGTGACTGCATCTGTATCTCTAATCAACGGCCTCTGGTCGGAATCCATAAGTAACCACAGTACTTTGGCTAGCTTGTATCCAAGGAAACCATCCTCTGATTCTTTGACTACTTTGGAACCATGCCTGACAAGCAATCGCCAGTCATCATTCTTGGAGGTGGAGCTTGGGGTCTATCAACCGCACTCCATCTGAGTCGCTCAGGTTATCGCGATATCACTGTGTTCGAGCGGGCAGAGACAATTCCCTCTCCATATTCGGCCGCCTACGATCTCAACAAGATTGTCCGTCCTGAGTACGAAGACCCATTTTATACTGGTCTAGCACTAGTAAGCTCAAAAGTACAGTGATACGAAGCGGACCAGCCATGCTAATTAGTCNTGGTTCAGGAAGCCATAGAGGCATGGAAGACTCCTCTCTTCGGCCCTTACTTCCATCAAACGGGTTACATCGTTGCTACGACTGGCGCTGCCCCTCCAAAGGCCGTTCACCACCTCCAGGCGGCTCTCGAGACTATTCAAGCGAACCCAGTCTTCAGCTCCAAAATTACAGCTTTGAATGGTAAGAAGGACTTTCAGGACTTTGCATGGCAGTTCTCAGGACCCTTGCACGGCTTTCGGGGCTACTACAATCGACTGGCAGGGTATGCCCATTCCTCCAATGCCCTCCATGCCGTCTGGCTCCACTTGGCTGCAAGTGGTGTAAAGTTCATCCTTGGGGACCGTGCCGGAAGGGTGGAGCAGTTGCTATATGACAAAGACTTACCCATCGCCAATCGTCGTTGCATCGGTATCAAGACTGCAGACGGCAAAGTTCACAAGTCCGCGACCACGATATGCGCACTGGGCGCACATGCTGCTTCTCTGATTCCGAGCCTCGGTCGCTTCACAATGGCTAGGTGCTGGTCCGTCGCGCACATTCAACTGAACGCATCCGAAGTTGACCTACTCCGTGGCCTGCCCACCACCAACGTGCGTGACCTGGGTTTCTTTTTCGAACCAGATCCCGAAACGCGCCTTTTCAAGCTGTGTCCCCTTGGTGCAGGCTACACCAACACACTAGAGTCTGGCGTGTCGCTGCCACCAGCGGATCGTCTACCACCGCCTCAAGACTTCATCCCAGCTGCAGATGAGCGTAAATTGCGAAAGCTCCTCCAAGAAGTGTTTCCCTGGATGGCAGACCGACCCCTGGTTGACCAAAAGCTGTGCTGGTTCGCGGACACGATTGATTCGGATTTCTGCATCGATTTTGTACCCGACACGCAGAGGTCGTTGTTGGTGCTGTCAGGCGACTCGGGGCACGGTTTCAAGATGATGCCAACGTTTGGCGATTGGGTAGTAAGCTTGTTGGATGCTGGAGAGCAAACTGAAGCACGATGGCGCTGGAAAGACGTGGACACAAGATCGCTAGACTGGGCGGCCGCGGTCAGTTGGCGTATTGGCGAGACAAGGGAGCTCAAAGATCTCATAGCGGAGAAGAAGAGGTAGGAACAAGCTCGACTTTAGATTCCCAGAGAGAATGGAGAGAGTACTCTTCTGAGTCATAGAACTTTGAAGAAGTTTCCCAGCTCTTTGCATTAAGGCAGAGAACTATATTGATACATGGACATTCTGCATCAGTACAGCGAACCATCAGATACACAGCATTTACTTTGCTCGGATGCAGCATCGAACCATCTATCGCTGAAAGTTAACCAACATGGATAGTGTGATGTCCTGACGTAAGAAACTGGAGGGACATCACCTCCGGGTCCGGTAATGCCTCGTCGTTTTCTGTATCAGGCTAATACTTTTGGCACCGGGGGTTCTGCCACTGATTCTCGTTGGCCACTTGCAATCGTCGGATATAGCTCATGATAGTACTGCATTGATGCTGGTGAAGCGATTTTTCTTTGANNCGGACATAACGGCGGCTGGCTCTCAATGCTCTGTATCTTGAACTTCGGCGGCACAAGTAGCGATCTTATCTTCTCCCCGTTCAACATGTCGTTTGAATCGACGCGGGCCAGAGCATGTAACATGTCTGGCTCGATACCAGCTCTTCCATGTCTCTCTGCTATCCTCGTTCTCGCCAACTTGGGATCGACGTCGATAAACCAGGTATCGTCTACAAGCAAAGGAATCTCTTTCCAAGGCTGTTCGTCGAGTAGTAGCCAACTACCTTCCAGGATAATCAGAGAGATGGTCGAACCAATCTCGATCGCATTCGGTGTGGGATCTTTGATCGCATGATCGAACCCGGGGGCATGCATGACCTCCATGGTGTCTGTATTTGATTGTCGCAAGTCTTTGACAAATCTCAAGAGTTTGGGCGCATCAAAAGTCCAGTCCGCACCTCTCCGAGCGTATGCTTCGGCCTTATTGGGCATCTGATTTAGAGTGCTTTGCGGGTAATGAAAGCCGTCCATCGGAAGCACCTGAGCCGAGGGTTCATCTCGGTCTGAATTGAGCAGATCTACAACCCTTTGTGCTGCAGTAGATTTCCCGCTGCCAGGTGGTCCAGCAAGGGCAATGATGACTCGTTTGTTCGGATTTGTATTGCGTTCGAAAGTATGGACGTTACGGGCTCGAAAGGCCATGAGGCCGTAGGTGTATTCCATGAGGTGAGGAGGCTTTTGTCGGTGACAAAACAGCTGCAGGTCGTGCTTCCTTACAGACTCTTAGCTCGAGGAAAGTTTTATGAATACTATGCGATGGATGGCTCAGTAAGAAGGGTTGTTGACGCTTCGGACCACAGTGCTCCGACGACAAGCCACATCGCGAATTCGAGGGTCTGCACATCGGACACCAAGCACCGAATACTGTCCAATGCGAGATCAGATGCACCGAAACACGGAGTACCTTCGGGCACAGATGGTTGCGCTGTAAGCTCCGGCGGGCTCTCGTATGGCGGGGTGTTATGATTCCAAGATCATTATAATCTACCCAGTCATCCCCTCTGATAAGACACCTGCTTCAATTCGCATACACTAAATCCGAACTATCCTCAGACAGCACTCGCCAAGATGTCCATGACCCTCGAAGACGGCAAAGTGGTTCGTCAGCCAAAACCAGTGCCAAGCACACCCCAAAATGTCTTCGAACAGCTCAGCATGAAGGNNGGGAAGGTCACCGCCATCACCGGCGCATCCGACGGCATCGGCTGGGCTGTCGCAGAAGCCATCGCAGAAGCTGGAGGTGATCTCGCCCTCTGGTACAACACAAACGACGCAGCAATCTCCAAAGGCGAGGAGATTGCAAAGAAGCACGGTATTCGTGCCAAAGCATATCAAGTCGAAGTTTCTGATCATGAAGCTGTCAAGAATGCAGTTGACCAGGTCGTCAAAGACTTTGGCAAACTGGATGTCTTTGTCGCCAACGCTGGCATGGCCATCTCGAAGGCGATCACTGAGCAGACTATCGAGGAGTACAGGAAGCAGATGTCTGTGAATGGTAAGCGTCCTTTCCCTCAAGGAATTGCGGTCTTTTACTGACATATCTCAGTCGATGGTGTTGTCTTCTGTGCCAAATACACCGGAGCCGTGTTCAAGAGTCAGGGATTCGGCAACCTTATCATCACATCGAGCATCTCTGCACACATTGCAAATGTGCCTGTTGATCAACCAGTTCGTCCATATCTGCAAAGAGTGTAGAAAACGCACTAACGATACCAGATCTACAACACGACAAAAGCTGCCGTGAACCACCTTGGAAAGAGTCTGGCACGAGAGTGGCGTGATTTCGCAAGAGTTAATATCGTCTCTCCTGGCTTCTTCGACACCAAGATGGGGGCCTCTCCTCTCTGCATCAACGAAGCATACCGCATGACACCTCTTGGACGTATGGGTCACGTCAAGGAGATCAAGGGATTGTTTTTGTATCTGGCGAGCGATGCTTCATCGTACCAGACTGGCAGTGACACAATCATCGACGGTGGATATGTGCTTGTGTGATCTAGCGAAATGTTCAACATGGCATATTTCATCCCTCAACTTTGGCTTATGTGCTGCGAAGGAATTTTCCCTCTTTGCGTTTGTACCGGGAAGTCAATTGTATCGTGGGGGCAAGCACCAGCTGAATGACAACAGAGCAGCTTTGTAAAGAAGAACAAAACATGATGGCAGGAAATGAGTTATAAGCGGATGGGCGAACGTGATGTAAAAGGAACGTAGAAGCTAAGCTTGCTCTGAGAAATGTCAATTTGATATCATATAGTCATATCAAATTACCCATTCATCCAGTCATCTGGAAAGGATGACCAAAATCGTTCATTCCATCAAAAAGCGCCTGTAGAGAGGGATCTGCGGCCAAGCTCCATTCGTTGAGCACAAGATCTGCGATACCATGGTTGTCAAACGGCTGGTTATACGAGCCTGCATTTGACGGACTCGGCTGAAACACTCCATCTTGAAACCCTTGGGCCATCTGGATCGAAAGCTCGTTGCGATGATCAACAACTCCGAGATGATTTGGCACGAGCTCATGAAACGTTGTGAAGGTGTCTCCGTCCCCCGAACTCTGTGATACTGTGGCTTGTCTTAGCATCTCTCGTAATCGGAGTACGATCTGGAAGGATCTGGCTGCTGCACTACTGGTGTTGATCAAACTCTGCAGACACTGGCATGCCTGACCGACGATAGTTTCATGGTCTTGGAGTTCGTCCTGAGTCTGTACAGATAGACGACATCTGGAGATGTATTGAGCGCTGTAAGATAGAGTCGCTTGAAGGGTGAAGTAGACAGCATACCAGCTCAGTCCACAATGGAGGACTTGTGAATGCGTCTGACAAAAGGTTGAGATGCCTGAGATGACGCTGGCTGAGACAGATTGACACCTTGTCCCAAGCGAGAGCTTCTCGTGCTCGTCCTTGTGATGACGCTGGCTCGATAGAAGCAGCAGAATGAGTAGATTGGACTCCTTCCATAGAACGATCTGTCTCGGACCTAGGAACCAGGATGGAACGTCTGCGTGGAAAAAGTATGAGGGAAGCGAGCTATGCCAGTTCTGTATCATATGCTCCATGACGCTAGTTTGATGATCAATGTCTGAGCAAGGATTAACACACATGAATTGCGTAAACACTCGATTTGCAATCTTGGTCAGTCTGGCTAAAGCGATCACGGTCGAGGACGTTGTTGGATACGACACTTCCGCCACGATGCTCGAAGCTGAATCGCATGCCGACTCATCCACGTTGGAAGGAACCCGAATGTCAACAAAATTGTCTGGGACGAGTGTTGGTCTGCCAGTTGTGATGTTGAACCAGCAATCGAAACAGCAGAGAATCCAGAAAAGGACACGCCTTCTGTGAGTGTCAAGNGGCTTTACGCCTGCACTCTGAGGAAGCTCAAGATGCAGCGCAAGACCGAGAGCCATTCTCAGGGCGATGCCTATGTAATTGTATCCTGTATTGGGCCGATCTCTCTTCTGGAGGTAATTGCCGAGAAGGAGAAAAGCCTGCACGTTGTTTATAGATCCAGACTCCAAGACTTCGGGTCTGACGCGTGAGCGAGCAGCTTCGTAGTATATCGAGTTCTCCTCACTGCTGCACCCCGACACCCACTCTCCTATGGCAAGGACCATATAGTACGTTATATGCCATGTAGATCTGGACGACATCTGCTTTCTTGCCGCATACTGCTTACGAAACGTTCCCTCGTGCAAGATGGGATAGTAAGCATTATAGCCAAGGAAGAAAGCAGTGATGAGCTGTTCTTGAATAGAGTTTGTAGCCATCAAGTGTCCAAGTGTGCCTGTCAAGGCTTGATGAGCGGGAGAAGTCGATGACACTACAGCGTCAAGCTGAGCACCACGATCGGCCACGGCGACTTGAGATGGTAGCAATGATGAAACGGATTGTAAAATCTCGAAACCAGAACTCTTTCCTGTTCAGATTTCGACTCAGTACATCGCGACATGTCAGAGAGAGAAGTTCTTACCGAGATATCCTGATCCATTACCTTGTCGTGTCAGAGAGGCCATGCCATCGCGCGTATATTCACCGTCGGGGGATGAATCGTCTGCGTTCGCATCAAGTCCTTCGTTCCACTCGTAGGGACCGGAGGGAGGGTCTTCGGGGTTCTGTTGGCGACGCGGTTGTTGAGGTGCCTCCCTCTGATCAGTCTCGGCCCTTGGATTCGCCTGAGCTTCTTGTAGTAGTCTCTGCAATTCTCTACATTGCGCTTCAGCCGCATCGAGATTTCGCCGTGTCAACGAAGTGCGTTCGTGTGGTCCTTCGAAAACACATATCTTGCCGGCCTTTTGGCAATATGCACATATCTCGCTTTCTGGCGCAGCGACGCATTTGGTCTTCCTCTTCTGGCACTCCAAACAAGCCCTTTCGGTTCCCGATCTCCGGACTGTTCGACTTGCTGGCATCGGTAGCGATGACCGATCGAGAGAAGACGCAGAATGCCGAAGCGAGGATGGCGAGGTAGGAAAGAGGGGCCGTGAGGGGTCTTGCTTGGCGACCCGTTGACAACTTGAGCTTCAAGTACACTTCGGGCAACAGCGCTCCGACACACGATACCAACATCCCAAGCGTGGTTAATCCTTGAGTAGACATGATCTGGAATTATGGAATATATCCAAAGTATCGGAACTGACCAGCTCAAGTCGCGCCGCACTGCGTGATCCCTCTTCTCACAATTCTGCCGACCCTCATACTTCGACAAACATGACAATTCTTGAACCCACGCCAAAGCCTTTGGCAGATGCAGCCAGAGCGGACCTCAGCAAACGATCGATTCCTCATATGGTGCTCAGCACAGGAGATGATACCTCACTGACTGCACCTCCTTCTTTCGACCTCGGTGCCACGCCCACAGCATGTGCTCTGGGAAGATTCAGAGTGCAGGGCAATGCAATCGTTACTGGTGGCACAGGAACTCTCGGTTTCGCAGCTTCGAGCGCACTACTGGAACATGGTCTCTCTGGACTTGCCATCTTCGACGTCAATGCGAGTCAAGCTGACCATCAGCTCGCACTGTTGAGGAAGCGCTTCCCGCAGTCTGTAATCACTTGCTTCCAAGTCGACGTCACAAACGACTCAGCTGTACAAGAGGCAGTCGATGCTGCAGCGACGACACTCGGTACGATAGATCACCTTCTCTGCTTCAGTGGTATCGTTGGCTGCGTCGACGCCCTAGACATGACTGCCGCTCACTGGCGTCGCATCTTGGACGTCAACACTACTGGCTCATTCTTGTGTGCTCAAGCTGTTGCCAGGAAGATGGTAGATCAGGGTACCGGAGGATCAATCATCTTCACAGCCTCAATCTCTGCTCACAGAGTCAACTACCCTCAACCTCAAGCTGCTTATAACGTAAGCAAGGCAGCACTCATCACGCTGAAAAACTGTCTGGCAGCCGAGTGGGCCCGCTATGGTATCAGAACCAATTCTGTCAGTCCTGGGTATATGGACACTATCTTGAACGACGGACCAGGAATCGCTGAGGCAAGGAATATCTGGGCTGAGCGGAACCCTACTGGGCGTATGGGCACACCTGACGAGCTTACAGGTGCAATTGTCATGTTGTCGGCTGTGACAAGCTCGTACATCAATGGTACGGATATCGTGGTTGATGGTGGAACAATCGTCTTCTAGGCAGAGTAGGTTTCATTAATTAGGTGCATATCAAGATCGCAATTTTCTCAATCTTTTCGGTAGCCTCTCTAGAACTCTTATGCATATTACAAGCCAGTACGTGGCTGTGCTCTGAGCTCAACACAGTGACAGCTGAGTATATTCTCGGGTCGAGTGATAGGGTACGAGTGTGGTAGGGAGTCAGTTGATGCAAAGCCGAGACGGCTCATTCCCGTTCGGGTAGGAGCCGCGGCTGGTCAGCACCTCCGACAACCACGAAGTGGCGGCAGCACTGCCTCGGGTTACCAGTCTCTACAAGCACCAACCTTCGCCGTCGAAATACGACCACAGTCATGTGCAATATACAGAGCTGAAGTCACTCGTCCTCGCGTTTCGTCCAGTCACAAGGAAGTACTGGCTTCGGAGCACTGCAGTCCGAACACTTGAACGTCCCGTTGAATCACCCATTTGGACGCCAACCTGAACCTTGTTTGACCCATGGGGTAGCGCGAGATACCCCGGAAAGTCAGTCTCCGCACCGTCTCTTTGACCTCAAGCGGCCAAGATAGCAGAGCGTGGTCTATAAGACATGGTCGATCCCTAGCCCTTGTTTTTCTCGTCAGACACGATCAAGACGATCTGCAAACACTACCGCTATCTCTTTTGAATTCACCCTTATTATGACTGACCTCAATACCAAAGTCGACATCAAGGATGAGACAGTCACTCAATACTTTGAGAACTCGGAGGACACGCAGGGTGAAGTCTTGGAAACAAGATACGCCGGTGAGAACTCGATAAAGATGTTGATCAACTGGCTAGATGCTGATATCCCCANNGGTCTTGGACGATGGGTCACTGTCAAGACCTTTTGGAAGGCCATGCTTTTCTGCATGGTTCTGAACTGGGCTGCCCTCAATGATGGCGTGAGTAGCCTCATTAAAGCTCCGGACATCGGTACTGACATCCTTCGCAGTNTCCAGCAGCAAGTCCCTGGCAATGTCATTCCCATGCAAGCATTCATCAATCAGATGCACGATACTACGATCGACGGCAAGCCAGCAGTCAGCGCCAAAACCGTCTCATACTGGCAGGGATTTGCAGAGATGTCCAAGACTGTCGGCATGTTTGCTGGAGGATGGTTTGCCGATCGCTTCGGCAGAAAGTGAGTTGCATACACTTCCGCCAGTCTTACACAGTGACTGACTACGGTGTAGGNNAAAGCAATGATTGGTGCTATTGTCATCCTGCTTGGTGGATCGATCGCCGAGATCACTGCCTTCAGTTGGCAAAGTTGGCTCGGTGCAGCAGTCCTAGTCCGTCTGGGCGTCGGACTTGCGCAATCGATTCTCATCACATACATTTCCGAGATTGCTCCCTTCCAGATCCGTGGTTTCATGATCGGTGCTTACCAACTCTGCCTCGGATTCGGACAGCTCATTGCAGCTATCGCGACTCAGCTGGTCGTCGAGCACCAGCCCAACAAGTGGAAGCCTCTGATTGCTACCGAGTTTGCATTCACTGCCGTAAGTACATATTCTGGTAGACTTGTTAGCCCAAGACAACATGCTGAACACTCTTCCAGGNTACTCGTCATCTTCATCTGGTTTATTCCCGAGTCTCACATCTACCATTCTCGCAAAGGCCAGCATGAACAGGCCAAACGTTCGATGCTCAATCTCTATGGCAATATTCCTGGATACGATGTGGTCAGTACATTAGAGATGGTGAGATTGACACAAGCTTACAAAAAGTCTCAGGAACACGAATATCGAGTCATTCAACACGGTATCGAAGCTGAATTAGAGCTGGCTTCGGCTTCACGCAGCTCGTCCTTCTTTGAGATCTTCAACAGCCAGAATTGGCGTAGAACACTTGCTGGTTGTCTCGGTATCTGTAGTCAGTGGGCTGCTGGCGCTCCTATCGTCTTTTCCTATTCGACAGTGAGTATACTCAAGAACATATACCGAAGATTGAGCTGACTCTTTCAAGNNTACTTCTTCAAAGTCGCTGGACTTGCAGACCCTTTTCTCGTCACAATCATCACGTTCGTTCCAGCCTGAGGCCACCGTCGAGTCCGGTGCTAACGGTATTCAGATNTCGTGCTTCTCATCATCTCGATCTCTGCATCGCTGGTTGCTTGCGAGCATATCGGACGTAGACCTCTGCTTGTTGGGTAAGTGATGGCGAAATCAAGATAAACCGTGCTGAGCAAGACTGACAAACGTCCAGTGNGCTGTTTCATGATGTGTGTCTTCAACATCTGTCTTGGCACGACCGCCTTCTTCAAGACCGTCGGAGCAGGAAAAGCAGCTCTCGGCTTCTTGTTGCTATGGGTCATCTGCTATGGAGCTTCAGCTGGTCCCATTGGCTTTGTCGCCGCTGGAGAAACCTCGACACCTCGTCTCAGAGCTCAGACGACTTCTTTCAATCTGGGATGCTATGGTCTCGGCTTGTGAGTTTTGTGCTGTGATCTTCAATTCATCATACTGACAGAATCACAGTNNGTCGTCTTCCAGTGGACAGTCTCCTACATGATCAGTCCCGATGCTGCCAATCTTGGTATCAAGGCAGTGTATGTATGGGCCGGACTTCTTGTACCCTTTACCATTCTCCTCTGGCTCTACTATCCTGAGGTAAGTCAGTGCACAACATGTGTCTTTGCGGTCGCTAATATCATCCAGACTTACGGTCGTACCTACTGGGAGCTTGATGAACTCTACGAGCGCAAGATCCCTGCTTGGAAGTTCAAGAACACTCCGACCACTTCCGACCAGAGTGGAAACAAGAACGCGGCTCTGATGTCGGAGCGGGCGAAGCAGGAGGCCAAGACGATTGCCTGATTTTGGAATTGGTGGAGGACAAGAGCCAGGAGGTATCAAATGCGAACAGTTCCAAACGATGTGTGAGAGGTTGTGAAAGCGCAGATATGTTGATGATGGCAGAGGACAAGTCCTTGCACTGTCCAAGCTCAAGCAGGTGTGGAGAAACGGGAGATGCTGAAACAAAGCCGAGCACCGACATTTTCCAAGGCAGGCGTCTCATGAATCAGATAAGAGATCAATTGGTACAAATATGACGATCTTTGGTCCACTTTCTGTTCCTTCTTCTTTATGCGTTAGGCACTTGAGTAATCTTTATGCAAGGCGGGCCATCCACTGCCATGCAAGCCCTCGATAAATCCATGCGCGACAGGGCTCGCTCGCATCCTTCGTGTCGCATCCGGCTCGCCTACGAGAAACACGAGAGTCGAGCCATCGTACTCGTGTAGATCGCACGAATTACCTTGCTGTTGCTCTCGTCAGGGCTCATAACAGTCCTGTTCTGCGCCGCAAATAAATCAGTGTTGGCGCAATCACACGCCACGAGTTTCGACATCTCGACGACTGTCGGGACGTTTGTCGGCAGTGGGCCCTAGTCGTACGACATTATTCCAGAAGAGTTGCCGGCGACGGAATCTGTCCGGGCGCGTGCCTACATCTTGTACCTGCAGCTTCCTTCTTCCAGGACATGGCACAACATCTTTGCACCGCCAAGAACGTACGGGTACGACCCTTGCGAACGGCAAATGCAGTAATCGAGTGCCCTCATCTTGTCTGCGGATGCTGGACGTGCAGGCGCGTGGTAGGTCAGTCCCATGTGTAATGCAGATCAGATGCACGAGCAATAAAAATCTAGGCGAACGGGCAGCCGCCGTATCCAAGCTACCATGGTGCTATCTTTGGCATTCCTCAGTAGGGCACACACATATAAGAGGTCTGGAAAGTCCCTTCGAATGTGAGTGACCGATCGTCCTTTTCAATCATCATCACCATGCGCTCGTTCATTATCTCGTTGGCACTGTGCGTAGCCAGCACTCTCGCCGTACAAATCGATACAGAAGGCCTTCCCGACACTGGCCTCGACACCTCGAGTTGGACGACTGGAACTCTGCCACCAATTGAAGATCTGGTTGATGCGAACGACTTTCAAATCGCCGCCAAGAATGTCTTGTCTGACAAGAATTATGCCTACTACCGCACAGCTGCATTGGACGAAATCACATACGATGCCAACATGCGTGACTGGGAGAAGATCAGATTGAACGGTTTCAGCTTCACCGATGTGTCCAATGCCAACACCAAGACAAGTATCCTCGGGTATGAGTTTGACGCACCATTCTTCATCGCCCCTGCCGCAAAGGCTGGGTACGCGAGCAATGGTGCCGAGACGAATCTTGCAAAGGCTGCAGGTGCTGCCAACCTTCTATACGTGCCATCTATTTCATCGTCGCAGTCGATTGAACAGATTGGCGCAGCAGCAGTCAAAGGACAAGTCATGTTCCATCAAGAGTACATTTGGTCAGACACTGCGAAGCTTCAGGATGAGTTGAAGCGAATGGAGAAGGCGGGATTCAAGGCCATCTTCTTGACTGTCGACAATACGGTACGTGAATGTGATCTATGCTCCATGCAAATATCTGACTGGATCTCAGNNGGTGTCAACGGAATCAGAGATCGTTACCTACGTTTCTCTGCAGGAGGTGATGCTGGTCACAGCTCTACATTCACCATCGAATCGCTGAACAAGCTGCGAAACATGACGACCCTTCCAATCGTACCCAAGGGCGTAAAAACTGCTCACGACGTCAAACTTTGCGCTGATCTCGGTTTTCCTGCCGTCTACATCTCGAATCATGGAGGTCGTGTCGTCGACTTGGCACCAACCGCTGTTGAAGTGCTTCTTGACGTTCGTCGCTTGTATCCCGAAGTCTTTGACCAGATTGAGATCTATGCTGATGGTGGTGTACGTCGCGCGAGCCATATCATCACGTTATTGGCTCTTGGTGTGCGTGCGGTCGGTCTTGGTCGTGCGCCTATGTATGCCAATGTCTACGGCCAGCAAGGAGTATCGAAGCTCTTGGATATCATGAAGAAAGAGCTGACGACAGAGTTGTCTTTGATTGGAGAAGCCGACTCAAACAACGTGCGAGGAAACAGAACTTTTGTCAATACGCGACGAGTCGAGTTGGAGTTCTTTGGTGCGCCTCTGCCTTGATATACGATGAACCATGGAACCCTTTGACACATGTTACAATGAAGTACTCTTTAGATCTTGTCACAGTTTACCCCACTGAATTGACTCGGAGCTTGCTTGATCGTGATCCTCCGCGGACACTATCTCGACGCCATCCCATCCTTCGAAACCACAAATTGCTCCACCTGCTTTCCTCATAACCAGTCAAAGCCCCGCACTTCGTCGATCCATACAGGTCGCAGCCTTTTTGAACTCGTCGCTTGAGAGTAAGACATCCAGAAACACAAACCATGTCATTATTTCTACTGTTCTGCCTCGCTGAAATTCCTGTATCGGTATCGACAGACATTCATCAGTATTTATCACATCACTGACATCGTCAGGTCATCAATACTCTCCTACAAACGCCAAAACACAACTTCTTCTCTGTCGTTCGCGATCCGGCTCAGACGACATTTGACCCGTTTCACACTTCACCTCCAATTACCACACCTGTCAGCAAGTTCCTTGATCGAGAGCAGATACGCCGATTTATCACAACCCGTCTTAGCGAGCCTCCAGCAGGAAGTGACTTGGAGCTGTGTCAATATGCTCTACTTGACGAGCGCAGTGCTTCAGACCATACACTCATCTTAGCACACTCGTACTCGAGTCTGGATATGCGCGATCCAGACACCATGAGCGAAGACGAATTCGAGCAGTTGCAGACCGAAATCGATGACCACGAAGATGGAGCGGAGAATTTGTGGTTTGAATGGCGTGTCGCCTTTGGAGACGCAGAGATGATTTCTACTTATTTGTGTTTTGAGAGCGATTTCACGGTTAAGCTGTATAATGAGGACTTTGTAGCGATGCATACAGATGCTCGAGGGATCTTCCAGGTGAAGTCTGCGTACGGAGCCTTTGTGGATACGGATCTGTAATGAGTCTAAGCCGTGGACACGAGTCAAAGACATTCTTGCAGTGGACATGAGTATATCGCATATCGAAAAGTTTGAAACAAAAGACATACATCTGCTGGATCACAATCATTTCGTTACCATGAACTGTGCGTGCATACCTACTGTATCTAGCTGGTGCCGCGAAGCTTTCCAATGACAAACTTGATACCCTGGTTCTGCACATTCGGATCAGACTTGTAAGACAAGTGAACATTGACATCACCCAAGCCATGAGCAGTATCGCAGACAGGATCATTCTAAACACTGTTAGTATAACATTCTAACGATTTCGACAACCTGGAATACTTACATAGGCGCAGACATCCAAAGTCTTGCTGACCCAGTTGCTGGGGATACCGCCAAGAAGAGCAGTAAGACCATTAGAGTTCTTGGTAGTGGTGCCACCGTTGGCGTCGACATTGCATGCCAGACCAGCTCTACGGTGAGGGTTTCCGAGAAGGAAGACACCCTTGACGGCGTTGAATGCGGCACCGGTGAGTCTGGGCATGGCGTCGACGGTAGCGGCAGCTCCTTGAGAGTATCCTTCGAGGATGAAGCATCTCTTGGGGTCAGCCTTCAGACCATTGTTGATCTGGTTGATGATCTGTGGTGGTCAGTGCGATTCTCAGAGTTGAGATATGATAAAGGCAACTCACATCGTTTGTGCCGACAATCGAGATTTGGTCAATACTGGCAGGGTAGACGGTATCATACTGCAATATAATTAGTCTTGGTCTGCAGTATGGACATCGTCAGCACAAACCTCATTACCACCCATGACCTGGGCAATGATGGCAGCATCCATGGTCTTGAAGCTGTTTGATGGACCTTGAGGCTCGTTGGTACCACGGGTCTCGATAAGAGCTGTAAAAGCGTCAGATGTTTTGTTGAGACTGGAAAAGGAATGACAAGACATACTGTATGCAGTGCAGACTGCACGCTTCTCGAGCTGCTCAATCTTCTCGATGGGGCTTGCAAGAGCTTCCGAGGCGAGAAGTAGAAGGCAGACAGCCTTGGTCCATGCAGCAAGAGAAGACATGATGATTGACGGATAGAATGATCGAAGAGTAGATGAAGTGAAGGTGAATGAAAGAATGGCGAGTAGATGGAGTAAAGGTCGGTTGCATTGCCTTTTTATATCTCTGCCACGAAGCGAGACATGTTATATGGTATGCCTTGACCACAGCTTCGCGAGCCGGTGCGAGCAATCAACATCAATCGAGGCCCCTCTCTCCAGAGATTAGCGAGATACATGGTCACGCTGACTTTTTGCCATGGTTGAAGCGAGCAGTTTGATGCATGGTATAGCAAACCGTTCGTCGTTCGTCGAAAGCTTACTATAGGCCATAGCCATTCGTGAAAGATGCACGTCGCTTCCAAGCCTGCAAGCACGAATTTTCAGGCATCCCATTGGACCTTCGAGACGCTTCGATGTCTGGGCACTGGATTGATCAGGCACGCGATCGTGCTGAAACGCATGCCCCGCACTTTTTGGTTGATATTCTGCGGTCATATTAATATATCTCGGAGGCTTAATATATGAACCTCGGCAGGACCCCATATCATCGACAGGGCGCTGGAGATCAACAGGGAAAGTACACGCTCGAAGAGCTCGCTTGATCTTCTGCAAGACGTGATCATGTGAATATCCTTACTGGTGGTTGAACAACGACCAGTATGCGGAGTACGGTAGCAAGACTGTTTCCAGAGATTTCAGGCGAAGCGGGCCGCGCCATCTGCTGTGAGGATGACAAAGGGGACCAACCACAAGAGCCATACTAGAAGAGGGAGGTGGTAGTATTGATATCAAGTCTCCACACAGCTCTTTCAACCTCATTGGTGACGCCTGGGGCATCTTGTGCTCCACGACCAGAGATGTCGGGCGTCTCGTCGCTGTCAGATGAAGCGGAGAGTCTCTTGAGAACATCGTTTAAGCCTTCGGAGGCGGCCTTGTACTTTGGTATGTCTTGAGGACGCAAGGCTACATTCTCGTCCGCCCAAATGAGACTGAATCTCGGAAGTCTCTTGCTCTTCCTTCTCATCAACGAGGCGAGTACTACAACAAACTGGCCCAACGTGTCGCCGAAGACGACCAATCCACCACTCTCGGGTACATTATTTCTCCAATATATCCGCGAATCGGTGCAAGCATCCTGCACAATCGAGGTAGGAAGCTCGATTCTGAAGACAAAGTGCTGAGCAGCATCCGAAGGAAATGTCACCCAAGCCTTGCGCCAGGCTACGAAAAGTGGTCTCAGGCTGAGGACCTGTATAGCGTCTTTCTTGACTGTTGTGGGACCGTAGCTGTGACTTCGGACACTTTCCTCATCGTTGAGACATCTCGAAAGCATACTCTCTGTGCTTAGAGGTGCAAGTAGCTGTAGTTCAATTGTGCTGATGGGAGTCTGCGCCAGCCGTGAGGCAATCCTGGTAGCAAGTTCAGCCAGAGCAGTGGGAGAACTGATGATGTTCGAACGATCGTCAGTAGACATGATTGAAGCAGTCCAGAGAGTGGGATCTCAAGACAGGTTTGGCCAACTTGTTGAGAGCGAAGTCTTGTCGTTGTCTTGGCGTGATTGGGTAGAGGTCCCTGTCAGACAGCACCCGATGCCAATGCAATGCAGTGGGAGATGCAGTCCGGTGGTTCTTTGGGAAGCGGGGTTAAGAGTACTGCGGCCGTATGTTGCAGTAGGTTGTGATGTGATGGGAGTGTGTTAACGAGACTAGTCAGCTGATTCACGACAAAGCAGACGATGGATCGATCTAGGTGGTAGAGATTCTCTACTCGTGACATCCAACACTCATCTTACAAGGAGAATGATAACAAATTGTCGCGAATACTTGCTTAACACGGTCGGTCAAGAAGGCGAAAGCGAAGCTCAACCAATTTCCTGGAATCGCCTGTTACAGATTTCGGCCGTGCGTTGGACGGATCTCTTGCCGTAGGAACGAAACCGAGTATCCTGTTCTATGGGCTGTTTGTTCGAAAAGAAACATAGACCCAAGGAAAGCAATTATACTCACGTCCAACGATTTAGCCGTCATGGTTTGGCCAAGCTGTACGTTCCATAATCAAACTTCTGTCGCCAAACTGAAACCTCTTTTGAATTTTCGTGGACGCTGCCATCGTTAGAACTTCGACCTTCGAGCGTCGTTGTCGCGCATGCCATCTTCCCCCACGCTCTACAGTGGCCTGCTTTGGATTCCGGTATCGACTCGCACCTTTCCTTCCGCATCGTGCATCACCATTTGTATAGATGATTGACTCGGGTTCGTCTTGTCAATCTATCGAGGTCCAGATGGAGCACTCAAGCTGCACGGCAAATCCCCGAGCATAGATTGCCGGCTTGACCCTCGACGGTTCGACCCGTTCGCTTGCAACGGCTCCCGATGGATTCATGAAACCTCTGATCCGTCTTCTCCTACTCGTCCGCTCTCCTCCGTTCGCTGGACATGGCACCACATCCAGGAATCAATGCGCTCCAGCTATCATCAACGCTTCTCTGGAACTTGAGGCTGCCAGGCCAAAATGGTGATCTAAAGACGCATCCCAGACTATTCACACGTGCATCTACTGGTTCCTTTCCGCAGTACGTGCTGTTTACTGCCACCGACGGAGCATGCTCCTGGAACTACCGTTACAGATCTCCGTTGAACATGATTACTTCGTTTGAACTTCTAGCGACGATTGTACCAGAAAAGGCATGAGCAGACGACTGCCGTGCTTAGTCCAATCGCTCACAGTGTCTGGCCGGTTCATGCTATTGAGATTTGGATCCGGATCAAGCCAACTCCACAGGGCGCCGCTCAACTAGGCACATACCGTGAGCGTTCAAGAGCTAGCTAGTCATGTCTCTGTAAGCTTTTTGGAATACCCTTTCTCTTTCCGGCACCCGTAATAGGGTAGCTGGGTCTCTTGCTGTACATATAGGTGTCGATCATGCGCCACTCTTTGTGCGATCTCTAGTTCTCTGGGCTTGCTACTTGAATCCACGTCATGCCCATACAGTCGGTAGTCCATTCTTTATTATAACCCTCTTTCACATCACCTGGACGAACCACCATCACATTTTTGTAGCCTGGCTTCTAATCTTGATTGAAGCTCATACTCTGAGTCGGAGGATTACAGCACTCCGCTCTATAACAAGAGCCGCATACAAGATGGAGTTTCACATGGTGTCCCGACAAGGAGATGCCCAGGAACCCAAGGCCTACCCAACACACGCTGGAGCTCTAATCGCCATCTCTGTTGCCTTCTTGACCATTACAATTTTCTTCACATCTCTGCGCTTCTTCGTCAGAGGCTACATGATCAAGAGTCTAGGATGGGACGACTGGTTGATTCTGCTTGCACTCGCCAGTTTCATCTGTCAAGCTTCCTTCCTTGTCCACCTTGCCTGGATGGAGCAACACTTGGATTTGGGCTTTATCAAACCTCTTGCGAGCGCCTTGGAGTTTGTCGTTTTGGAACTCGCATTCTATATCATGACTTCACTGTTTCTCAAGCTCTCGCTTGCCGTTTTCTTTTGCGGATCGTAAGCCTACCGTCTGTCTTCCTCGTTCGTAATCTATTCTGACCATTATTCTGAATAGGTCGTTGCCAAGTGGCAGAGATACACCATCATCATTGGCACCTCTATATTTTCTCTCTTTACGCTTGCCTTCTTCTTCGTCGCAGTCTTTCAGTGTGGACCTCCCTCTCAGTTTCTGCTCAACAACGCCAAGGGGAAATGCCTGCCATGGAGCGTCACCGGACCTCTAAACTATATCCATGGCACCTTGAATGCCATCACAGATTGGATCTTTGTCTCGTTGCCAATGCTCGTCATCCGTAACGCCAATATGAATCGCAAAGGCAAGGCGTCAGTCATCGGCGTACTCGCAATCGGCGTCTTGGGCTCTGTGGCGTCTGTCGTCCGTCTCTATTACATCAAGGATATCCATCCGGGTGCCTCAAGCGCCACCGAGTTCTTCTCAAAGGCTGCGACAATTGCCATTGCCAGTATCATTGAGATTGGCTTGGGTATTACAGCAGCGTGCATGGCAACTTTGCGACCTTTGTTCAAGAGTCTGCTGGAGTATTCGCGTAGTGATTACACAAAGGACACTGGCAAGGACAAGTCAACCGCTTTTGAACGCGGTACTGCGTCTCATACTGCCAGCAGCGGCTCTGCACTGCAGTCTTCACGCAACAACAGAGCCTTCACACAATACGGATTTGACGCCAATGACATGGTTCCCGGCAAGGACGATGTGCATGTGGAATTGTCAAGTCTGCCTTCTGGTCGCGGATCATCTTCCGACTCGGATGAGGTGGTGGTGCATACGCAGACTGTGGTGTACGAGCAACGCGGATCTCAAGATGAACTGCTTGCCAATGAACAAGACGCCAAACAGAACTACAAAGCTCACATCTGGAGCGCCAAAGACGCCAAGGCGAGCACGAGTTAGCGAACCTTTAGTATCTGGGTGTATATCTTTGTAATTTCCATTCTCTTGAAAACTTTTACGAACGTGCTGCTCAATTTCCAACTTCATTGCGCCGGAGCGTCTCGCCATCTATAATCTCATGTTCTCGTCTGAAGCAGTAGGTTTCGATACATAGCCAATCCTTGTCCGATGATGTTGATGAACGGCCACTGCGAATTGCTCTGGAAGAAGTGTGCCCATATCTTCAGCACAGCCAATGCAAGATTAGCAGGACTGCTGAGATCCATGACTTCCAGCGGCTGCTCATCAAAGTCAACAACAGCATATGCTTCTTCAACGATACACTTGACCCAGTACAATATTCTTTCTTCACTGTCNTGGTTTATAGTCAGCAGATGATCATCAACACTGCCAGTAGTATGCTCACCATTCAGCGGATGAGCCACCGCAGTACGGGTCAAATTCGACAGCCATTTGCTCAACAGTATAGCGCAATCCAGGCTAGCAAGCGAGTGCCTAACACTCCAAAAANNGAATGCCTGGCTTTTCGCAACTCGATCGACGCCCAATCTGACCGGAATACCGAGCATGTGTGTAGAATATAGCAACGCTGCAATGACTCCCTCGCTGCGGTCGATCTCTGGACATCTCGCGAGAGCTTTGGCAATGTGTTGTGGGTCTCGGGTTTGTAGCTGTCTATATGGGCCGAGATTCAGATATATACGAGCGTAGGCTAGGGCTAGCAGAGAACTGGAAGTGAATGGGATTGGTCCGTTGCCGTTGTTGGGATCGAGTGATGATTCTGGTGCTTGTTGCCAACCTGAAGTCCAGCAACGCAAGCCACGCCTGAATGTAGTAGTTAGTATGAGGACTAGTCGACCCGATCGCATCAACTCTTACTCTAGCTTCTCGACTTCTTCGGGCGGAAGAGCTGCCATATCGCTCATCACAGGCAGACTCAGATCTCTGACAATGTGTATCCTCTGTATCAGTCCATGGAGTAGAACATAGTTTCCCAAAGGCGTTGGAATTGGATCCAATCTGGCGGGCTCGTTTTTTTGGTCCAGCAGTAAGGACAAGGCTTCTTTGAAGTAGAGCTGTGGTTTGGCAACGGCTTTTCTTGCTTGATCCCACATCATAGCCGATGGAGCATTCCACTCCAAGGTAGAGCAAGGTAAACGAAGACCTACTTCATTACTCCGGAGAGGTGGATACACGTCGTATGCGATGCTATGCGTGTGGAGGAATGAGAAAGCGACCAGTCTTGTGCGACGAGACGACTCTTCCGCTATCCAAACATGCCACGCCTTATCGATGGACCTATCAACACCCATGGATCTGTTTGACTCTTCTTCATGCAGACCTTCACTTCTGAGGTACTGGGTAAGAGTTTCTTGGAGAGCAAAAGATTGACGCACCATTGCGGGTTTCGGATCCCACGTCGCATATCCCATGAGGGTAAGCAAAGCCCTGATGGTCTCAATGGATGAAGTCTTTTTGAGCATGCCAGTAACCTGATTCGCGTCGCTTCCAATCATGTCTGAGAATATACGAGAATCGCCAGTCTCTGATGAGCCAGCAAGCTTGTGCATAACAAGCGCCTTTCCAGCAAAGAACAGTTGCTCCGCCGCGCGTTTCTCAAAGCAATACTGCGCACCAATGGCAGCGATACCGAATATCACCTCTAGTGGATGGTCCTCCAGGCGCCATGTCGGAACATGTATGAAGGGCATGTGTAGATGGAATCCACCGAAGAACGATTTGATATATCTAGTCAGAGAGTGTCGCGATGGTAGTCGGAATATTGAGTCGATGATATGCGGTGATGAACTGATCGTGTGCTCGAGCTTGACGCGCTGCTCCTCTGTCACATCGAAGCGTCTAGCCTCAGGGTCAAGAGCACGTGGNATCTGCTCTGGTAAGCCTCGATCGGGATTCGGCTGGTCTTACGACTTACTCGATATATCACAGACATTATCAGTCGTTCTGTCTTTGGTGGGCGCTGATGGTAACCATGAGCTGAATGGGGATCCAGCCCTTGTCCGTACATCGATACTAGAAGGCGTAGGCCGATGAAATTCTTTCATCATTGTCGGATCGGCAGGTTCTTCCAGTCTTTCGAGTATCGGGCTCCAGTCAACACACAAACCAACACCATCCAAGAAGCTGGCGAAATCCCGAAAGTGCATGTCTGGGTCAATGCTGGACAGGTCCAAGTTTGATGCAGCATCACTCGGGTTCATGATATCGTTGACGCCTGGTAACGGTGTTGGAAGAGATGCGGCGTCGTAAAATCTCGGTTGCATTGTACTCTGTGGATGCTCATTCTCGGGCGCAAAGGCTGCTTGGTGGAGTACTTTTTCAGTCTGAGGCTGTGAGTTTTTGCGAGAGACATCCTGCACATCAGATATGATCGCGGCTACACGTATCGTCTCGTGCGAATGGCTGTCTTCATCACGTAACTGTGGTGGATTTGAAGGCGCCTCAATCGCGATCTCTGAACCACCATGTAGAGCTTCACCCGGGTCATGCCCGCTCACCCTCTGGTGTCGCGTGAGCAAATCTCGGCGTCCAAAGGAAGCACCGCAGTCGCAAGAAAAGGGCTTTTCCTTGGTGNNTCTGCACTTTACATAAACACGTGAATCGTCTTGCAGCATGCTCAACTTGCACTCACGCGTTCGCACATGCCGTGACAAGTGCTCCGTTCGTTTGAACGTCCGTCCGCAATGGGGGCATTGACGTGCATTACCGCCCCTGATTGAGGAGTCGTTTCTCTTGCGCTTGTTTGTGGAGACTATCGATTCTGGCGCTTCTGACATGGCGACTTGAGGGTGATGGTGATTGGAGTTCAGGTGGGGATGAGCGTGCCGGGTCGTTGGGGCATGAAATGGAGACGAAGATACCCCGCACCGAACCCCAATCGGTTTGCCGCGGATGCCTTTACTCCAATCAGTTTCTGTGTAGTATGTCGACTATGTATACACAGTGAGCTGTGTATTGTGTTTACATGTCTGAATCTTGCGCTGATTCATGACACATTCACTCATCGCTTCATGTTCGGCATTTTCTTGAATCTACAGTCACACACAACTGCATTGGTTGATGTATAACGTGCATCGCGCGTGGTCTGGATGAGATGCCAAAGAACAAACTTATTCTGTTTAACGACACAGTCACGATATGTTGAGAAGCAATCGAATCTGTGATGCACTAGATCAATAATTTGACAACTGTCGCTTTTATCCAAATAGTTTCAGGTATACAAGAGGCTAAAAACCGAATTCTTCTTGAAAGCCGGGTCATCCCCACAGCAAACGTCTCCATCTTTCCGTCACCATCACAGCTTCGACTTTGCCTTGGTTACATCCTCCTCTCTACCCGCCAAATTCGGATGCGCAGCCTTGACCGCCCTGGTAACAGCATAAAACGCGAATCCCGCCGACTTGGTCGAAAACACAACTTTACTGCCCACATGAAAGAAAGCAAAGTCGCCTGCAACCAAATGATGCGTGACGCCTGTTGCCTCGTCTAGGACATCGATTTGGCCGCTGATGACGTATTTGGTTTCCTCGCAGGTGTAGTGCAGAGGGTAGGGTTTTCCAGAGGCGATCTTGTAGAAGCCAGAGGTTAGGTAGGAGGGTGTGTCTGTTGTGTTTGTGCGGATACTAAGGTTGAGTGGTTAGCAGAGTGAGTGAGAGGGAGTGAGAGGTAGAGGACGCACGAGTGGAAATCGGCGACGGTGGCATTTTCTCCAGAGGGAAAGGGAATGTATTCATGGCCTGCGCCTTTGATGATGGTAAGGGGAACGAGATCTCCAGACACTGTTTTTGATACGAAGAGTGTTAGTATATCGCTGCCATTGAAACCAGCAGATTAACACGAAGAAATGCAACTTACTGATGAGCGATTAGATTCAATATTGTGATGGAAGGTACAAGTCAATCAAACACATTGGTTTACCTTGTCTTCATATACTACAAGAATCATCTGGACTCTACTACCACAACGCGGTTGTCGCAAGCATCTCGGGGAAGGATTGCCCGAATGGGGTTTCGGCTTCCATTTTGCCCGCATGGTACCACGTCAAGCAGGAACACCTCCACACAAGCAGTCGAGGACCTACATAGATCAACGCACAACAATCGCGAAATCAACTAGGCTTCATGCCCGTTGCTGCAGGAGTTCATCATCTCGGAAAACGCTCGGTAAAAGGAGCATTCACTTGGAGCTGACGAGTTTGCCCATCTCACGAGTCAGGGAAGTAAAAATCAATCCGAGAAGAACGGGCAATCCGCACATTGAGCGTGACAGAAAAACATGTTGAGAAGCTCTTCGAACTGCGCTGGAGGGATGCACATCCGGACAAATCCTACAATGAAAGGTGTAGTACATTGTCGCAAGTTCATTGCTGGACTTTGTCAAGTTCAAACCCTTCGCTACGAAGATAGATTTTGAAACTCTCGTCCTCGGCAGCCAAATCGATATCCCGCCCCTCGGGAAGAAGATAATAAATACCCGCCCCCAACACCGAAAGCCCACTAAGCAAATAAAACGTCGACGCCGGACCACAAGCATCTCTGATGGGCGTGAACACCTGCGTGCCAATGGCAGCACCCGCCTTGCCAAACGCCGCAGAAACTCCATAACTGACTCCACGTACGGCGGTGGGGTACAATTCGACGCTCATAAGGCCGATGGTGGCGCCAGGACCCATGTGCCCGAAGCTCTGCATCAAGCCGTAGAGCACGACAAAGGCGGCGATGGCGTGAGTGGTGAGATGAGTGTAGCAGCCGCCGATGATGAAACCGAGGATGATGTAGCCGGTCCAGCCTGCGATGCCCGTCCAGCGACGTCCGATGCGGTTGCAGAGCCAGCTGCCCACGATGGGTCCGGGCACGGCGAGCAGGGCGAGGATGAATTGCCAGATGGCTGTTTGACGCACGTCTTTGCCCGGCACCACGTTGTTGATGATGGCCGCACTCATAATGCCGTTCGGGAAGTTGATAAAGTCATAGACGAAGAACGCGGAAGAGGTGCCGAGCAGTCGCCAGCCATAGCGTTTCAAGACAAGGAGGTAAGGAGGGGAGGTCCTGGCTTTGAAGTTGTTGCGGCGGAAGAGAAGGCCGTCACGCATGCGGAAACGGAGAACGGCGACGAAGAGAGGCAAGAAGATGGAGATGGAGTAGATGGCGTGGAAGGCGGTGCGGAGATTGTTGTTCGTGGCGGTGAGGGTGATGAGGTAGATTGCTGTACAGATTGGTGCCGCCGAGGTGGCCATGAGAGTGGATGTGAGCACTTGGATGGGTCCTCTGATGTGATCATAATGCNNTGTGGATTTTCAAGTCAGGAAGAGTGCGTGCTTTTTGATTCTCTCAGCACATACCTCGTTACTCCCTTCCAAGGCCGCTGCGGCAGAAGGAGGATACTCGCCTCCTACACCGACACCAGTGATTCCTCTCGCGATGGTCATGTACCACATCATATCATGTACACCATGTCCCTGTACCTGAAACACCAGTGTGGCGAGCAAACTCCCAATCACGACCAGAGAAGAAGTCACCCATAGTCCTCCTCGTCGACTCCAGATATCGCATGTGTAGCCAAGGAGAACAATGCCAATGACAGCCCCGACGAGCAGAGCATTAGAAATTCTGGTTTGGGTGCTCGACGTGTAGGCTATTCCAAGTGTGTGTTTGAAGACAACATTGGTATGCGATGACNNTGTTCTATTGTCAGTCAAGTGTCTGCTGAACACAGGAGTATCTCGTGGACATGATAAAAAGCATGAATGAAAACTCACCAAATTATTCTGATATCCATCCGAGAAGTTCGCGAGCGCGCTGGCAAAGATCACAAACCAGGAGGTTCGTTTTGGATTCTTTGAAATGTCGGACTCTGTATCCCAGACGGTGACATTTGCATTCTTGGTCTCATCTCCTTGGCTCGTTTCTGCTTGTCCGGGGTTGACGGCCAAATCCACAGAAGAAGTCATTGTTGCATTTGCTAAGGAAGATGGGCTTCCGAGATGTCTTCTTATATTTCACATGTCTGATTGTCGTTGTCGTCTCTGTCAGGGCTGTCGTTGAGGCTCCATTTGACTCCACTTTTCTCGGAAGACGATTGCCTGAACTCATGTGTTTTGTTCATCTCGAGGCTGACGACTCCGTGGAGAGAGGACTACTGGACATGTGAGGATGGAGAGTCATGTTTGCTCAGTCTTTTACATCAGAGTCGTGCCCGCTCTCTACAGAAAGAAGATGGGTGGCGTGAGGTCAGAGCGATAGTGAGTGAGAAGCGGAGGAGACGCAAGATGTGCACGCCGATGAAGAGCCGAATAACTGATCTCGAGAAATATTGTGATGCTTGTATTCGCAAAGCACATTCAAAGGACGATCATTGTTGAGACGTTGATACCAAGAATTTAAATGGTCGAATCGATTCTCCTGGCTCTAAGAAAGTGCTGAGAAATGCAATGGCTGGTAACAGAAGATGATATAGGTACATGATTTTGATACATAACAGGGACATGTATAGTACAGACTACCTGTATCTTGATCCAGGCAGCTTCTTGTATGGCAGAGGCTCAATCTTCTTCCTCTTAAACTCGACGTCGCCACCAGGAATGCCTGCTCTTTGCATGACACCGGCAGTGCCTTCGTCGTGTCTGCTTCTGAACAAGTTGACACCAACCGGCTTCAGGACATGTCTGTCGACGAAACTCCTCAGGATAAAGTCGTTGTGCTCGTAGCGCTGTGATAAAGCGGCTGCGTCCAGGATTTGGCCGTCCTTTTGCTCGAGGACGAAGATGGACATGCGGCTGTATGCGAGACCCTTTTGAGTGTATGCAGGCAGCCAGGGGAGAATGACCTGATCTTGGTTCAGCTTGGCGAGAGAGACTCCGGTCTGAGTGGGAGAGATTTTGATGTTGGAGGCGAGAAAGTGGCAGCGGTAGTCGAAGCCGTCGGCCTCGACATTGGGCACGTCGGGGTTGACTATGGCAATGGTGACGTAGCGCTCGCCCTTGTCGTAGGGTTGAATGTTGAGATGGCCGGGAATCTCGGACACTCTGCTGTCGACGAATTCACCGGGCTGGACGTCGCGGGGACCGAACGAGAGCGAGACGTTGTGAGTAGGATCGATGGAGGGGAGGACGTCTGGGACGACATTCATCTGGGTGATGCGCTGCATGATGATCATGCGGTCGTATTGGCGCCATTTCTTGTCGGCGAGGTAGCGGTAGATGGGCTTGTCCATGTCGCCNTGCCTGTGTCAGTGTTTGAGAAGAACGAAGAGGTGGATGTGCGTACCCTTGCCGTCCTCGAACCTCCTCTTGACCATGGGGTCGTTGATGTCTGCGTGGATCTTGAGCTGGTCCAGGTAGCGCTCCATGCTGTTGACACGGTGCTGATGGCGTTGTTCATTCTGAGGCTCGACTTGGGTGGCCCTGAGTCTGGCAATCTTCTGGCGCTCCGTCTCAATGTGCGTGACCTTTTCTTGACGGTGTTGAATCAGGACTTTGCGGGCTTCTTGGAAGCATTGGTAGGGCAGCTGCTCGAAAGGAATGCGCGAGCCGGAGAGGATGGCGGCACGACGTCTGCGAGAACCGACGGGAGTGAGGCCACGGGTGCGGAGGAGTTTGCGCTCTGCCCTGGGCGTGAAGACGTTGTCTGCGGCGAGGGAGGACAGGACATTGTCTGCGGCGGGAGAAGACAGGACATTGTCTGCGGCGGGAGAAGACGGCGGCGGAGGTTGTGTCGTTGCTGCGGCGGCGGCTGTGGATGCGGCGACGTCTTCTGCGACCGGGGCCGATGTCGAAAAGGCGCGGATGGAGAGGCCTCGTAGCGCTCGTGAGGATGAAGCCATTGTGTTGGTGGACAGGACGGACCGAGGGGAGTGTCAAGGACTGACCGAGCAGAATGTCATGGCCCCAAAGTTGCAGTCGACGCCAAGACCGACTTTTTCGTGTTGGACTTCCGGAGTGAGGAAGGCACCACCGCATATTATTACTTTCAAGAACACACACATACACACACACACACCCACACACACCCGCACACGCAATGGCCACACGAAGAGCAGTCGTCGCTTGCGCCCGCTGGAGAAGCGCTCCTCGGTACGTCTCTCACTCTGTCATCCTCCACCCAGCAGCGACTGACAGGTTCCAGGTCTTTGCGCGCGGCCTGGCCACCGAGGCGACACCTGCATCTACAATTGCCCACTCATACAGCGATGCCGCCCTCGCATCCACCGCCACCGCTCCTGTCCTGAACGACCAATTCACGCCGCCGCCGCCTCCCACACCTGCCACCGCTGCTCATCAACCCTTTCAACAACCGCCGAACCCCTTCCTGTCGACGGCCACCTGCACCGTCCACGACTTTCCCAACATCGAACCCAAGCACGTCGTCACATACCCCAGCACACATCTGCTGCTCCCGCTTCGTCGCGACATTCTCCACCGCGCCATCGTCTTTGAGGGAGACGCCACACGCCAGGGTACCGCAAACACAAAATACCGCTCCGAGGTCCACGGCTCCAACCGCAAGGTCCGTCCGCAAAGGNGAACCGGTCGCGCCCGTCTCGGTGACAAAAAGTCGCCAATGCTGAGGGGCGGTGGTGTCGCTTTCGGTCCCAAGCCCAGAGACTTTAGCACCGATCTGCCTGCCAAAGTCTACGATCTCGCCTGGAGGACTGCCTTGAGTTATCGCTACAAGAAGGGCGAGCTGCTTGTGCTGGGTGGGCCTGCCGAGATTGACGTTGAAGGAGCTGGTGCGGCGAGATGGTTGAAGGACATGTTGCGTTGGAACAAATGGGGCAACCCAAGCGGCGGCAGTCTGTTCGTCACGCTCGAGAAGAGGGAGAAGCTGTTTGCTGCTCTGCAACAGCCTGGCATGGACAAGGAGGCTCGCGCATTGAGTCTGGACAAGGTTGACGTCAAGGACTTGCTCGAGGGCGGTCGCGTCGTGATTGAGAAGAAGGCGCTCGACAGAATCTTCTTGCAGCACTCGAGCGACTTGTCGTCACGGGTCAAGCTTGTAGTATGAGCTGCTTGTCTATCTTCTTCTGTATCCATCTGTACAAATATCTCAAGGCTTGGGTCCTTCATACATCAGGTTGCCCATGCCCGCCAACTTGCCCTCGAACTTTTTAATCTCCTTTGTGCCCTTGACAGCCTCTGCAGCCTCGTTGATCTTTTGCAGCAAGTCCTCACACTCTTCAGGCGTCGCCCTCCTGCCGCCCTTCTTCCTCGCCAGTATGATCTCGACCTTCTTGCCCAGCGCCAAAAAGTCCTGCATCCTCTTCATCCTGTGCCCCAGATCATTGGCGTCAATGGCCCAATTCAACTCTAGCGTCTTTGTGCCCTCGGCGGCCGTCTTTTGCTGCTTGAGCTTCTTCTTTTCCTTTTCGGCCTCGTAGGCGGCCTTTTTGTCTTCGAGCTTGCACACCGGTATCCATTCTTCTGCCCAGTTGCCAGTGGGTGGCGCCGTCACGCAGATGATCCGAAAAGCTTTGCGGTCTATGGTGGACAGTAGGTCGCGCAGACGGGTGGGTGGTTGCAGCGAGTCGGTCACGGGGTCGACGAGTTGGATGCGCCGGGCGGGGATCTCTTCGTCCCAGAGGTGTTTGCGCTTTTCGGGTACGCGAGGTGTCTTTGGTACGTTGCGGAGGGGAGTCGAGTGGAAGGTGCGTGTGACGCGAGGTGTGCGTGGTGAGAGGGCTGGCTGGACAAAGACGCGGTACAGCGCTTGTAGAGGCGATGTTGTGTGGGTGCGCATTGTGATTGATCTTGTTGTATGAGTCGAGTATCAAATGTAAAATGGGATTATGCAAGGTCAAGGTGGTGACGGTGACGGTGACGGAGTTGGACTTTGCACTTTGTTTCGGCTGCACTTTGCCCGATCGCCCGCGTCGCTTTCTTCCATCTTCTGATTCTTTCGCCATTGCCTATACTACTGTATCTACGAAACCTGCTTTCACCTCAATCAATACGTCGCCGTCAGTCGCTGCACCAGATACTCGCCACTGTTAACACCCTGATACTTTTTCTGCTTGGCCTCATCGAATGTCCCTGGGATCGCATCGATGAACCTGTCAAAGTTGGGATTGCAAAAGTAGGCCATCGAGTATCTCGCAGGATGAAAGTCTGCATCTGCCTTGACCGGCGGCTCAACAACTCGATGCTTTGTGCTCTTGATCATGTCGTTGCTCCATCTGGCCAGCAAGTCTCCCGCATTGACGACGATCGTGTCTGCAATTGGTGTTGCATTGACGTATGTTCCCATGGGTGACAAGACCTGCAGCCCGCCGCGAGCGTCTTGGAAGAGCAGAGTAATCGATCCTGCAACTGTCAGCAAGACTCGGTCCAGTCTCTTCATCTTACTAACCNNATAGTCGGTGTGTGCTCCTGCTCGGACACTGTTCTTGTTTTCGGCAAACACTTTGCTGCTCACTGCAGGGTAGTGCAACAGCCTCAACGTGTTGTCGCCTGCATTGCAAAACTTGTCGAACCAGTGCTCGTCAATGCCCAGCCCGACAGCGATCGCTTGCATGACTTGCACATGAAGGTCTTTGCAGACCTCGAAGAAGCCCAACATCTTTTCTCGGAATACTTCACCATCTTGATCAAATCGATCTGGCCACTTGTTTTCCAGCCCTTCGACACCTTCTCGGCCAATCTCGAGAGATTCCTTCAGATCAGCACCTTCCAGTGCTCTTTGCTTCTCAATCTCGGCTGGATCCACAAGGTCTGTCGTCTTCTCACGGCCTTGACGAACATAGCCGCGATTGGCTTCGGGTGTCGTCCAGGCAAGCTGCTCCTTTTGGCTGACTGGTCTCTTGAAGAATTCTGCACTGTACTTGAATGCTTCTTCTACTGCAGCTCTGTCGATACCGTGGTTCCGAATGTAGATGAAGCCAGCAGTCTGGAAGCCTGACAGGATGGCTTTGGCTGTGGCTTCACGAATCGATTGGTCTGTGGTCTGGAAGGCCGAGAAGTCGATGAGCNNTGGTGTTGTTAGTGAGAGTCCAAACACTCGTCAAAGCATGCTTACAGGAATGGTAAGGTTGTCGGCGCCCACCGCCGTGGTGACTGTAGGAATGCTCATGATTTGATATGGTATTCAGGTAAGTGGGTTGCGAGGAATGACTAACAGCAATTCACACTGATGCACATACGGTATTTGTATCTCTGTCTCTCTTTCCGACTTGCCTTATCATTCCAGCTCATGCCACGTCCCTTATCAGTGGCTTTCATTGATAGGCGAAGCATACCCCGCCGTGGTGGGTTTTACAAGTGCGGGGTGAGCTACACCTTCTGTTCCTGTCTCCCTTATCATAACATCACCCTATCAATGCCCCGTTTCGTTGTCGAAGAAGCACAAAATAACAAGTGTTCAATCCAGCATTGACTATGGCGTGACATGTAAATCTCAAACCATCAGACTAAAAATTGCAAGTGTCTACCTTTTTCCTCTCTCACTTCCGCCTTTCCTCCAACGCAACATGATCAATATGGCACCTGTCGTCGATGTACATACCCACATCTATCCACCAGCCTACGTTTCGCTTCTTCGCTCTCGTAATGCCGTCCCCTATATGCGAACTTTTGCCGACAATCCATCCGCCGGAGAAAGGCTTGTGATTCTGCCCAGCGAAGACGCAGCAACATCTACTGCACGCGGACGCCCCATTGGTCCCGAATACTACGAAGAAGAAGAGAAGATCAAGTTCATGGACAAACACCACATTGACATTAGCGTCATATCCCTTGCAAACCCATGGCTAGATTGGTGTGACGCATCTGAAGCTGCTCATGTCGCGACACAAATCAACGACGATGTCGAGCAGGTCTGTTCACGCCATCCAGGACGTCTGTACGCTTTTGGTACTCTGCCATTGAGTGCTGGAGCAGATGCAGTAGTCGCCGAGATCAAGCGACTGACAACACTTTCTCATTTCCGCGGCGTAATCATCGGCACTTCAGGACTTGGAAATGGATTGGATGATCCGGCTCTCGAACCTATTTGGTCTGCTCTCCAATCCACCAAACAACTCGTCTTCTTGCACCCGCACTACGGTCTGCCTGCCTCTGTATATGGTGATAGAGCAGCAGACTATGGACACGTATTGCCTCTTGCCCTAGGTTTTCCTCTCGAGACTACCATTGCCATCACCCGAGCCATTCTCTCTGGCGTCTTTGATCGCTTCTCAGATCTGCAAATGTTGCTCGCGCATTCGGGCGGCACGCTACCCTTCCTCGCCGGCAGAATCGAATCCTGCATCGCCCACGACAATCACCTCAAACAAGCCAACAAGATCTCTGGACGAAGATCCATCTGGGATATCCTGAGCACGAACATCTATCTCGACGCCGTGGTGTATGGGGAAGCTGGATTGAAGGCTGCCGTGCTAGCTAGTGGGAAGGACAGATTGATGTTTGGAACCGATCATCCGTTTTTTCCTCCGCTGGATGATGGGGAGGCAGAGTGGGTGTCTGTCAAGACGAATGAGAGGGCTGTGAGTGGAGTGTTTGATGGGGATGGACAGGCTAGAGGTGATGTTATGGGTGGTAATGCGGTTAGAGTGTTGAGGCTGGGATAAATCTTCATCGCACTTGCTCTCATTGCGCACAAGAAATCGTGTAAGATCTGGAGTGCACAAAGCTCGGAGGGATAATCATTATTTGGGGAAGCTGGGTGGGGCGCCGATTTGGGGGAAGTGTGGGGTAACGTCCGCTGACAGATTGACAGGGTCTTCCATCCAGAATCGACCTCTTCTTATTCAGCATCCTCGCAGGCCATGCGCGTCACTGGCAAGGAGATTTTGAATACGGCAAACTGTTGATGTTATGCTTGGCGATAGTTTTCTGCCATATCAAGTCTTTGCGAGTAAAGTGCGCGGAGTTGTGCGCAGAGATGCGGTTTTGGCGGCATTCGTAGCCGGCGTTCAGCTCCCAACACGACTGTGTCCAGTGTTCGAGCATGCTGCGCACACCTTTCGCAGTGAATTTCCAAATAGGCAAAATCACTGGTAGTATGCTTGAGAGCCAGTATGAGTAGTCTCAAGATACTGTTAGTAATGTGCGCGTAGCTGTGCGTGGCAGCGCCGAATTGCGAGACGCGAAGCTCGTGGTGCAGAGGCGGAGACGACGACGACGTGCACCAATTTCCAGCCTGATAGCAGATCACGCACGCCATGAGCAGGTCCATTCTGGATAAGCCAAACTACTAAGCATACGAGCAATAGTAGACTGCTGAATTATTGTTCTCCTGTGAGATGTGTGCGAGTAGCTGAGTGCAGCAGCGTCAAGCAGTAGGCTTTGTTCTTGGGTGAAGCCCGCGCGACACCCGACAGAGAGACGCGATCTTTCTTGACCTTTGACCTGATAGCACGCCACGTCCATTGCTGACAGAGAAATACTGAACAAGCCAAATCATTCGTGGTAATTCGTAGGGCAAGTCCGTATTGACTCGTCCCCTTGCGAGGGATTCGGGTGTAGCAGTGCGAGGCGGCGTCAAATCGCAAGCTTCAACGCTGGTGGTGTCAAAGGCAGATTTAGTCCGCCCTTTAAGAACATAGCAGATCACACACGCGATGAGCAGAACAATTCTGATGAAGCAAAGCTACTAGAGGTTTGCACAAAAGTAAAATTGAGGATTCTTTTGCTTGGTCGAGATCATGCGCGAGGCAGAGCGACAGTTTCGGTCTAAATACCAGGCTTCGGAGGTGGCGTCACAGCAAATCACGACCATTTTCAACACACAAGCGCAATTCTCACAACACCAACAGAGAAAATCTAAACTAGCCAAATGATCGATCTCGCGAAGCTGAACAACCTGTAGGTAGTCCATGTCCTTGCTAGATCTGTGCGTGGAGCTGCTGCTGGAACCCGAAATTTCCTCTCCAGCTGGAGGACGCTTTGCGAAATCTGGCGGCGGCAAAACGAGTCTCCTAGCACGACGACGTGATGACTCGCAGCACAAATTGAAAAGCTTCGAGCAACAGACACTTTGCACATATCTAGCAACGCAGAGCATTTGCACATATCTAGCAACGTAGAGCAGCACCAGGTAATGATATTTTGATCCGGCCATCTTGTCCCCAATACTCTCTGATCACCTTGTGCAAGCGCTCAGGGCGATGCGACAAGTTGTGGTCGAGTCGCATTCTCTTTTGTGCGTAAGAATCAGAGTCGTTCTGGCAAGCAAGCCACACCGCAAGCTTTCTCCCTCGAAAAGTCCTCACAACTGGCGATACAATACAGCAACCCGATTGAGCGCAGACATTTTGAATTAGCCAAGTTGAAGACAAAACATTAATGCATGTTTTGATACTATTTCTAGAGTACTGCGCATGATGAGGTACACCTCGCGCTGCCAATGAAGTCAGATTGTCGAGATGCGCAAAGTCAGCTCACCTCCGCATCACCCCCGCCCAAATCCATCGTTCCATCCATCGACTCGTCCAAGCCACGTGTCTTCATTTTCGATCACTTGCTAATGACTCCATGCACGTCTTCTCTCATCGACCGCGCTTCGCTGTTGGAAGTCTTTGCACCTTTCCATGACTCGAAAAGTCGCTCCATGAAAGAGGCAGACTGGTCTACTCGTTTTCGCGAAGACGCTTAGGCCTGGGCACCTTACGGAGTTTCGCCATCAGCCCCAACCGCTTGTAAATTAGACTCTGCATGTACTGGTCTTTGACATCGCCTTCATGTCTTTCGAGGTAAGGCAGCAGATGACTGGTGGGGCGCAATGCCACAGACTGCCAGGGCGAGGGGCCCCAGACAAGCTCTCTCTCGCCTGAAGTGAGAGTTACACCGAGTCGCTGCTTGGAAAGATCCCATCCCACATTGTCCGGAGGCCGGGAGAACACGACTTCGTCATCCCCGCGTCTCACAATGACAACCTGAAGGACATCACCAACATACTCCAGAGCAACATTTCGGCTGACGGGTTCCAGGAGAGCTACCAGGCCGGGGATGCGGATTGAGTGATCAAAGGTTGCTTGGACAAGGGCTGGAGAGAGGTTCTGGGACATGGTCTCTGTGGGATTGCTGGTGGTCAGCGCGAGGTAGGCAAGACACGCTTGGCCAAGCGGGTCCACGTCAAGTCGCGGGTACTGGTTGATCAGGCCAGCGACGTGTGCATCCCAATCTTGCCTCTCGTACATGGCGTACTGATGACTGAGTACAGCCAGACGCACAGCTGCAATGCAACAAGCAGGCCATTGGCCGGAGACGACCTTCTTGGACAGCATGATGAACCCAAGTAGGACCCATGCACCCTCCTTCTCTCGGGTCCTGATTCTTTCGAGAATATGAATCTCCAGCCATACGACTTGACTCAGCTCATCCTGAGGAATGTCCTTTGGCAGAGAGATGCCCTTGATCCAGCGAAGGAGCTCAATCATCTGCAAGTCATCTCTCTTGACCTGGGAGACGTCGCTGCTGAGACCTGTGTAGCTCTCCGCGAAGACGTATGCGTCGACAACAGCAGTCGTGAACCCCTGCATAGAAGAAAAGGGAGCCGGCAGGATCAGCTGCAGGAGGTCCGAAGAGATGTCGTCGCCAGTCATTGTGCTTGTCAACACCGCGGTCAGGGCCTTGGAAAATGCAGCCCCTGAACTGTCCAACGCTGTCTTGTGTTGTTATGCCTCTTGTTCGAACGCGTCACGCTCTCCCACCAGCTGCTCTTCATTGACCTTGGCCTCTTGCTGGCACACCGCCCTCAGCTCTGCTTCCTTGTCAACCATCTTCTCACTCCATTGACCTTCCAACTCCTCTTTCTGTCTCTGCAATCGGACTCCAAACTCTTCGGCCATCTTTGTTTCCTTGTCTGACCATTGTGTCTCTGATTCCTTCTTTTGCTGGCCAAGCTTCGCGAAAGACTCACGCAGTTCTCCAAGCTCACCTTCCACCACCTGGAGACGCTCCATGTCTCGGTTGGCAGCCTCGCGATAGTCTTGAAAATTCGTGGCGGCGCTGATGGAGGCCTCACGCAGCGCATCATACTTTCTTTCCCCTGCATCCTTCTCCTTTTCGGACTTTTCTAGCTGTTCTTGCAGAGAGAGCACGTTGGCCCTGGCAGTCTCCAAGTCGGTACTGGCGTTCTTCAAATCGGTATTGGTATTCTCCAGCTCGCTTTGGGCGGTTTTGTGTTCTTTCGTGACAGCACTCAGCTGCTTCATATGCTCGTCTCGAAGAGTCTGGATCTGCTTATCGTGTTCATCTTCGAGCTCATTGACCGCAACCCAAACTTCATCCTTTTCTTCCTCCAGGCGCCTAACCTTTGCCCGAGATGCATCTCGGGATTCCGTAAGAGTCTGGACGGCCTGCTCCCCCCTGGGCGATCACCCCTTTGGCATTGCTAATGTCCTCTTTCAACGCCCCAATCTCTTCCTCTTTCGAGGCATCGGAACTCGCGAGTTGTTGCAGCTTGCCCACGAGATCTCTGACCACAGCCTGGACCTCATCGGAGTTGTATTCGCCGTCTTTGAGGGTAGGGTTGGTAACGGACTCTGCGAAGAGGATAGCAACGGGTGTCGAAGGTGTCGGTCTGAACGTCAGGGGCTGGGCCAGTCGGGCGGCAAGGGCTGCATCTCCGAAGCACTGTTCCTGAACCCGAGCTATGGATTTGGCGTACCTACACGAGTCTTGTCAGCGTCTTCTTGAGTCAGAGATGGACCATGGTGGCCTTGGTTGTGCCCGAGTATTGACTTACATTGCATGGGCCTCAATAACACCCTGGCGATCTTCGCCCGTCTGACTGACCGCAGTATGAACACTGACGCGTTCCTTGGAGCTATCGAAGGCTGTATCGAATGCGTGGATCTGCTCGCGCATCTTCTGGATACTGGCAACCCGGGTGTCACGCATCTTCTCGAGAGCTTCGACGACCGGTATGACATTGCCATGTTCAGCGCAATATGCCAGCTGTTGCGCTGTTGTGAGCCCTTGAATTTCTGCTTTTCTTCCCTGTTTGCGGCGCGGTCAGCAAGAATCCCAGGCGGCGTACACTGAGCACTTACTCTCGTTGTTGACTGATCTGGAGGCACTGTTGCCACTGATTGACTACCAGTCCAGCACTGCTACTAGTAGCAGTTCCAGGATTCGCAGTTCCCGCCGTAGCAGCGACAGCAGGTGGAACAGCGGCCATCTTTGGAGTATGGTGGTCAGCAAAGAGTCACAGCACTTGAGCAAGAAGTTGTGCAAGCAGGAAACAGGAAATCGCTAAAGGTAGCTCTCAGGTCGCAGACGGCCGCACAGAAATTCCCTACGTCTGTTTACTGGTGGTTCTGGGAAGCCGGCTCTGCGTTTCAGACCTGGTTTGAATATGCAGGCGACTTTTGACGTTGACGTGTGCTCCGCAGACAGATGATCGTCGTACCTGCAGCTGTCGATATGCACGGTCGTCACAAACTATGCTATCTCTAAGATGAGAGTCAGCAGAAAAGTCAACAAAGCAGCTCTTGGTGTTTTGGGATCTGGACCTGAAGACACAAGACTATGTTAACAGCTTGTGAAATATTCTTCAGAGCTTCAAGAGCGACGCTGGTGTTTGTCAAATTTGCAAGAAAGCCGAGAGAGCGGGTGTTGGCAGATGAGTCGGTTACACAAGCAAAGAAAGTTGACAACTCAATCTTGCTGTGCCTGGCGACAGACTCTGGGCATTCTGTCGTCCTTTGTTTCTGGTCCGTTCCGCGCAAAACTCTCCATCAGCGAACGCGTCGGAGCCTTCTCTTCCTCTGCTGTTCCCATCACCGTCGCCTTCCTGTCCCTTCTCCTTGCTCCCCTTGGTCATTCTTGATTCTTCACAACTGCTTGTCGTTTCCAAAGGCTTTGCGGACAGTCATCTCTGCGTAGCCTCACCAGGAGCCCCGGGCTCCTTCTCCCCTGGCAGCTTCCCTGCGCCATCCGCCACGGTGCCACCCTTCCATCGTCTTTACCAGCAAGGCTGAGCGCTCTGCCGCTAGTCAAAGAAGAAGGGCCATAGCCAGACCTTGCTTTCTCCTCTCTACCAGCCTCTCTACAAGTCCAGCGCCTCCCACCCTCATCCTTGGGCCTCACGACTGTGTTGTGCTTTGTCTCCCACAAAACATCTCGCGCCAATCTCCGCTGCGCATTGCTTCAAGCTCGTCATCCTGAGTCTCCACCTCTCAATCCACAAGGCCAACGTTCAACCTCCTCTACTCGTCTTACGGCCCTGGTTGCCGGTGCGAGCTTGCCCGCCTGTCGACCTAGTCGCGATACCTCTGCGTCATGTCCGACCAGGGGAAGGCTGCCTCGAAGGATGCCGTGACTCACAGATTGGATTTGCTTGCTGAGCTCATCCGACAGGCCATAGAGAACTCGCCGCGCCTATCGCCAAACACCGCTGCGGAAGACACCCAGGCTTGGGAGCATGCTCTGGCCGAAGAAGTCATAGAAAAGGTGTCTGACGCGACTGAGAACTTTTTGGAATCCGTTCAAAACCTTGAGATCAAGTGGAAGACGTTGACCGATGTCATAAATGGATTCAATGTACGTACCGCTCTCCCTACGAACCCCCTGTTCCCTACGAACCCCGTTTCCCCCTCCCCCTGCCCCTTCCCATGCTTCGTTGCACACGCCCTGTTCCGAGGCTTGTGATCTCTCTCCACAACCATCGACCACTCTGCCAACTGCCCTGCCATCCGTCAATACCTTGAGCATGTGACTAACAGAAAGCAGGAAAGCAAGCAGAAGTTGCAAGCCTTGCAAGACTTCCTCAACACTCTACCCACAACAGAGAGCGTCAAGATCTTGCAGGAACAACTTGCGGTCGTGCAGGATGCTGTCAGAAACAAGACTACCGAGCTTGAGAAGACGAAGAACGAGCGCGACGAGGCCAAGGCTGCCAGTACATCAACCCAAACCAATCTGCAGAGTACCCGCACTCAACTCGACGAAACAAACAAGTCCTTGGAAGCCAGCCGAACCCAAGTCAGCAATCTCCAGCAAGCCCTTGCGGTGAGCAAGAAGGAGACGCAGGACGCAAAGTCTTTGCAGAGCACGGCCGAGGATAACAAGGCTGCCGCTGAGAAGCTGCTCAAAGACGAAGAACATGCTCATACCGGCACCAAGGCCAAGCACGGGCAAATGGCCAAACAGCTCTTCGCCGCTAGCGAGGCTCTCTCGCAGGAGGTCAGATCTCACGGCGAAACCACTGCCGAGCTCCGGAACGCCGAGAAACAGTCAGCAAAACTCTCTGCTGACCTTCAAGACACTCGTGGCAAGCTCGATACCGCCAGAGAGGAAGCAAAGTCTGAGCGAGCGGAGCATGCAGAGTCCAAGGAACAGCTCTCCAGATTGGAGACTGAGCGCGCTACCACCAACCAACAGCTCAACACCTCTCGTGCCAACACTCAAGACCTTCAACGCCGCCTCACCGCTGCCGAGACCGCCACCCAAAACGAACAAAGTGCTCATGAGAAGTCTCGGGCAGAGCTCGCCACCGCAAAGGAGCAGGTCACTGTCGCGCAGAGCAACGCTCAAGGCCTCCGGGAGCGAATTACTGCTGCCGACACCGCTACGCAAAAGGAGCGAACCGCTTATGAGAAGTCTCAGGCAGAGCTCGCCACCGCAAAGGAGCAGGTCACTGTCGCGCAGAGCAACGCTCAAGGCCTCCGGGAGCGACTAACTGCTGCCGACACCGCTACACAGGACGAATCAAAGGCCCACGACGCCTCAAAGCAGAAGCTCGCCGCCGCCGAGAAGGACGTCAACAACCTGAAGAATTCTGTCAGGAACCTCCAAGGCGAGCGCCAGGCCGCCCAACAAGCTACCAAGCACGAGCAGACTGCCCACAACGAGTCAAAGAAGCAGCTTACCACCGCCCAGGCAGACCTTCACTTAGCAAGAAGCGATGCCAAGAACCTACAAAGCCAGCTCGACGCCGCCAAAGCAGCCACCGAGGCCGAACAAAAGGATCACGGTCTATCAAAGGAAAAGCTTGCAACCTCCGAGGAGAAAGTTTCCAACTTGCAAAACAGTGTCGAGACTCTTGAACGCCAGCGCGACAACGCTCAGCAAGCCACCAAGGACGAGCAGGCTGCGCACAATGAGTCGAAGCAGAAGCTTGCAACCTCCGACGAGAAGGTTTCCAACTTGCAAAACAGTGTCCAAACCCTCGAAGGCCAACGCGACACTGCTCAGGAAGCCACCAAGGACGAGCAGGCTACCCACAACGAGTTGAAGAAGCAGCTGCTCAAGTCACAGCAAGACAATGCCGCGTTGCGGGCAGCGCTTGCCGCTTCAAGGGCGACCGCCGCAAACCTACAAGGCGAACGCGACACCGCTCAAGTCGCCGCTACCACCGCCAGCACACAGCGTGACACTCTACAGGGCCGACTCGACGCTCTGACGCCCAATCTCCAGGCCGCCGAGGCTGAGTATCAGGAGGCCCAGGAATACATTGCGGCTTTGCAGACTTCGATCACCCATATACAGCACGAACGCGATGCTGCCCAATCGACTGCCAACAACGCCGTCAGAGTCTCTGGTCAGCTGCGTGGCCACTTGGCGGCCATGACCAACGAACGCGACCATGCTCGTACAC